CGCTTTGGCTCCTATGGCGTCGGTGAAATGTTAATACGACTGCGTCTGTTTATCGCTAGCCATTATCGAAGCGCATATCTGCTTGAATTACTAATTTGTATGCAAGACATTTCTTTTTTCTCGAAAATCTCGTTTGGCATCAACCTCCCAGAACTCCAACTTCCAAAACTTCAACGTAGTTAGATTAACCAGGCATAATGCCTGATTACTATCAGGCGTAACTATATAAATTTAACATAGTTAAATTAGCCACTGGGCCAGGAGGGCACAGGTTAATATTTCCTTTTGTTGGAAATGGATGATTTGCAAGAATAACCCTACAATGTCAAATACTTTCCAAAAGGTGAAAGTATATGACTCAGTGCTCCGAAATACGTGTAATCCCCTCTTCCGCCTCTCTCTCTCTCTCTCTCTTCTCTCTCTCTCTCTCTAACTATACCAGCCATCTATCTGATTCTCTTGCTCTCTCAGAAGATTCGCTCGCACAGATGTGCGCAGAGCCTATTTCATGTCCTTACTCATGAACAGGGTGTTGAGGCTACGAAAGCCTGGCCACTTGACTGAACTCCCGATTGAGTACAGGTTCAGGTATCCGGCTAGGGTTAAGCTAGTGGAGTTATGGGTGGCTGAGGCAAGAACGGAGACGGACCGCAGATTCTTTCAGATTATGGGTACCCGTTTGTGGAACTCTTATCCTTCAACCCTAAGATACTTCCCGTCGTTGAGCTTCTTCAAGAGAGATGAATTGTTCTTTGAGCTGAACTCGTAGAGTTTTTGGGGTACTGCTAGAGCAATTTAACTTATTTGACATCTGTTAGCCACAGCTATTCCGACTGTATTACTAGAATTAAATATAAATTATACTAATCTTACTGAACTGAGATAATGTATTTAGTCTAGATTTTGCTGTAAAATCTTTGAATGCCTTTTTAAATTTACTGTTTTTATTTGAACATACATGTTTGTCTTGCCTTCATAGCCCTATTATATCTATAACTCACTGAATCTCTACATCATACTTTTTACCTTATTTTATTTTTATCTCCATTTAAAATTTAACTGTAATAGATCCTTGACTAAAAATCTTGTATTGAAATATTTACGTTTTCTTTGTTTTGTTATGCTGGAGTACAATTTCTTGTGCAATTGCTTATATTTTGTCTTAAAGTAAATTGTGGACTATGTATTTATCTATCAATCTCATTTACTCATTTACTCATTTACTCGTATCTCTTTATCTCCCTGTTTTATATTTTTTACGCCAAAATGATTTTTAGATACGCATATCACGCGTATATCTAAACTCCGGTTGTAAATAAGGAAAGAAAAGCGACCTGACAATCTGGCGGAAGCCTTTGTACTCCATTTACGGGAATTTTTCCCTCTTGAAACAGTTTTTGGTTTGTCTCTGCCATTGCTATTTTGAGATTCTCAGTCAATTTCTTTCCGATGAAATTTCACTAGAAGGTTCTTATTTTCCGTCAGAACAAGAAACTTAGTTTTGACGCGATCATCTTCATTTGATGTAAATCCATCGACGTCTGATCATCGAGTAAACCGGCTAATGCCGGTAACGTTCGACTTTGAAAATTACGCATCAACATTTAAAATATTGAAAATTATCGCTCGCAGTACTTACAACTTAAATATGAAAGTTTCTTCGAATAAAATAAATGGTTTCTGTTAACAACATTCAAATTAAAGTAAATGACACACTGAAACAGTTTTTACCGAGTGTGTAATATTTTTCTCTTGTCCGTCCGCGTTGCTTGACTGGGGTTCTTTTTTTTCAAGAAGCATTTAAAGAGTAAAAGTCTGATTTGCAGAGAAATCAATCTTTATTGACGAAAATAATCTTGAATTATTTGTCACTGGGAAACGACTTCACTACTGTGGATGGAAAATGTGCTAAAATTACACGTCAAACTTTCCTCCGATATTTATTTTTGAAGGGGGATGTGCAACCAACGAACGTCATCCTTCCGAGAGCTTTCTTTTCGCAGCTAATAATTTATTCGGCTATGCATTCCCTCATGATCCACAATAGCCCTATCTTTGAAGGACTTGATGGGCCCTCCGTGTAAATCATTACCACTTCAAGACCAAACGCGAAAACGTTCTCCATTGTTATATAAAGATTAACGGGCACAGATCAGGCGAGAGTAAGAAAATTCCGCAAAAAGGAAAGACAACAGACGAAGGTCGAGTGAATTTTGGATCGGCGCCAGATATCAAACTGCCAGCTGTGCATACAAGAGAGAGTGATTGGAAATAGTTTATGGCTGATGGCGGTTTTATTTGGAGGAAAATAGAAATCGCTGTCACCGCCTGCTGCCGCTTGTGTCACTCGAGTAAATAGAAAGAGCCAGTTCGAAATTAGCTGCAGTACTGCCGCGGGTTTTTTCTTCTCTCGCTTTTGGTTACGGTAGACAAATGCAGAAAGGCAACGCAATCGATTCGTTGAATGAATTTCTATATTTGCAGGTCTTTAGAATTGGCGAATAATGGGTTTAGTTTTCGCGTAACAATTGACTTTACTGCTGCTGGCATATTTGTGTAGAGAGTGCTAAACGAAAAATTGGCGATTTCACGGAAATTGACGCAATGACTTCTTACTTTTGTGCTTTTACTGTAAACTGGACGATTGGCAATAAGCAAGAAAACTGATTTGTTATCAATCGTTTGCTTTTCAAACGTTCGTTTCCATTAATTTAATTATATGATGACATCAATTACTCCGCGTAATAACCCAATTTCCTCACTTTCCAATGACATTGTTCAATAATTAAAATAGGCGGCAAGAGGCTCGTAAGAAAGGACAATGAACTGCGCACAAAAGTCTCGATCGACCGATTCGCGCCGGAGAAAGAAAATAAAAGGCTCCGCGATATCACGTACATAGCAATTTTTTTCAAGGACCTGTACGCCAAGATGCAAGGTGCATGTCTATCTCCAAGCATATATCAGCTGTAGTCACGTTTGGTTGCGCTTAAGCTTCAATTATATTATACATCGATTATTTTTACTGAATTACCGCGAACTTGAAGGTTAATGCTTCTAATCACGGTCAGCAAATTATTCGTCATTACGGCGCTGTTATTATAATTCGCAAAATGTTGGAACAGAGATTTTTAATTAATGTCTTTTTTATCTTTTTTATCCTTTGCTCGCTGTAAATTGTCATAAAACATAGCTGCATACGAACTATTTTTACACGCGTTCATCAATATTTTCATAGTTCGCAGATGGAAAAGAGTAACAAAAGAGTAATTAAACGAAAAAAGAGAATAAAAAAAAGGAACGATTATTATCCAGTGATACATTCTTATACGTACGTCGTAAAAAGAAGTGTTCGCGCAAGTGTTCGATGAAAAGAGCGAAAAAATATTCTATCTCAGTTGCGGCATTTAAAGAGACGCGGACTCGCGCGTCCAACGATTGCGCGACTGGAATTCAACGCGCTGAAAAGAGAAAAATAGAATTGACACACATTAGTGTTTGAAACTCAGCGAGCTACAACCTTTTTGCAGATACGAATCTGAAAGCGTCAGCTGTTTAAATTAAAAGGACCTCGAATTGATACATTGGTCCAGTCAATGAAGGTCTGGCGCTAAAACCCCCCTTCAAATTTACTTCAATGACGTGCAACGCATTCTACAAAGTTTTGTTTGTGTACATCGCGACGAGAGAGAGAGAGAGAGACAGAGAAAGAGAGAGTACCGCTTGAGTATCGATTGCGCCGAGTCTCATTAAACTAATGAAATTAAATGAGTGTTGAGCATTGAAACCACTGGAAATTAGAGCGAGCGAGCTTCCCCCCGCCCCGCCCTCGCCCCCGTTGTTTTTAGTGCTTGCATCAATTAGCGAGCCTTGAATTAAAAAAGCCACCATTGTGTACGAAATGTATTGTAATATTTAATAAAATGCAAAAAATACAGGCTTTCATCGTGCGCTTGCTTTCACTAGCACGCGAGCGGTTGATCCAACTAAAATCCAGCTTCGCTCTTTCTTTTTCACGATAACTTGCAATATAGTCGTGCGAGTCGTCGCTCGAGTACCGCACTCAAACCTCAAAACTAAGAGCACTCGATCGAAATGAGTCTCGCTCGTTTTTTCGATAAAGTGAAAAACGAAAAGCAAAAAGGCACAAATAAAAGTAAAGCAGCAGCAGCAGCAGCAGCAGCAGCAGCAGCAGCAGCAGCAGCAGCAGCAGCAGCCGGTCTTGCTCGAATCGAAAGCGCTGCGCTGAAGCGTAGTCCGACGAACATGGTCGTGTGTCCGGCGACGCGTGCGGCACGCGAGGCCTTGAACCCTCTTCTCTCCCCACTCCCTCCCCTGCCCCTTTTGCTCGATTATAAGGCAGGTGAAAAAACCGCGATACGCGCCGCGACGTTGATTGCTGTTTTCTTCTTGAAATTGCGCAGTTTTCGCGATATGAAATTTCATTCGCCAGCCCTCCGAACACTGCTGTTCGGTTAATTGCAGCACGCCAACGACCTTCGCCGCCGTCGAAAGAGAATTGAACGCGACGAGGAGTCCACCTTCGAGCTCGCTACGCTAGACTCTCGGGTTTGCATGGCAAATCGAGACGAAAGAAGGTAGCACCCGCCGAGTAGAAAGTGAAAATAAAGGAAAACGGCAGCGCGCGGAATGTCTAGCATCCGTTGGAGAAAAGGAAAAAATCAATGCCCGGCCGACACACAGCGCAGCAGATTCGCCTACGCGCGAACATTTCCAATGCGGTTCAGGGCACGTGTACGAGAGGGATGTGCGAAGGTTTTTATGCATTCACCTCGGAACACCTGACCGACCCACTATCGTCCTTCGACGCTCTCTTTTTCCCCTCTTATCTCTCTGGCAAAGTTTCGTTCCGGCGGGTGCGACTCGCCCCCCGCTCGTTAAATATTTCAAGCGAGAGACGCTGAATTTTGAGGACAATGCAAATCGCCGACCTGTCCGTGTTTTTTCTTTTTTCAAAATATAAAAAGGCAAACACTCACCTCGTAGAATTGTCGACGAACGAGCCACCGTCGAGTAGCCTGAGTTTGGCGAACAGAATGGCGCTGACGAAAGGCACCGCAGTTAGCTCCTCTAAGCTGACCTCCACCGAGAATTTATACTTCTTCTTCTTCATCATAAAAGCCATATTCATGCGAACCATCCACGCGACCGAATGTTTTCTCCCCCCTACCCCCTTTGTCCGCCACGTTCCTTTCACTTGCTTTCTTCCTCTGTTTTTGCGCGCCGATTAGCCGAAAAATTTACAAAAACAAAAAACAAAATCAACAACGGAATGCTACGTTTGGCGAGCAATCAGCCGCCAACGCGAATGGAAGAAATCGTCACATCAAGTCCTTGGCATCCTGCAAGCATAAAAAACAAATCGACGTTTTTACAAAGGATACTTTGTCAATTATTCATCGAGAGCTACCCTAATAATCGTCGGGACGCAGTGGATTTTCAAATTTACCGTGGGGCTAAAAGAGGCTACAAAGTATATCGACCAGTTATTTATTATTTACCTCCGAGTTTCGACGGAAGGGTGAAAGCCTTAATCAAAGGAGGGTGCGGATCGTCGTTTTACTTATTGAGCTTGCCGAATCGATGGCTTTTTTTTATAAGCCTCCACACCTGTCCTTTCGCTAATTTCGAATATGGCGACAACAGTTTGCGCATTTCATTGTTTTCACGTCGTGCAATTTACAAACGAAACAATACGAAAGAAAAAAAAGCGTTCGACGTTCACCTGCTGGTAGCAGCATACGTAGAGTCGACACCTCGTAAACGCATCTCTCGCGCAAACCGAATAAAGTAGGCCAATTTGTTGTATACAGTTCGCACGCGCGCAGCGGCACACACAGAAGAGAAACACAAGAGTGTCTCGCTTGTGGTTGGCGACGTGTGCGCACGCGAGCTGACGATGCGCACTTGTCTCTATAACTGTGTAACGTCAGGCGTGAAAGCGAGGTGCCTCCTTAGACGCGCGTGCATGCCTACTGAACATCTAGAACTTTGATGCACCTCGAGTAAGAGTTCTCTCTCTCTCTCTCTCTCTCTCTCTCTCTCTCTCTCTCTCTCTCTCTCTCTCTCTCTCTCTCTCTCTCTCTCTCTCTCTCTCTCTCTCTCTCTCACTCTCTCTGGCTCGTGTCGTTGCTGAAATTTTCAGCAGCTAAATTTCCTTTTTCAGCGAGCCTCGACAAACTGGGTTACACGGAATAGGCGAAAAATCACGCTACGACTTTTTCTCCGTTGCCGTCAAGGTAGATCGGAGTGATTAATGGCGACGTCTGCGCTTTTTGGTTTCTAATCGTTCTCCAAGTTCGACAAAGAGAATGTCAAAGCTTTCATTGCAGTGGAACGATCCGTCGACGAGTTTTTGACGGGACACATTTAATTTCCATTGGATTTCCAGCCGACGCATCGAACAACGCTTCGGCTGGATAGTTTCTCTAAACAATCGGACAAGCCAAACTTGCAGAGATATTTGCAGGAAATTCCAGAAAGAACAAGCGATTACTCGTACACGAGAAATGTTCACGATATAGAGCTTTCGCGTGCTTCACGATAGAAACACTCGCTAATTTACGACTTGATTCGCGAATAATCCTTTCAGCGTAATGAAGTTCTGAATTAGGACGCCTTACCGAGTCTTCAGCGGGCGAGAATATAACGCACACTCGGAACTAATGACGCGAATTGCGTTTCAGCTCGGCACGTATACGTCTTTGATAAATGCGAGCTGAGGGCGAACGCATGATTGATAAGCACCCATCTACAACGCGGACCTTCCTTTCCCATTACGGACAAAAAATGCGCTTAACTTTGCCGACATAATCGAAAGACAAGCATTGTTCGTGCGTTGGTTATTCTTCGTTTCTGCGACGATCGATCGGATATAAGAGGGAGTGGAGGCAAATTACTCGCATTCTTTATTGAAAACATAAGCAGACGATCTACGCGCGAGCGCGAACAGCTAGAGAGTCAACGAACCTTTGTACACATGGGCACCGATGCAAATCGCGGCTAAATTTAGATATATGGCTACGGGCGCATTAAACACTCGGAATACATAGCGGAACGCGAAAGCTAATCGAGTCGATCGTAAGGCTGTACACCCATCCTATGTGTGTACAATATCGTTGCGCGCGCGGGCGGCGAGCAAGGACTTGCTACGAGCGAAGATAAAACGAATTTTTTAGAGAAGAGAGCTTTGTCTTTGCTATTCTTAGAACTGACTCATGCTTTATTTGCAATCGTAGGTAGGACTTTTTCGAGAGACAGGGAGTGGGCTTTTCTCTTCGGTATGCTTTGCGCGACTCTTTTTTACTTCTTCGAATTGCTTTAGCGCTACACTCGTGGGATTCTATTGCAGGAACTAAGCACGTTTTTTTTCGATAAAACTGTCTGAGAATACCGATGGAAAAAGTTAATGCCTGCGATTTCGAGGTGAAATTTAATATGCGACGCGTTTTTCTTTTTCTTTTTTTTTTTATATCAAGACGATGCCTCGAAAAAAAATTTACTTTCGCCAATACTAGCACAACGAATTCTTAATAATCTCCTTAATAATCTTGAATAATAACCCGATAACCCGAAAAGAAAATTCAATGATGCGTTCAATGATCCAATTTCGTTTTGATAACATCAATCGGAACGAGAATCGAAAGTAAAAGACATTCGCTCGCGCAAAGTAAATCGCGAACCTATGCCGCTTCCGAATCCTCGCACTGCTCTGCTCGAGGAGCAAAAAGAAAAAAAACCAAGCTCCAGCAAGTAAACGAGAAATCAGCTAGCAGAAAGCCCTCCATAAACCCGTTTGGCCGTGGATAGCTATGCGCGTGAATCGATAAGGACACACTCAGTTGCGTGTATACGTTTTCGGCGACTCTCGCCAGAAAGCGGATGCCCAAGGTCGAGCATTAAGGTCGTCGAGCGTTCGAGCTTATCTCTGCCTCAATATCACGCTTATTAAATGCACGGCAAGCTCTTCTTTCCAACTGCCACTGATTTTTCTTACATTCGAAAATTCGTGTACTAGCGTCCGATTCCGCGGTACGTCTTTCTCCCCGAGTCACGACGCTGACAATTTTACGAGCCATAAATCTGTCGCTCGCGCCAAGTTCCCTCGTGCGAGATAAAACCTACAACGAGGAAGGAAAGGAAGCTTCCGAATACGACAGTCTCACGGGGGATCAAATCCTGGGAATTTCAAAACTGTTGTACAAAATAGACATTGCTTAATTATGTCGGAAGTGTCCCATCGAGTGCTACTTCTACAATTCAAGTTTTAACGATTCGTCGATATATATCGCAATCGAATGTTCCGGTAAGCGAACTAACGGTTATCGATAAAAGCCTGCGCGGTACTTTACAGGTATACCCACGTTCATTTTTCCGCGAGTTGGCTAACTCCGAAAAGCACTTTAGACTCGCCGATATGTATGCGTGTCGTAATTTACATGACTGTTTCCTTTTAATTGTCTTTGATAGCGCGGAGCTTATCTAATCTCTTCTTATATGATTATTGACAATATAAAGATGTCATAGACTCATAGCGACGCCGATAAGGAAGTTCTCGTTTATAGTCGAGGCTATCAAAATTCGACCTTCGCAGGTGTCTGTCTGGTTTCTTCTCTATAATTGAATTTTCAAGTTCGTTCGTGATTATTACGATCTCATGAAAGAAAATCATTTATTTTAAAAGCAATGGTCTATTTCATAAGATAGAAACGATCGTTCAGAAAAAAAAAATACCTGACGAGATAGAAAGCTTTACAGTGGTGTTTGATACAGAGTTTGAAACTTTATTCCCTTTGCCAAAAAGTCAAACAATATGTTACTCACTCGCGGAACGATTTTTTGCCTGTTACGTCCTCTCTTTTACTAGTGAAAAACGTGTCTGACATGTGGTAGCCGGAGAATTTGAGCCTTTGCCCGACTCGAGCGAGCAAATACTTCTTTTATTTTTATGTAAACACACATATACACGTAACGAGTAACAGGTTAGCTCGAGCGTAAGTAAACCAACGATATTTTTAGGCTACGTAACTATGTACCTGTTTTCGTGAGTACGTGCGAGAGCAATCGATTCCTTTTTTTCACAATTTTTTATTTTCGGCTTCACTTAAAACTACTTACTTAGTATTTTTTCCACGAGTTTTTCTTGCATTGAAACACTGTAAAACGATTATTTGAGTTACAAAATTTAACGTTCGCCAATATGTCGTAATGTTTTACGAGCTCCATTTTGAAAATATTCCAGATTATTTTTACACCTTGTCACATGTTTGCACATTCATTTTTTCAAGTTCGCTAATGGAAAGCCTGGGGTAAAATAAACCCCAATTGAAAAATTGATCGACAAACGCGACTCCTTGTACCTCTCGACCCATAATAAATTAAAGTGAAACGATCGCCAAATTATACCTCAGTGCCAGAGATAAAGCAGTTATTTGTGAATCTTTACCAGCACTATAACAACAAACCAAAGAAATCGATCATCATTAACTTGCGCTGCGTGGATGTTTTTCTGGGAGTCGGACAATGCCGCAGGAGTCAAATGGCGTAACACGAGAGCCCGATATAAAAATGAATTGAATTTTCCTTCGCGATAGAAACTTGCGCATTTCGTGATGTTTATCATCGCGTCAGATACTTATAAATTAAGAAGAGGTGCTTTTTCCGACGTAATGGATACACAGAAAAAAAAATTAATTGTTTGTCATTTATAACGATCGGAGTGAGTCAGACACTCGTGCAAAGAGCAAGATGTTTATTTTTAATTGTGATACTTGGCACGTGCCGTATATAAGCTTTTCGCTCAAGTACGTTCCATCCGAAAAACTATTTATCGCTTTGTATAATGGGGAATAACGCGCAACAGAAGCAAAAAAGCTTTGTTTAAGTGTTGACATCTTCGGCAAAAGTTCTCGCGCTTGTTCGAAAACCAATGTACTTTTTTTCGCGTTGTCAAATATGAATTTCGCAGCTCAATATAAGTGTAATATACCTACGTGTGATTGTAAAGTAACATTGTCAAACTCGAAGGTATAATCGCGTATAGTTTACAAATTGAAAACGTTAAAATAAGAGTTATGTAATGACCCATGGCGATGCCAATTTGTTAGTTCTATAATGTGTCATTTGAATTTTTTTTTTTTGATTCGATGAAATCATAACCTGAATTATTATCAATCGTTTTAGTAAGTAGGCTTGTTTCCAGTTAGCGAGTAATTTATTCCGACAAGTTATCAACTACCGTGTGTGTCTATGTGCTATTATCGAGTATTTTTAGCCTTAAAATGTTTGTATCTTTTAAATATCATGCGTTATCCAACAACACATCTCGACAAAAGTGATTCACAACCGTTTTCAATCGAGTTCATTGCGTAAAAAAGAAAAAAAAATCTCGTTGACGTGATAATAAATAATACTCGTGTGGAAACAATCGAAAATCAAATCGAAAGGTCATAGTTCAAACCACGTGCGCTGAATTTCTTACGTAACTCTCTTCTCTCTGAATTTTTTCATTAGCATAATTTCAGACGCCTAAGTGAGTATAAAATGTCCACGTGTTGGGTTATAGCATCATAAATCACATGGCTGATTTGCTCGGCAAGGAGGGTATACGTTGTCGTGCATTATGAATTCGGGAGTGGATGAGATTGAAAAATGAATGAAGCTAATGAAGGCGGTCAGCGCGATTTTGACACGTTACGTCAGATACGTGTATTCACCAGCTTGAATGATCAACGGATTTTTTGCTTTACTTTTTGATGAAAAATTTTCATGCGACCATTTCAATGAACGTTCGTTGTTTCCAGTTTTTTTCAGAACGATAGATATATTTTTTATCTTGTCGTCGTTCTATTGTTTTGAAGCTGCATTCTACGGCCGACTATTTTTTTTTTGTTAGAGCGTTATACTCGCAACTGTTGATTGAATAATTAGCAACTCAACCTGTACATCAGGAAATTAATATATAACGTTTCCTTTTTTTATTTTATTACAAGAAGTGCTTCGCGAATCATAAAAGTGATGCGTGACTGTTATGTAAAGAGTGCCAAGTTTTATGCACATTTTGCGAAAAAACGAACAATATGCATACATACACATACAGCTCGTGGCCAAATATTGAAACACCATTATTGAACAATATTACAGCAAAGAACAAACTCGAAGTTCAGCTTGTCATAAAGGAAAAGGCACAAGCTCATGGATGCATCATAATTTGTCGAAGGGGGATAATCGACCTAAGGGATGAAAGAAAAAAAGAAGGGCAGCTCCCGTGGACTTAACCTTAAAATGCATCTCTTACTAGCGACAGCAAGAGAATAAAAAAATCTTATGGGCAGATGCCACATAACCTTATAGAGATATATACTTGCGTGCACTCTTCCTTGGAGGATTTCGTCGTGCCTTTTTCTTCTCTCGTTGTCTAATCTAACAATAGATAACAAATAAAAACACACAATTCGCTCAAATTTTTGCACTAGATACACACTATGCTAAAGCGTTGGCGTCAGTCTGCACTCGCATAATCTTTTTTCTTTCTCTCTCTTTCTATCTCTTTCTCTCTCTCTCTCTCTCTCTCTGGCACGAGCACACACACAGAACACGACGACGGTCGTCTGCGGACTGACGCAGGACAAGCAGCACAGCAGCAACGAGAAAGATCTTCGAGCCAAGTTAAGTCGAGGAGGCGGCGGTGGTGGTGGTAGCAGCAACGCAACGTGAGGGGGACGCCCGCGCGCAAGTTGTGTGCTTTTTTAGTTTTGTTTTTTTCTCTATACTCACAGTCACGATACGATCACTAAACATGTGTTTGGTGCTGACATCTGAAGATGATTGTTGGAGTTATGATTGTGGATTGTCAAAGAACTCAAAGTATAGTTGCCGCTTAGTTTTGAAATTGTTACTATTGTTAATCAACTTTGTTCCATTTCATGCACCCGATTAAAATATTGATTAATAGCTTGAATATTTATATTCAGACTTTTTGAGAATATCTAATTATATTCAGTTTTTGAAATTAATTATCTCCAATTAATTTTTAAATTATTCCCATTTACTGCAAACTAACTCAATAGTATACGAATTACGAATGTCGTTTTTGGAAATCTAGTGCCACTAATTACCAACCGTTAATCAAACTTAAAATACTGCTGTGCATATATATATATATATGCTATATATATATATATATATATGTTTTATATATGCATCAAAACTGCCCAGATAACTTACATGATCGAGAAACAGTCGGCAAATGGCCATATGATCAGCAGTGGTTACTTAAAAAAGGTTATGTTAATTGTGCAATAATCAAAAAGATTCAAATGAAGCCTTACAATGTTACTTAGAAATTTTTTATTTCAATTTATTTTGGTCATTGTACTCTTTATAGTCATTATTTATGAAAGGAGTCGTCTCACTTCGCTAGAAGATTCAAATAAAAAATTACGTGAGTGTGTACACTTTGCTACTTGTTTTTTATTTGATATTTTTTAAACAATTTATGATAAAGTAACTTACGTAATATTATTAATTTTGTAGAAAATGACATCCTGCTACTCAGGACTGAACTTAAAAGCACTCCATCACCTGAAGCTAAACTTCAAGTGCAGCTGGCAATAAATAATGACGACTATGTTGTGATGTACAATAGAATTCCAAAAACGGGCTCTACTAGTTTTGTAGGAGTTGTATATGATTTATGCAAGAAAAACAAATACCATGCTTTACATATAAACATTACTAACAACTTGCATACGCTTACTCTTCCTAATCAAGTAAAAATGTTAACTTTGTTTTAAATTTATTTATTTAATAATTATGAGTTCAACCTTTCATTTTTATTTCTTTTTGCAGATTCAATTTGTACGTAACATTACGAACTGGAACACAATGAAACCTGCGTTTTATCATGGACACATAGCATTTTTAGATTTTGAAAAGTCAGTAAATACATTTAATAGTAAAAAAGGCAACTGATTTTGCTCAAAATATTTTAAGTTTTCTTTGTACTTCAGGTTTGGAGTAAAAAGCAAACCATTGTATATAAATTTACTACGTAAGCCTTTGGATAGATTTGTTTCGTACTACTATTTCTTACGATATGGAGATAATTTCAGACCTCACTTAATAAGACGAAAACACGGGGATACAAAAACTTTTGATGAATGTGTGAATGAAAAACAAGCAGACTGTAATCCCAATCATATGTGGCTTCAAATTCCTTTCTTATGTGGACATGATCCAGCATGCTGGTAAATATATTAGAAAAAAGCTATTTTTATCAAATTACAATTAAATATATTTGTTTTTATTAGGGAAGTTGGTAATCAATGGGCTTTAGAACAAGCAAAACGGAATTTGCAACAACACTATTTACTTGTTGGAGTAACTGAAGAGTTAACAGATTTTATACATACGCTTCAAGTTATTTTACCAAGATTTTTTAAAGGCGCGCATGATCTTTTTTTACATAGTGAGTTATTTCCTGATTTCCCAAAAGTAATACTGTATGATAACACTAACATTTTTACGTATATTTTATTTATGTTAAAGATAACAAGTCACACTTACGGCAGACAATACAAAAGAAAGATCTTCTACCAGAAACTTTAAAAAAAATTCAAGAAACTATTGTATGGAAGATGGAAAATGAACTTTACAACTATGCTTTATCTCAATTTCATGCTATAAAGAGACGGCTCATTAATGCATCTATGCAACACACGAATCAGCGCTATTTTTATGAAAAAATAAGACCAAAATAGAATAAATTCTTTATTTTCTATAACCTTTTATTTTTTATTTGTTTACATATACTGCAAAGCTTCAATTAATTTTATTAACAAAATTTTAAGCCAAGTTTTAAATACAATATAAGTCAAAAGCTAGAAGATTGTATTTTGCTATAATTTTTTTACTAATAATTTTATGTGTTTATTTTTAAGTTTGGAAAGACTTAAACGTGGTCAATATTATAAATATTATAAAATTTCTATCTTGATACTTTTATGTACAGATCAAATAGTATAGCAGTATTTACTTGATGTAAATGAAGACTGTGTGATATTTAAATATAATTATAGCGTAACTTAATGGACGTTTACTATTCAAGAAACAACCAATTATCAAATAATTAATATCAATGTGAGTTATCCAAGTTTGAATTTGTATCTTCGCATGGTTTACAAGCAAACATATAGACTGGATAGAGTCCATCTGGCATATGGCATTGCCTTTCTTCTCTGACAACTTTAAAGCCTGACTTCTCAATAACTTCCAATAGTTCTGCTTTAGGACGGGTACACGAGGAGTCTTCTTTATCTATTTCCTTTTTATTTGAAGTTGTGACATTTTCTTTAACAATCAAAATTCCATTTTTTTTCAGTCCTTGACTGTAATAAAATTCAATTAGATAATTACTATTTTTATAAAAATAAATATTTCTAATTCCAAATACTTACCGGCAGTTTTGAAAGAATTTGATTAAGTCTTCGTCATTCAAGTGACCCAGAACCCATTGGCACCATATCACATCATACTTTTTTGGTTCAGGGCAAAAATCTTGTAAACCTAGAAGTAGTTAAAAATAAATCATGTTTCAATTCTAAAGTTTATTTAAAATTAATAATTTATTTATATGATTGCAGTGTTAATTTTTAATATTACTTACCTACAGAGTGAAATCGTCCTACTCTACTCGTGGAATGTTTTAAATACGATTTTGCTTGCTCTAAAAATTTCGGATTTTGTTCTACTAAATCAACTTTATCAAAAAATTTGCTAAGCAAATTTCCTGTTATCCTACCAATACCAGCGCCACAATCGAGAGCATATTGTCTTTCTATCTTCAAATCTTCATTCTGTAAATATTTCGTTAACAAATAATTACAGAATTGTATGTAAATATAATAAATTCAGATAAATAAATGTAAGAAAACTGTAACAGTTTAAGAAAAGTAAACTTACAGAAAAAAGAGACTTTAAAAATTTTTTTGAACCAGCAATGTCAGTATGAGAAATAAATCCAAACCCTCCTAACATTCCATCAACAGTTGCTGGTATTTTTTCCCAATATTTTGCTGCTTTTATATAAAACGTTTTCTCCCTTAGTATCACTTGTAAATCGCAAACTTCCTCTTGCTCCATCGTAAAATAACAGTTATTATAAACTTGTTTTCGTTTAGAAAAATGCTTTACATATACTGAACAATCTATAGCGATTTCGTAAAGTTTATTTTTAATAAAACATAATCTTACGAATCGATCAGTAAGTCAACTTAAAATAACCTAAAACAATGCTGATAGCACATTTAGTTCGAACTACTTAGGTAATCGGTGTTTTATGGTGTACATTCGCGATAATTTACTTGTCAAATGTGTTTTATCTACTAACTACACTTAATTGTATATAAAATATTCACTGGGAATAAAATTTTAAAATCACGTGTAAACAAACAATATTGACATTTAGAAAATCATATTAGAACGTAAAAACATTCAACCCGTTTAAAGGCGCGCGGAAAGTCACGTGACTTAAGTCAAGTTCATTTCAGTTCCGAAATTCTTATTAGTAATTGTTCCTAATTGTGATTAAAAAGACTGCAATATTTATCTCAGCTTCAGATCGAAAAATCTGATCAATACAACTTCTATCAATTTAATCTTTGATTGCTAAACGATAAATATAAAGATATTGAAAATGGGTGGACCAGATTTACCAGAAACACCAGCACCCTTGAAGAGTATCCAGCCTTATTTAAAAATTGCTAATGAACATGATCAAAGGGATCCTATTATTAGCTATTGGTGTAAGTTATTGAAATTATAACTTAACTAATTCTAAAGCACTTTTGTAGATTTGACTTTTTCCTCATAGTGTATGGAATAAGGTAAAGGATTTATATAATGTTATTAAATATTTTTTGCAGGCCGATTATATGCATTGCAAACTGGTCTCAAGCTATCAACAAAGACTAGTGATGAAACGGCTTTTCTACTAAAATTGATGGATTGGCTTGAATCAACAAAGAAAGCTAATGCTGAAAATGAAGCAATTACAAATGATGTAGCAGCTCAAGCACACTTGGAAAACTGGGCCTTAAAACTGTTTCTTTATGCAGACAAAAATGATAGAGCCTCTAATTTTGGCAAAAATGTGGTACAGAGTTTCTACACAGCTGGACTTTTGTATGATGTACTTACTACATTTGGAGAGTTAAGTGAAGAAGCTATACAGAATAAGAAGTATGCGAAATGGAAGGCAGCTTATATCCACAATTGCTTGAAGAATGGTGAGACACCAGTTCCAGGACCTCTCAAAGATAATGATGATAATTCAAATGAAAATGTTGCTGATAACTCAGGTGAGCACAGCACTTTATGATTCTATTAATTAGTCATTGACTTTGATAATGCCAATTCTTTTAAAAATTAATTTATGAAGTTGAAGAGCTTATCCAAACAATATTAATATATTGAAAAATAACTTAACAAATAAAATAGGCATTACTATTAAAAAAATCTATGTTTAATTAACAGAAAATGAAGAAGATGAGGATAATGAGAATAATGGTAATTTTCGACTGATTATTTTCAATTATTATCAATAAAAAAACACACACTACTTTTTTTATTTTCGATATCAGCTTCATGAACAGCATATATTGATTTCAATACTTACAATTTTCATAGATTTTTTTATTTTTACAGTTCCTGGTGCAAAGCCTACATTACCTTCGCAAGCTCCATACCCAATGCAGCCATTAATACCTTCTCAACCTTCTCACCCAACACCACCAAGCAACATGGGTGCTTTTGACTTCCCTGCAGTACCAGGTATAAATAAATGTTCAAGTTGATTTACACTTGCTTTATTAACAATTTACTTAAGTAACTTGTATATTTTATAGTTTAAAGTAAAATTAAATTATAGATATTTTATTTCTGTATGAATTGGATATTTTTGTTAGGTCATGAAGGTGAAAATGATGAAAAGGAGGGGAATATTGATGAAATCGGTAATTTGTAATGAATCGTGATAATAAGTGTTATTTTTATGCATGAGATATTTATATAAGATTTTTAATAAATGAAATGTTTAAACATTTTAAATAGTTAAGGAGGATGACAATGATATTAATAATGCAGCTGGTGAAAATAACGACGAAACCGGTAATGCGCCGTTATTTCGGCTTTAATTTTTTATTCGTTATTACAACAGTTAAGAGTTTTTATTTGGAAAATAATTTATTTTAATTCAAATTTTTGTAATTATAATCTGTAGCTCGAAAAGGAGATGACAATCGAGGTGATGAGAATGACGAAGAATTGGGTAATTTTAATTCTGTGAATTAATAATTCAGTGACGTAACCTATATGAAAAAAATTTTTTTTTATTATTTAAATTACGTAGCTAACGAGGAATATCATGAACCAAATTATGATGATGCTGTCAAAAATAATGAAGATACTGGTAATTTTGAGCCAGTTACAAAATATGCACGACCTTTTTTTCTAACTTATTTTTCTTAAGATTTTAATTGACAATTTTTATTCAATGTTAACTTTATTATTGAAACTAGCTGAAATCAAGGAAAATCAACAGAATGAATACATCGAAAAATCGGGTATATAAAATAATAATGTATTTAATATCATAAACTTAATGTCCGTTCTATGTACTAAACTTATAAAATGATATTCCGAATAGCTGAAAAGGAAGAAGACAAGGAAGATGAAGTTGAAATTAATAACAACGAAGAATTGGGTAATTTCTAATGATCAATTTTACAATACTTGAATCAAAAACACACGTGGTTGACTTTACAAACCTTGCTTGATTGAAAATTTGTGTCGACATTGGTGTGATTACTTGTGATTTGATCGCTGCACGCATTAAATTATTTGATTTAATGTTGAAATTTTTAATTAATAAAATTATTATTGTACGCAGTTGAAGTAGGAGATAACCAGGATAATGAAAGTATTGAACAAAGTGGTAATTTTGAATTAAGCTTTTTAGCTATCAGTCACGTGCACGAAGCTTTTATTCTTTATTTTTCATCTTTTGATTTGAACACTAAGCCATATGAAAGATAGCGTGCATACACGTAACGATCAACATTAACATTATCACGTGAGAGTTTTTCTCACAAACTTCTATTCGAATTTTTACTCTTTAAACCCATTAACTTATGAATAATTTTAGTTTGCAGCCTTTGTATTACTCATAAAACAATGTTTTCGTACTTCGAAAGGTTCATCTTCAATACAATATCATGTTTCAACCAATGTTAAAAATTCTACCATTTGGTGTTCAATTGATCTACAATATATGTTTCAGCTGAACAACATCCGTACAATCCAGCACCGACACCAACAAATCCTGGAACAAATAGCAATAAGCCAGCAACAATAACTTCTGAAGGTATTTCGCATTTTTCAGAATTCTATTCCGCTTTTTTACGTAAAAGTGAATCTCAATATAAATAACAAAAAATCCTACTTTTCAGCTGGTGTAGAATTAACACCTGAACAATCACTAAAAGCTCAAAAATACATAAAATGGGCCGGTAGTGCTTTAAATTATGACGACGTGCCTACATCAATCTTAAATTTGAAAAAAGCCTTACATCTTCTCACAACTGGAGAAGATCCCGCATGAAAATTGCTTCTATTACGCAAAAATAGAATTATTTTCAATAATTTCAACGTTATCGAACGACTTAAACAAGTTAATATTTTGCGTCATTCCGTTTGCTAATAAAGCTTTTTTCATACTTTTTTTTCGACTCGACGTCACGAAGAAAATATTTTCTTAACGAAACGTATGCTATAACAATATTAATATATGCTTTTTATTATATTTGTACATATATTGAAGTGTTGTATATTTAAATATAGCGAAGCATGAATAATAAAATATGATTTTTGCACGAAATGTAGTATTTTCTCAAGGATCATAAATAAAAAACTTCACAGCATTAGATTTAACATTTTTATTGGATGAACGCAATTGAACAAACTTTGTCTTTTTAAACGAAAAAGAGGCATTTCTCAATAATAAACGGATACTGAAAGAAAAAAATTCCAGAAACTTAAGAAACGTTCGTTGAAAACTGTATTGCTTGCTGCTGTATTATTTATGTTTATTGATAGAAGTTCAAACCAGAAATATATAATTATTTTTATTTAACACATTTTTGCTGATCGATTCATAGGCTTGAAAGAAAAAAATTTGTTAAAAATTTCATAAATAATCGTAGATATAATTACTATAACATCATTAGATTAAATTCGATCGTGCATAACTACTCGACGCATCTGTGCATTGTCTCTATTTGATTTCTTTTAAGTATACAAATGTGCATTGTATATTTTTTCAGCGTATTAAGTGTAAAAACTTGTGCACGGTACACAAAATATTGCAATTTAAAAACGCACATCATCCAACATTGTCTTCATAAATATATTGATACGATTTAATACTAGGTAGAATCCAACGTAAATACGTTAATTAATTTCACATAACAAAAGAAAAACAAATCGAATATGTGTGTAAGATAGAAACGAAAAATCAGTACAATTTCAACTATAAGAATTATTTGAATTTTAAGAAAAGCATGTTAATTCTTCAATACAATAATAATGCCTCCTGTCATAATATTCACTGTGCACTCGTGTAAAAGAGTGTGTGTGTGTGTGTGTGTGTGTGTGTGTGTGTGTGTGTGTGTGTGTGTGTGTATATACACACGTGCTCGCCAGACTAGATTGATTTTCACGCGAGCGCGTTTGGCAATGGAGATTATCCTCTTTTCTATAAAAAGCCTATAGGTAACGTATAGTTCGATTGGTCGCTTTGAGCTCACTTATAAAATACAAAAGCCCGTATTTAAACAAACCGTCGTTGGCTTTTATGCAAGAACAATAAGTGACAAGGTTGGCTTTTCTCTTTTCGTGACTAGAATTGCTTTCAACCTCTCTTTGACTCACTTTTGTCGTCGTAGCATATTACCCTTTATTTAGTTTTGTCGAACCGAATTATTGGCTCGCGATGGGTGGGTATTGTTTTCGTTTTCTTTTACTTTATTGTTTTTTGTTAATTGTTTTGTTCAAGGATTGTTTTTGCTCTGTTTTGTCAAGGTTGTCAACAATAATAAGCGTTTCAGTCTTGTTTCTTCGATTTATCATCTATACCGTTGGTCGTCGCCGCTTGTACCTCTTTCCGTCGCAATTGCCAGTCTATTACCAAACGGCCTGTCAACATGAAGAAAAATACCTGCAAGACAAATGCAATGTTATATTGCGGTCGTACTAGCTATTCGTGTTATAATAGAGAGAGAGAGAAAGAGAGAGAGAGAGAGAGAGAGAGAGAGAGAGAGAGATACTCACTAGTGCCGGTGCAATCCTCTCGAATTTATCGTTGACCATGTAGTGGGAATATACTGCCATTACCATTAATAGTAGCAGCACTCCGTTACAAGCGTTTTTTATTTTATCTGCAACAAATTTCCAGATTTATTTTCAAGAAAATTCCAATCTAACGTTAATTCATAAATAATAAGTAGAAAACTACTTGATATGGTCAGACGCACACTGATCGGCAAACAATATATCTTATTGTTCGGCGAGCTTGAAGCGTGTAAATCATTCCTAGTACTGCAGCGCGTGAAGCAAGTTTTTGACTCTCAATGCCAAACTTTGTCGGATAATATTTATGCATTACACGCTATCCCTTTAATCTGAGACTTTTCATTGTTGGTTTTGAAAGTCTACACAATGAGTTTGACTTGTGCTCTAAACGTAAATTAAACAACTAGAACGTTTATCACGTGAATTTTCTTTTTAATTTTTAAATTTAAATTAATTATTTTTGACGATCTCGTCCTTTTAGAACTCGACTATAAAATATTGTCTATGGTCATTAAAAGTTTTACAGATTGTTTTAAGAAAAACTCACGAAGCAGTATTTTTTAAAAGGAAAACAAATCAACGTGGATTTCTCAGTCGCCTACAGCACAATATAGTAAACAAAGAAGTAATTTATTCAGATGAACCTACAACTCGGTATAAGTGCCATAGCCAATCCACAGACGATCTCGAGTGAGCCAACGACTCGCCGATACCATTTGCTTGGTACTTTGAAATCCAGTGTACTCGCCAACGGGAACACCTTCGCATACTTGACGTACTCCTTCCTCTGCAAAAAAAGCACATCAATTATCGTGAGAAACGTACGTGCGAGCGCGAGGCAAAGGCCACTTGGCCTCGTGCCAAGTTATTGAAGTCGCTCGTGCAAGCAACGCACAGCAATGACACTAGCAGAAAATAGACCATCAGCCCCCCCCCCCCCCCCCACCCCCCACTGTAAATACACATATTTCATATATAGATGTGCTACTCACGACAACCATAAAGCTATGTGTCTGCCGCAATGACTCATAATTTTTTTCAAGGTACACGCGAGTTCAAAGTCGCCGAAAGATCGACTATTAGAGCGCTCGCTAAAATCTATTTATAATGAAACACGAATCGCTTTATTTCGACGTTGTCGACACAACGCAACATTTTTCTTTCGCTCGTTTGCAGATTTTAGGCTGCTGTTGTTCATTTCTTTCGCCTTACAAATGACTCGTGGCACTGTGTGCTTCAAAATAAAAAGCATTCAACCCGTCACGTTCGTAATGGGAAAATGGCAGAATGAATGCGAGCATTCGTTTTGTTAGAACAATCGAAATCCGCAAATCGAAATCAGCATTAATCGTCGCTTGTTCATTGAAGGCTATTCACTTCATGGGGAGGCATGTACGAAAATACCTAAATATAGATGGAACACCGACTTCCTGCAAAGCAATTTTCCATTTTCAAGACGGAAAATACGCAAATACGGGTGTTCGCATATTGATGCGCGAGCAAGCAATTCAAGCGTTAATTTTTCCTCTCCCGTCTACACCTTGCCAATTATTCTTTAATGTTTCTTTACAACCGTATTGGATATACCGTATGAAAATATTGAATTCAGTCTCTCCCACGCTGTCAAAATTATATAACCACGCCGGTAAAAAAAAAGAGCGAAGTATCACAAGGCGAAAATTACATAAGTGGACGTATAGATTTGAGGGTTGCGCCCCTTCGATGGTTAGATATTGACCGTCTCGTGACTCATGGCTGCGTGTTTGTGGACAACGATGACGTGCATCCCATTGATTTTCTTTTTCCCGACTCCCCCATGAGCCTTTTGTTTATATGCCAAATGTGTAAATCCACCAAAAATAAATAACAACATTATGAAGCATGCGTTCGACTTTCTATTGAGATCATAAATTCAAAGAAAACTCACGAGGTCCTTGTGAAGGTCCTTGCTGATGTGCGAGGTGAGCTTCATTGTGCCGACAAACACGAAGAACAAGCCCAATAGGATGGACAACGATTTTAACACTATCGAGCCCATCTTTTCCTTCTTTTACTTTTGTTCTTTTGAGGGACGGCACAACAAGCTCCGATTTCGCGGAAAAATAAGGGAGCAAAATAAACAACACACACGCGCACTGTGACAAAAGACGGAAGAGAAGAAGCAATAGACACTAACTGGGCGCAGCCCTTTGGCGAAGTTCGAGGACATGCATCGTGAATGATGGTGGTGGTGCAGCTGAGTCGCGTACGAAAGTTCTTGTCCCTGGCCACTGTGTGATTGACGACAGGCAGGCAGAAGACAAGTGTCCCCGAAGCCCCAGACTCAAGCCTGTTTTTAGAATCGCGTTACCCCCCCCCCCCCCCCCCCCTATTCGCTTTTTTAGAGCCGGCGGATACACGTATAGCGGCTATTCTCCCTCCACTCTGGAAAATCGTTATGTATGTACAGCTGTTTTGTCACGACACTAGAGACATCTAGCGATAATTTCACATGTTTTTACTGTGCACCGTTAGGTTTCATATGTTTGTTTGTTTGATGGCTGCGCGCATTGACAACGACACATCGACTTTTGTAGATTTTGATACTTTTGTCACGCACGTATCGTTAAAAGGAGTGTAACCCGCTAGGTTCCGGCGATCTTTTTTTCTTTGTCTGTTCGAAGAGAATTAGGAAATATAGCACACTGCATTTCTTTTTTGTTTCTTGAAAGAGGTGGTTGAATGTGCCAGTGAGAGGATTGTTTTTATGTGATATGCGAAGTTATGGATTTTTTGTTTACAAAATAGAATAATGCTTTTGGAGTTTTTTGTTGAACAAACAAATCTATGCAGTGATCAAACTGTAACGATGTAAGGACATCAACGATCTCATTAAATTGTTTTGTATGAAAACTGGTGTATAGTTTAACAGACTATGCATTTTTTACAGATGCTAGTGATGTTACTGAAAATGTAAAGTTCATAAATCATTGATATAAGATTCAATAAAAATGGCAAGCTTACGAGGACATAAATCCTCAGAGCCATATCAGGAGTTGGATGAGATCCGAGGTGCAGAGTTGAATAATGTAATAAACTCTGCGGTAAGGAACCACATGTCCAGTGATTTTGGCCTTGACAGGTCACTAGAGCTTACATCTGTTGCTGTTGTTCCGGATGGTATTTACTTTGTTGTGTAATATTTCTAAATAGTATTGTTAAGATATAATTATTGTGTATATTAATATTTAACCAGAATTAATGGCTGTAAAATATAATTTTCCAAAATAATCAATAATTAATGTTACTAAAGATTTTCAATGATTTTATGTAAAGTACTCTTGTAATTTTGTTATATTTTATTAAAACCCTATCTAATCTCAAACTAAAAGGTTGATGGAATGTACATAATGTATTTCAAATGTACATAATTATTAAAAAAATGCTTCGAATGTAACTTGTGAAAGCTATCTAATTCATCTAACAGTCTATATCTTCAATCTATTAAAGGGTATGGTTAATACATTGACTTGGGTATGAGTAATCTTACTGAGTTGTGGAGCATATAAGATTTCCATTTTTGTGGTTCTGCGCTTGAAATGAAACTGATTTATCTTTGCATCTCTGCCAAATTGTACTATTGTTTGCAGATTACTTTAGCTTTATGGTGAGCCCAATTAATATACTATATTTTTATGTAATGTACTGTATTTATCCATGTATAAGATTTGAAGAAACAAAATTCAATTTTTTTTTATTTTTTCATCCACACAAGAGTATCTTATCTATGGAGGCATCTTATATATAGATAAATATGGTATATCATGTGTGTTGGAGTGTGCTTTAGGCATTATAATTTCAATATAATTTAATTTTTCTTAATTCATTATTTTATAGATTAATAGAAAGTATCTTGTTTATATTGTAAAATGTGAATTAGCATTTGATATATCTTTTTTTATTAGATACTTTCACAGTCAGTCAAGCTATCAATCTCTTAGGCTTTGGAAGATTTCAAGTGAAACTTTCGTTATTTACCGGTCTATGCTGGATGGCTGATAGCATGGAAATGACCATTCTTAGTATTCTTAGTCCAACATTACACTGTGACTGGGGAATCTCAAGGTATCAGCAAGCCCTAACGACAACTGTAAGTAAATGTTATTCTTGTAATAGATTTAGGAATATCCATTTATAAAACCATCTCCAATAATAATTTGATTGTAGGTAGTTTTTCTGGGAATGATGCTCAGTTCCACATTTTGGAATAACTTAAGCGATCGTTATGGTAGGAAAAAATCATTGACGTTATGCGGAGTATTACTATTTTATTATGGATTTTTAAGTTCCTTTGCGCCAAATTTCTTGTGGATTTTACTACTTCGCGGACTCGTCGGATTTGCTATTGGCTGTGTTCCTCAATCGTTAGTTTAAACTTTTAAAATATTCTAAAATTTATATATTTTTAATTTTACGTGTCTCTATTTTTAATGACAGAGTAACGTTGTATGCTGAATTTTTACCAGCAGAACAGAGAGCAAAATGTGTGATTCTTCTAGATGTAAGTTATCCTTCGTTTTTTTATTTATTAAAGATTATGTAATAGATTATTGATTCATATGTTTCTGTTACAGTGTTTCTGGGCACTTGGTGCTTGTTTTGAAGTGGCATTGGCATTGGTGGTAATGCCACATTTAGGATGGAGATGGCTACTAGTTTTATCAACAATACCATTATTTTTATTCTTTATAATAACACCGGTAATTCGATCATACCTTTGCTTTTGTTTGCTTTCTATAAAAATAAAAGTATAAGTTGATTTGAAATTTCAGTGGCTGCCGGAATCAGCTTCCTACGACATGATGATGGGACGCACAGATAAAGCACTCACAACATTAGAAAGAATAGCGCGAGAAAATGGAAAGCCAATGCCATCAGGGCGTCTTGTAATCGATCGGGTATATCCATCGAGCCGAGGAAAATTGGTCGATTTGTTGAATAAAGACATGTACAAAACATCAGTATTACTCTGGCTTGTTTGGTAAATACATTAAAAAATTATAAATTTCCTTGAAAATTCAGAGAATTCTAAATTGGCTATTGTCACAGGATGGCAAGTGCATTTTGTTACTACGGAGTCGTGCTCATGACAACAGAACTTTTTGACACATCAGCCGATCAATGCGGTGACCAAGTAGCTGAGGAACGAATTCAAGAACGCCAATGCTTGATAAACTGTCAACTAAGCCGAAGCGATTACATGGATTTATTATGGACGACTCTCGCCGAATTTCCCGGTATTTTCTCTACAATCTACATTATAGAGAAAATCGGTCGTAAGAAGACCATGGCATTCCAGTTAGTGATGTTCGCTGTAGTCGTCTGTTTTTTGGGTCGTGCCTGTCGCCTCAGTCGTTTTGTACTTACCCTCAGTTTATTTCTTGCGAGAGGTTTGATTGCTGGTGTTTTCCAAGCTGCTTACGTTTATACACCCGAACTCTATCCAACGTACTTGAGGAGTACTGGTGTGAGTGCTTGCAGTGCAATGGCGAGACTAGGTGCTATGGTCACACCTTATATCGCACAGATTCTACTTAGGTGGTCAGTACCTACGGCTATGGGTACTTATGCGATTACTGCATTGTGCGCGGCTTTTGCCATTATTGCACTGCCCGCCGAAATAAGGAAACGTTGAGGCTCAAATATGAGATTTCATGAGCGATAAGATGGTGCATCTTTTTTTACGTGTTAATTTGAAAATGGATTTTTTTAGCGTTTGTCAATGACTGTAATTACAAGTCACTTTAAATCATTCTTTGAATGTTATGGTATTATTTCATCTATCAAGTACTTTAATTCATTAGTAGTTATTTCCAGTTATTTGAAAGTGTACTTTCATAATTCTATTTATAATCAAGTTCAATTAAATTTATTTAAAGATTGACGTGTATATTCTAAACTAAATTATGCAATCAAAAATTTATTATTGTTAACAAATTATCAAACTACACTGTTTTTCAAATCCACTGCCTTTCAAATTTAATGTTATTGCATAAAAATAATTTATCTACTGTTAGTTACTTCAAAGATGTACATATATATTTTTCATATAGTTGTAAGAAATTAAGGTACCCGTTTTCTTAAGCACAAACAATGTTTTATTAACTTAAGTAAGATTTTACACTTGTAGCGAATCGATAATAAATTATGAAGTTTCTTCACACGATAACAAACTAATAAAATTTGGACCTAACGATTGGTTTAAACATCAACAACCCTTAAAAGTTATGTTACATGTGATATCGCGTACGTCTTATTGCATTCATCCGCGCTTACATCGTCCATAGTAAAGTGTTTTTGTTCTCGCAGTCTTTCGATTGAAGCTATAAAAAATAGAAGCTCTGAATGTGTATGACATTGTTAGAGAGTTATTTTGAAGGTACACTTTCGCGGTAGCAAGCAAATACCGTCGCGATAAATTGATGCGCAGCATGACCAGTGATGAACGCCTGGATGTCCTGGATGTCCGTGTCCACAGCCTTTGTATCCACCTGCGAAGAGAGCTCGATAAAAGTAATTTTCCATTGAATTGCCGCGCGATATTATCAATATTTTCGCGATCGCCGGTCAACAAAAGCCAAAGCATGCTCGTTGGGCCGGAAGCGAGCGCGTGCACCGTACCTGGCATCGTGCCACTGCAAGCGCAGGTAGCTTCCTTCTTGCCGCCGCTCGAGCAGAATGTGCAGCAATGGTAGATGCCGCTGTGCCGCGCTGCGGCGGCGTTGTTGTCGAGTCGACCTGCGGGCAGAGCAAAGAAGAGCGTCGCGATGGGGAGCCGGCCTGGCGAGAGCGCAGTGCGCCGAGCACGTACCCGACGAGTCGACGGGAACGCCGAGGAACTCGAGCCGCTTGACGATGACGGGCTTGAGGCTCAGTATCTCGACACCGGAGCCGTTCGCCAGCAGGTCCTCGCCGATGAACACGGCGTCGATGAGGTGCCTGGCGCGCCGCAGCCGCGAGAACTCGCGCATCCGCTCGCGAGCCTCGCGCGAGTGCGACGACAGCGTGGAGCGACTTCGCCGCTGGGTGCAGGCTCGCGGCGCCAGGTCGCTGGCGGCCCGAGAGAAAGAGCAGTGAATGAGCAAGCAACGGCCCGAGAGCGGCGCCGGCTCACCTGTCTCCGGCCACGTCGCAGGCGGTCCGGGTCCTGCCGTCGGCCTGCCGGTGAGCGCTCTCCTCGCACTCGGTCAGCAGGCGGTCGAGCAGACTCCTCGCCCGTTTCAGCGTGGTCGCCAGCTGGAGCCGAGCTTGCGCGCCGGCGCTGGCCGCCTCCTCGCTCGCGTGGCCGCGGTGGCCCTGCTGCCGCCACATGCACTCTCGACAGGTGACCTGCTGGCAGGCCAGGCAGTGATACCTCAGCTGGCGCGTCGGGTGCTCCAGGCACACGGCCACGCGGCGGATGCGCTCCGCCTCCCACAGCGGACGGACGCGATGCGACTGCGAATACCGGGCTTCGTGCTCCGCGCCGCAGTCTCGGCAGAAGTTGCACAGGCACGCCGGGCAGTGCTGGGTCGCCTGTCGAGGTCGTGCGCGCGCTATTACGATTGCAGACTTTTCCCTCTCAGTTTCAGGCAGCTTTCGCGGTCGTAAAGCAATTTTCGAAGGTCGAAAAAGTCCACCGGTGTCTCGTCAGATGCGTTCGCTAACGACGAGCGTCCCGCGTCAATTCTCAAACGGCGACTCGAGAGGTACGCGAAAGAGGAGCGCGAAAGCTTCCTGATTTGTCTGGTTTCCCGACAAGACTTGTTCTCTGCTGGGAATACGAACGCGCGAGTCGCATAGCACACCTGGACTTCGTCGGCGCAGGAGTCGCAGCATATGGCCCGCTGCGAGAGTCGCCTGCGGACGGCGTCGATGACGAGCCTGTGCTGAAGCGAGTAGTGCGGCGGCGGAGCAGGCGAGCCGTGCTTCGGCAGAGGGAAGTCGCATATCGGGCAGCCTTCCTGCTGGCGTTGCACTCGGAGACCGTCGGGCTGGCCTCGCACCAGCCGGGACAGACCTGTCGGCATTCCGGTGCTTCGCTTTAACGCGCGTGCCGATTGGCATCTTTCCTCTTTAGAGGGACGCGCGTTACCCCGGTAGTCCTTGCTCATGAACTCGTTCACGCAGCCGTTGCAGACGGAGTGCAGGCAGGCGAGAAGTCGGGGCTCCTCCATCTTTCCGCTGCACCTCGGGCACCAAAAGTCCTGCTCGTGCAGCTCATCGTACACGGAAATAGCCCGACGACCGCTCGGCCGCCGCCGCCGCCGCCGCCGCCGCCGCTGCTGCTGCTGCTGCTGCTGCTGCTGCTGCTGCTGCTGCTCGTCCATCGACGACGTTCCGTCGGCGCACCCGCTGTAGCCGCTCGACCTGGGCAGGCAGGTCGGCACGTCGGGCTGCGGCGTCGGCTCTCTCTTCGCGTACGGCGACGATCTGTCCCTTGAAATGACGAATCGATTCGAAGTTTTCCGAGTGGACGCCGGCTGGAGATAGATACCTGTCGGATCCATTGCGGCTGATCTCGTTGCAGGTCACGCGCTTCTTTTTATTCCTGCACTTCCAGCTGCCGAAGATAAAAGTCTCTTTACTGGCTTTACTCTTGACGGCTTCATTGCTTTCCTTATCCATAGCCAGCGCACTTACAAGATGTCACAGTGTTCGGGCGCGACTCGCCTACACTCGCCACCCTCGCGCGCGCTCGGTTTCGCCCGATCGTGGCTCGGATCCATCTCCGGCCTTCGGCGATCGCGCCTAGCGCAGGCCACTCGGGCGCGGCACTGCGCGTCGCCGTCGGTCGCGCGAAGGCTGACTCGGGCCGGGCTGCCGCGCTCGCATAGCTATTTCCGTGGGCCGCGCCGGCCGCCGGCGTATTTTCGCGCGCCGAACGGAAAAATGAGGCGCTGCCGCGGCGCCGGATTTAGCACGAGCGTCGGCCGCTGCATATACCTGCTCCGCGAGATGTTTACCGCGCGTACGCGAATAATCCAATTTTAGCGGGTGTCAAAGGACAGGGAGCGCCTGTAATTCCGCGGGCATTCCGCCAGCGAGCGCCAGCGGCCTATTTATAACGAATCGGTGGCCGCGCCGCCGGCTGCCGGCCGCCTCGATCGCCCCGACGACTCGCGCGCGTGCGTCGCGGCTAAACGGCTCGTTGACGTGCCGCGTGTCGCTCACTTCCCGCGAGACCGCCGACAATGAACGTTGCACGCGCAGTTCCATTTACTTTTTTCTTTTATATGGGTAATTCTTGGCTATTTCGATTGACTTGTAACCCTTAGGTTACGGATTTTTTTTTAATTTGGCACAATTGTTGTACACATAAAAGTGAGATTTTTCCCAAATTTTGAAGACGATACATTAATTATATCAAAAGTTATTAACAATTAACGAAAAATGATAAACAATTTTCAAACGGCTATATTTTAAAAACTAATAATGATATCGAAGTCGGATTTTTTTGAAAATACTTATAATGCCTTAAAATTTCGTAATAATTACAATAAACAATTTAAACAATTGCTAATATCTCAAAAAGTATATATTTTTTTTTTGAAAAATTCTTGCTCCTGCGTGTTCCTGAGGATTTTTGCTATCGAAAACCATCAGAAAATTCAAGGGCCCGACATGTCGGAAGGTGTAGCCCTAATTAGAAGAAAACGCCTCAGCGTAAGACCACGAAGACGTCCCGCTGCCGTTGCGACGTACACCGAGGCATCTTCTTTTGATTAGAGCTACGCCTTCCGATATGTCGGGCCCTTGAATTTTCCGATGGTTTTCGATAGCAAAAATCCTCAGGAACACGCAGGAGCAAGAATTTTTCAAAAAAAAAAAAAATATACTTTTTGAGATATTAGCAATTGTTTAAACAAAAAGTTAATAACTTTCGAAAAAAATTTTTTATTGTTTATTGTTGTAATTATTACGAAATTTTAAGGCATTATAAGTATTTTCAAAAAAATCCGACTTCGATATCATTATTAGTTTTTAAAATACATATAATCGTTTGAAAATTTTTTATCATTTTTCGTTAATTGTTAATAACTTTTGATATAATTAATGTATCGTCTTCAAAATTTGGGAAAAGTCTCACTTTTATGTGTACAACAATTGTGCCAAATTAAAAAAAAATCCGTAACCTAACGGTTACAAGTCAATCGAAACAGCCAAAAATTACCTATATATTCGACGTAGGTAGAATCAAGGAAATCGAAAGCCAGTTAATAGCAGTTTTGTCGGAGTTGAATCTCGCTTACTCTCGATATGTATGCAGCAGTTTCGGCAAGTTATCTGTCAAAGTCAACAAAAATGAGGATCGAAAGATTTTTTTTGTTCTCCCCCATTTCAGAGCTCACAGCTCAAGAGTGATTTGCTGCGTGACGTCCCGGTATTTTCTCTAAAATCTACATTATAGAGAAAATCGGTCGTAAGAAAACCATGGCATTCCAGTTTGTAATGTTTGCGACAAAAAGCGACTATGAAACCCATCTGCAAATCGAAACGTGCAAGATAAAATCTTGACATTATAAGAGTCGGGCAAATTATGAACAGAAGTTCATCCTCAAATGACAATTGCAACAAAACAGTTATTCACAATAGATGTCAAAATATCGTCAGTTAATCATCTGCTTGCGATTACTGTGTGGTCTTCAGTTCTATTGAAGCGATAATTCAGTTGGACCTTGATTTGCGATTATTAAAAAAAAGTGTACAAGATATGTTTACTCTGAAAACGTCGAATATTATTTTTTAAGCATTCATAGTTTCTTTGCATTAGTAAGAGCTTCGTTTAGTATACGAACGAATGATCGTTCTCACGAAAATGATAAAATGAGTAAAATAAATGAATAATATTTTGCATTGCAAGTTCAAAAAAATCTTATTTTAGATTAAACTGGCGTAGATTCATAATTTTGTTAAGTCTACGTTAACACTTTAATTGAATGTGGCGAATAAAACTATCTGTCAAGCAATCATTCAACATATAATATATTTTTAATATGTTGACAAGTAAACAAAGTCGTCGGTTCTTACAGTTAGAACACGTCGTCGGACGTGCCTTTATCAGAATAATCTCCATTACTCCAAAATATTACTTATTTACAGAGACTTCCTAAAGTAACTAAGTAACTATTTAAAGTAACTGCCATTTTAACGCTAATATTAGCGTTGAAATGGTAATTGATAACAGAGGCACGTCGATATGTCTGTTATTCTGTTTGTTTACAGTCATCGTTCAAGTATCCAAATTCATATTAATTTTTCAAACCTCAACTCGGATTCACCAAAAGTTTAACTATTCTCACGGATTATTAAAAGTATTCTAAAACTCCCTGTTTGTTATTGTAACAGAGGCAATGCTTTTTCAGTTGGAACGACATACGGCTTATTCGATCGATTTTACAAGGAAAATGATGTATTAAACAATTGATCGGTGTTCAATTTGTCAATGTAAATTATTTATAGAGACTTGCCTCTTTATCAAACAGTTGTTTTTCAAAATGCAATTAAATTAATTTGTTTAATAAAAAGCTGCAAATTATGTAAGAAGTACGTACATTTTATTTTTTGATTTAGCAATGGACAATGGATAGCAGAGTCAACTCGTTACTGTGCAACTCAGATTTATGTGTATATTCATCATTAAATTGGCTGACGACTTTTTTGTTAATGAAGACTAGGAAATGTAACAGCAAGCTATCAAAGTAAATTTCTTTATATCTTGCTATTTATATGTTGCTATTCTGGACAACAATAATTATCCTTATTCGGTAAAATTATAAACCTGGCATAAATGAAAACTAGGCAGATACTTTGGCGCCTTTCTCACGCTGCCGGTTGCTTTCTTTCTCATTAAAAATCAATAAGATTATATTTGCTTTTTATCGATCCCGTGATTAACTATTGATTACTTTTAATAGAATGTCTTGCGTTGCTTTCACTGTAAAATGATGACCTTGTTGCACTTGTCTCATTGTTCGGGCTAACCGTAGTCTGAGTTCGTGTATTTTAGCTGCCATCGAGACACACGTCAAGAACGGCAGGTACACTTATAAAGTAGCAAGCGCAACGAGAAAATCGAAGATACTACGAGTTACTCTATAAGCTCAACACGCACTATTTTCTAAACATCGTCCTGGTCTTTCTTAACTTTGGTTCTGGTTCATTCGTCCCGGCATTTGTATCGTGTCATTTTTTAAGTCGAACGCCTTAATTGCTCTTTGGAAAAGTATCGAAAGTTTAGCTGTGATCGGTTCACGATCTCGTGCAAATATTTTCAGACCACGTGCTCAGCTCGATTGGCAAGTGTTGAAAAAAGAAAAGTTCGCGACGATTGACGCAGCCACATCCACGCGTTCGCGCGCACAAGCACATCGTGGAAACAATTTCAGATGTCATCAAGAAACGAATTTGAAAAATTTTACGAAACGTCGCTTCCACTTCAGGAAGCGCGATAAAGTCGCCTGGCATACTTACAAGTATATCAAACCGACAGGATGTCCGTCGTCTTTGAAGAGTTGTTTAAAAAGTAATTGACTCGGCCTGAATCTCAAGTTAAATCTTGAAAGCGCGATTTCGAACGTTGAGCATGCGTTGCGCACTTACAGCGTTGACGTAAGCGAGTGCCGGAGTGAGATGTCAACTTTAACGAAACATGTTTAGCATGTATAATCTCTGGCGGATAGCATTGTCTTCCGCTTCCACCTCGATCACTATCATTTTTTCATACTGAAAGCTTCTAAATGTCCTGCGTACTCGACAACTTTTGAACGAGCGTGGATAAGATGCTCCATTGATTTATTCGCTTTTAGCTACGGTCCTTAGATTTTGAGTTGGTCACTTTTTTAGCGCACTTGGTCGAAGCAGCAATCGACGAAGAATCTATCTCTAGTATAAACAATAGTGCATTGCCGTGACATACATTTTATTACATCACAGCGTATACAATTTTCCGACCCATTTAACAGCCTCGTTAATATAGATTACTCTAGATTAACGACAAACTTGTTAAAGTTTTATAAATATTATTTATCACTTTTAAGGCAAGCTTTCTATATTTATACTCGAAAATCAGAAAAATGTTTAAGATCAAATTCATTTGGTAGAAGATTACGAAGAAGATCGAGCATTAAGGGCGAATTCACGCAACTGCTTTAGTTATCAATGAATCTATAACGAGAAAACGTTTTTTGGCAAAACGATTGGTTTTCGAATCGAGCTGAATACATTTCACGGTAAGGCCTCTATGCGCACGACTGGGGCTTCAAAAGTATACTGCGTTCCCATTTAACCGGGAATGAACATATCGAAAGGTGCCATTTTTAGGTTACTGGGGTGTAATTACATTTTTACGAAATACAAGTAGAGAAGCAACTCAAAGTTACACGCGTAGAACTGTGCTTACATCTCTGCAAAAATAAACTTATCAATAAGATTTTCCAAACAGTCTTATTCGAAAAATTAAATTAACCTTTTCAGGACGGGGATTTTGACGCTGAAGTGGGACTTTTTTTACACTATATTTGTATATAAATCGCAAAATCCCTCACGTCAAGAACTGGACAAATTTGGTGGTCGAAGTTTCGACCAGTACCGTCTGGGGGCCTATTCTGAAAAAAAATTTTGTGGTAAATCAGTTTGTCACTTCAGTTTACCACAGAATTAATCACTTTAGATGTGATAAATGCTTATGACATGTGCTAAAATTTTTTTTCAGAATAGGCCCCGTGCTAAAATTTTTTTTCAGAATAGGCCCCCTGGAACGGAAAGTCCCATGTTAAAAATTTTATTTGTGGAATTAACAGTGCAATTTTAAGTAATTGGATGCACTGAATATAAAAAAGACAATTCAATGTTGAATCTGTCGTTTTCTGTCCGAAATTATATCCGTACGTTTTTGTATCCGTTGGATGCAGAAAAATAGTAACGTTTATTATGAATGTCATTTACAAGAAATATTTCAATTTTCACTCTCAGTATGCCTCAGAATCAACAGCGTGGATGTGGCAAAAATTTGATCCCTTTGGGGTGAATTATTATCCAAATTTTACTGCTTACAGTATACCTATTTTCTGATCGAAAGGTCAAATAAAAAATTTTACTTTGAAATCATTATTTCAAGGTCAAATATGCTTTCTAAAATGATTATTTTGTTATAAGTAATACTATTGTTTCATTGTTTTCGTATTCAGCGCATCAAAATATGTAGGTATATTAATTTACATGTCGAAATACCGAATAACGATTTGACTTTGAAATCACTATTTCAAGGTCAAATATGCTACCTAAAATTGTTACACTGTTTTCACTAAATTAAAAACATAATATTTTCCCTAAAATCACTCAAAAATAATGATACTTAAGTGTTCAAAATATCGACCAGTCACGTCCTTCAAGTACTAAGTTTTGCTATCCATCTAATCAATAAGAGCAATTTAACTAAATCCAAAGTAAAGCTGAATTTGAATAAACGCAATCGAAGGTAAGAATTTAAAAAGCAAAATTTACCGCTTTTGTTGTACATTCACAGCTATCTTCAGTTCAGTTATGAAAAATCGTTCCGTGCAATGCTATCTGTATATCGCGCTGGCAGCGGCGGCGAGACGGCGTGTGTTCATGGCGATTGCGCGCGCGCTATCGGCGACCCACGTGATACTGGTCGTCCAATCAGCTGTTCGACTTTGTCCTGCCGCCAAGCTTCCAATTCGCAGCAAGCAGCGCAGCACAGCCAGCCAGCAGCCTGGCGGACGAGTAGCAGGGACTAAAAGTGTGTGCAAGCAGCACGTAACTCTCGCACTCGTCCGACCAAAACTTGACTGTCGCGCGCCATCCGAATTTTTGCTTAACCTAGCAACAATCGGCCTTCATCGGGGCCTGCGTTGTTTGGCCCGATAGTATACCTACTCGTTTCCACAGCTAAAGTCTAATCAGGCTTGTGGTGCGCTCTTGCGAGGTAAATAAATAAACGAGTATCGATAGCGCGCGCTCTTTGACTCGCTCTCTCGCGCCATTTTGGAGAGTGAGAGAGAGAGAGAGAGAGAGGTGCCTGCGTGCCGCTCTCGTTGCCGCCGCTCCGAACACGCCGAGAGTACAGAGAAACCCCGGCGCAGATATGAGATACCCTAGTGCCAACCACCAAGCCTCGATTCTGTAGCTGCAGCCAAGATTCAGCTCGTCAAGCGTCCCGCATTCACTTGTCGCAGGAGGTCCGTCGAGATCTTGCAGGAGTCGTCCGCTTTCTGAGTGAGGATCACCCGGGCTCGATGTCGTCCGGCGCGATGACGCAACAAAACAAATCCGTCAACTTTGTCATACATGATGCCAATGGTTAGTACTCTTCTACGCGCTTTCGACTCGAGGGTCAATACGCTTCTTCGCTTGCAATGAAATATCAGGTTTGACTTTACAATAAAAGCTGGCTTGACTCTTGAACTTTTGCTCTTCTACTGGGAGCAAGCTCTTCTGGGGGATGAATCATGTTTTAAGGACACGACGTTTCAATTTCGTGCTATTCTTAGTCTTGTTGAAATGAGCAAAAGGAGGAAGGATGTGGTTATTATGATGCTATCAGTTTTTTTATCAGCGTTTGGCCAATGAGCTTCTGTTCACTGTTACATATTCTGATGATCCTGCTGTTTATGCTTTTTTGTCCACTTTAGCTTAACTCCCCTACTTGGAAAATTTCCCAAGTTTCTTATTGCGTTCATGCAAATGTTATTAATACTGGTTCTGTTATCAAGTTTGTTTTTGATTCATCAGCAAACCATGCAACTGGTGATAGAGCTTAAATGACAGTCATACCTCTTAACTGTGCTGTAATTCTATAGAGGAAATGTATTTATAGAAGACTTCTTATAAGTACTAATACTAATATCAGATACTCACAAAAGTAAACAAATATATGACTTTAAATTGCAAATTGCTGTTCAATGTCTACTTGATAAAGTTTAGTCACTGTAAAATTGGGAATCTTTTTACTTTGTAGATATATACTTTTTGAAAAATATAATGCATTTCATTCCTTGTTTAATATTCATTTATTAATTTCTTTGATGGAACAAATGTTTAATATTAATTACTTTTGGTTAAAATAAAAATTTAAAAAATATGTTTGAATGTTGCCAAATGAATGCAAAGTAAAAAAGATTATTCAATTGCTAATTTATTTTACTGAATTGATTTATATAAATTATTATATATTTTCACTTCATTTGGTTAACAATTAGAAGCACATGAAACATGATTTGATCCACAATAAAGTCACATAAAACCACTTCTTTACAGGGCATCCACAAGTCATCAAGGTGTATCAAAGTACACCTAATAAAACCATTAGTGGCATTGTTGGAGCTGCAAGCCCAGCTAATGTGAAATTAATCAAGACATCTGGCCAGGAGGCTCAGGTATACATTGATTTGTACATTATAGTAGTCAATGTGATGTGCCTAAGAATTAAGAAATTTTTCATGAGATTTGATTGTACAATTAAATATCATTCATTTTTCTTCACTACATTTAATTTTACTTGATCATTATATATTTTGTTCCTTAGAAAAATTTGGAAGATACTTATGATGACTTCATTTAGAGTTTATTCATTACTATGCATATTTCTTCTTATTTATAAAGGGATAGATTAAAATATAATAATAAAAAGCTTGTTATAAAAATGTATGAAAATATCAATAACTTTCTATTTGGTAATATTTTTAACATTTGATGCCTCAATACTGTGATATAAAATAACCTATAAATGCCATGAGCTTCCTTGAATTTTATAATCAATAAATTGTACAAATTTATTGAAACACAGAAATTCTCACTTAAATGATGCCTCTTTTTATAATTGATATTTTCATCTAAAAAGAATAGTGATTTTAACAAAAAATTCTTTATCAAAATTAATGACGTGTGTGATTTCATAACTAGGTTCTGTCTTCTGGAGCTCAAGTTCTAAGGACTATAAGCTTTCAAAATCCATCAAGTGCTGGTCAAAGTATGTCTGTTATATGTAATGATGTTCATATTATTAACTATTTATATTTAATTAAATTATATTCTTTTTTTCTACAGGATTAGTGACCATACCAATACAAAATGCTAAAGTGCAAACTGTACCAACAATGAAACCTGCTGATCCCATGATGACAAAAACTATTCAACTTACAGCAGCTCAAATAGTGAGAATATCAAATCTATATTGCGATTTCAATTCTCATATTTTTCATTGTACTACTCATTTTAATTTAACTTGCTTCCCATTGTATTTCTTATAGCGTAACACTCATACTTTTCCTTAGTTAGAACTATTTTTACTCTTTACAAAATCAATATTATTATATTGAAAATATTCCTTTACATGTATCATAGTCACATAACATTCAGATTGTAAAAGTGATAACAATTCAATGTTCATTAATATTCTCAAGTCATTTATTTGCGTATCTTCATATTTTTATAAGATAACAATAAAATCCTTTTATTTGTTTGTGAATTGTATATGATTTCATACAATTTACATTTTAAAAATTTTCATTTAAAAACATTAATTCATAACTAACACAAAAATACCACTGTGGTACTAAAACATTGATAAACATGTTAAATTATAATAATAATTGATTTGTAAATCTCTTTTTCTGTGTTCAATCTATTTTTCTATGTAGAATGATATAAAACAAGCAATTGTATCTCAACAACAAAGTACTAATCAGCAAATAATTAAGGATGCTTCTGGAAAAACATTCATCAGTCCAATCTTGGATCATACTGGTAATAGAAAACGCCAGGATACAGAAGGAAGCGACTTTGTTCCTGAGTAAATATAATATTTGTGAATTATATATGCTATTTTAATCATTCGAATTCTACAATAGTATTTTGTTATCACAGGTATCCTTTTAGCAAACGCAGGAAAACAGACAAAGTAGGTAAAGGTCTTCGACACTTTTCTATGAAAGTATGTGAAAAGGTGAAGAAGAAGGGTACTACCTCATACAATGAAGTAGCTGATGAGTTAGTTGGAGAATTCACAAATCCAAATCATTCAAATTCTCTAACTGAACAGGTGTGAAGGAATATTATTTTTATTATATATTTTACTACTATATTACAATAAGAATATGTATTTATTAAGTGTGTGTAATTTTTCAGCAATATGATCAAAAGAACATTAGAAGAAGAGTGTATGATGCACTGAATGTACTCATGGCAATGAACATTATTTCCAAAGAAAAGAAGGAGATTAGGTGGTTAGGATTGCCCACTAATTCTCGCCAAGAGTGTTTATCTTTGGAAAAAGATAAGAAGAAAAAAATTGAGAGAATTAAAGCTAAGACACAGCAATTACATAGAATAATTCTACAGCATATTGCAATAAAGAATTTAGTGGAGCGAAATCGCCTTCAAGAGTCTGTCTATGGTCCACCAAAACCAAACTCAGCAATTCAATTGCCATTTATTATAATCAACACAGACAGAAAAACTGTTGTGAATTGCAGTATTTCCAATGACAAGTATGTATTTGACAATCTATAAAAGTGTAGCCTTGCATACCTTTATTAATAAAGCGATGTTGTTTACAGAACAGAGTACCTGTTGAATTTTAATGATAAGTTTGAAATACATGATGATATTGAAATTCTAAAAGAAATGGGATTATCTTTCGGTGAGTAGTAAATAAAGAACTAATTTAAATGACCATTAGTGTAAATAAGTTGAAACTATACATATTAATGGCTGTTTAACTTTAACAAAGGCCTTGACAAAGGGGAATGCACAGAAGAAAATCTGCAGAAAGCCAAATCTATGATTCCAAAAGCTCTGGAAAAATATGTTGAACGTAAGTATAAACAAACATTTCAAAGTCAGAACATTTTCGTATTAAATACTATTTTATTTTACTCCAGAAATGGCATCTGGAGATTTGGAAAAATTCATACCTGTGACAATGCCAGGACCCAGTACATCGATGGATGATATTGACGTCAAGATCGAAACATCCAGACCACCGTCATCCTCTCATACATCACTTTCAGAAGACGCTTATTCGCCACAATATTTCTCGGAAGACGAGGAGGAATTAGAGGAAGAAAGCGACCAGGACGAGCAAGTTGATAGTGACCTTGAGATGAACTAGCACTTCCTCGTTTTTGAAAAGGCTAGACTTGGGGCTTGACGTGCTCTATCTATGAATGTAACTTTCTTTTCACAGAAAAAAACAAAGAATTTTATAAAGTGCAAAATTACCGGGTCACTCGTGACATCGGGCAGACGATGTCAGTAGTCGGTATGTTCTATTACGGTAGAGCGTTTTGTAGATCTCGAGTTATAAAAAGCTCTGACGGTGTAAGTGTGCGACGCTGATCACGGTGTCTAGCGAGAGTTTTCAAGAGTATTACTCAAATACGTGACAATATCACTGTGTATAAGTTCGAGTTTATTTTTGTGAGATCTATACAGAAAAATAAGGACATGTGCATTGAGAGGCAAGAATGAGATAATTGTGTAAATGCTCAGTGGGATAACTTTTGGTTTTTTGAGGAGAAAAAAAATTTTTTTCTGTCTCGTATTTGAGTGAACGAGGTGTATTGTTGAAATCGAATAATTTTGTAAGGTGTGTAACAAAATTATTGGCAGAGATAGAGACCAGATCTTGAGTGAATTTTACGTCGACTGGGGCCAATTAACAACTTAGAAAGAGATAAAACATAGAAAAACATAGAGTACACAATTTTTTTTCTGGTTGTTTTAAGCATAGCTCAGTAAAGCCTCATTACCCCTCCCTGTCTCCTACACTTTTTTTTCTTTTTCATTATCAATAAGAGTGCATAATTAAGATTTTATCTAGTTGAGTTAAGAAGTGCAAAATGAAAGCATCATTTAAGATATTGAGAATGACTGAGGAAAAAGCTCGGTGCTATTCTAATTGTGCATCGTCTTTGCAGGTTCAATACCTCGTATAAATGTATTGTAAATTATAATCTTACAACAATATCTATGGTAGATGTATAAAATATATGCTATTACTCATTTTTTTCAAATGGCACATTTATATATTTCTGTGGTACAAAACAACACGATATAATGACAAGGTACGCGTCAGCCTTGATTTGGAAATATAAATAAATTGTAATAATACATTGCAAAATATTGATCTTCATTGATTGATCTACAACAAAAAAGCACCCTAATTTAAGACAAGAGCATTGTTTCTTCATACTATCAAATGAAAAATGTGCTGGTTTTTCACATTAATCGATAGAATACTTATATAAATTGATATGAATCTTAGTTGAATGTATTTCGTGAATATAATTAATGTAGTGGTGCAAAGTTATTATAATGGAAAATATTTTGGCAAAAATTTTTAAATACTGTTAAGAAAAAAAATGAAAGCTAGTACATAACTGCGAATGCGGAAATTACTTTTTAAGCAATTTTTTATAGCATTTCCTGTCTTATTGAGCTTAAAGATCGACTTATTTTTGCGATTGAACGTGAAAATTGTCTCTTGATATGTAAATACATACCCAATATAGACTTGATAATCAAATAAATTGATATTACATGAAATAATTTTACAATGATTTTAGCTTTTAAGATTAATAATTGGTCTACAGAAAGAAAAGTATTTTGAACCTTATATTACATTAATCACAACTTATACATTATAATTCACAACTTAATATGACAAAATAAATGTAATCACACATCATCACATAACTTCCGAGTGATTGATTGCTTCAATCTGAACCGCTAATCAATAAACCATAGTCAGTTATTGAATTTTTGCCGACAAGTGATTGTTGTACAGTTGATTTTCACTCCAAATCATCATCGTTGAATAAATCATCGAAATCTAAAAATAAAAATCATTCAAAAACGAAGAACGTGTCGTGCACAATTGCACTTGCGAAAATAATGCTTTTGATCGAGGTTAAATCTAAACTATGTGTCGCTCATACCGTTGAAAAAGTCTGCATGAACTGCTTTTTCATCGCCTCCAATATCAATCATGATTGGTCCTGATCCACCAGCCTACATTAAAGAAAATTTAGAAAAATTATTTACAAATGCCACAAATGATAGTTTTGAGTGAGTAAAACAAATCAACTAACGAATTCTTCCATGTTATCCGTGACCATTTCAAAGGCCAGGTAACGTCCAGCACCTTCAGGAAACATCTCGTCGGCTACTAATGGTGATGGTTTCATGATAACACAATTAGATACAAGTATTTGTAACTGCAGTGTACAACGCAAACACTAGATTTCAAGGTTATAATTTGATTCCTCGCAGCTGCAAGGCTATTCGCGGGAATGAAGTTTCCAAACGTAAATACACATTTAATTGAAAACAATACTGAAGTTAGCAGAATTGACTATTTACGTATCGACCGATAGATGGCATTACGTTACCCACAAAGTGCTATATATTCAAAAAAAGGTTAAAATATTCATATCAATTTCTTTTACTTGTTTTATTAAATAAATAAACGAATGTTTCAAGAAAAAATTTTTATTTTGTAAAAATTATTATTCTAACTTTTATAGGATGTGCAATACGAATGATTTAATATTTTTTAATAATATTAATAATTTTATATGCTATATGAGCTTGCTATTTAATTAAGACTAGTCGCTAGCATCACGCGCTAAGCTTATTTTACTATTCATTCTATTGCTGTTTCAGAATTTTATTAAAAGATGTTCTATTTTTTGGATCAGAATAAAAATCATGTAAACTTTTCTTGTGATAGAAATTTAATTGTTATCATAAATTTTTTTAATATTTAAAGGGGCTCCAGCGTGGAAGTTCACAGATAGACTATTTTTATAGATCCAAATGTGCTGAATCCAACAATATCATTATTTATCCTTGTAGCCGTAGAAAATTAGAAAGCTAAAGAGAAATTACGAAGATTTCTGTGGCCGATTGATGTCTGTGGAAACACTTTGATGTTCTTAACATATTATGTAAATAATTTCATTTTGAATTTAAAGACAGAGAGCTGGGACCTATAACCATGAATTTATCATTAACAATTTAATTATGAAATATAGCGCTATTTTTTCCAACGAAAGTTACAGCTTTTCTTAGTAGTCCAAGCCAAGTGATTTTCTATGACATGATTATTTAGAATATAGAAAAAATTTACTAACAAAAAAATGCTTGTGATTATGTAGAATAATTAATTGTTTAAGCGGCTCCAATGTTTTCCACAATCGATGATAGATTCTACATATATGTGTGCCAAATGATATTTTAATTCTTAGCGATTGAGGTTTGTGAAAATTGTAAACGTAATCATTCGAAATTAGAACTTTAAAAATTAACTAAATAAAAATTCGTGATGGCGCACAGGGGGCCTATTCTGAAAAAAAATTTTAGCACATGTCATAAGCATTTATCACATCTAAAGTGATTAATTTTGTGGTAAACTGAAGTGACAAACTGATTTACCACAAAATTTTTTTTCAGAATAGGCCCCCAGGTGGCTCGATAGCACTGCACCCTAGGCGAAAATATACTGAATAATTTTTTTCTTCAATGAAATATAGTACGTTGCATGTATTCTTGTTAAACTAAATTGACTGTATGCAAGTGAAATCCTCAACAGTACCCGCAATAAATAAAACAGAAATTTTATTTGTTGTTATATGCTTATTCATTCAAGTTAAAATTCGTCACACCTTGAAATTGTTTATGAAATAAAATGAAGTCAATAAATTTTAAACCACAGCAACAATAAATTAAACAGAAATTTTATTCACTATAGTGCATTTAAACGTAAATACTATTATAATGACCAAGGTAACATTCTCACAGAGTCCAGAAAGATGTCGCAATTAGCGACCACGCGAACGGAACAACATATTGTACATACCTTGACCTATATTTTTAGTTCCAAATTCGACATTATGTATTTTTTTATTTGTCAGTTTGTATCATTTTTCAAATTCGTATTTTGCAAAACATATTCAATACTCATGGTAGTTATCATAAAACAGAAAATGCTTTGGCATGCTTATAAACACAATATATCATTTTAAGAAAAAAATGTCATTCTGCTGCGAGTCAATCTGCAATTTTAACCAATATTTCTACCATTTTTGAAAAATTCATGTACTCATCATATATTAAGAAACAAAGTATCATTAATGCAGTATGAGAGTGCTGCAATTTTTCTTAGTAATCGTGGTTCTAACACTGAAATTGTAAATATGTATATATATCTAATTAACTATTATACGCTTTCCTAAACTGGGAATCAGAATGTCAAAATACGTGAAAAACATGTTACTATAATTTAATTATATCGATCGCCGACGAAAATTTTTAGCTCTTAGACTTAACTAATAATAATAAAATAGTAAATAAATAAACAAGTATGTCCGATAATCACTGCTCGTGTTGATCTAATCGCGCCAATCGCTACGTCATCGACAGCCAATCGGCTGACGACTGACGAATAAAATGTTTCAATATGGTCGCTTCCTGCCGACGGAGCTCTTATTTACGTTTAGGTATAGTTTATCACTAATTTTATTTTGGGTGTATGAAATTTTGAAAGAAATTATACATTATTAGATTATCAGTTAGAGTAAAAGCATAATATTTTATCTACAATTCTTCATCCTATTAGGTAGTTTTATTTCTAACAATACATAGTTTATATTTTCGAAAGCATTTAGCTCTCAACTTGTTAAATAGAAAGTGGTTTTAAACGTCAAATAACTTAATCTGTCAATGTTTTCAGAAAGCTATTTACAATCATCTGTTGTAAAGAATACAAATTTTTGTTTTTAGTTTTTTATTTTTTAGTCATCATCGTCATCGTCATTAGACGATTCATCTTCAGCTTTTTTTTCTTCCATTGCTTTAATAATTTCTTTTGCTGGATTAAATACTCCATTTGTTTGCACGTTGCAGATATAACACCGCGTACTTTTTTTATATTGTTCCAACGCGCATTTTTCACAAAAATAATGTTTACACCTGCACGAATAAAATGTTAAAAATGAACTTATAAAAAGTACATTAATTTTTAAATCGTATATCCAGTGATAGATTAAGAACTTTATTTAAGTAGTAAGGCGCCTTTACTTACTTCGTGACAATAGGATCTGTGAATGATTTCCTACAAATAAAACATTTGAATGGAAGACGCTCTTCATCACTGTCAATTTCATATTTTTTATCATCTTCATCACCACTAAGATCGTTAGAGCCAGTCGCTCCTTCACGTTCTAACTGCCATCCCAACTTGTAATCAGATCGGTCATGAAGAAACTTACAACTGTCTGTAAAAAATGTCGGTTCATAAATAATTTATATGCAAAATGAAAAAAGAAAACAATATAAAATTACCTCCAAATCCACAAAATCCAGTTTCCTTGTAATCTTTGCAAATATCAGGTTGATAATCCCATCGTACAGTCGCTCTTAAATTAGTTGGTGCTCTTATTGGACCTTTACGAACCATACCACTGGATGCATTTCCAGCTGCAGTATCTCTTTTCTTGTAGTACTGAGCATAATTATTCATACCTCTATAAATTTTATCATCTTCCCTTCCTTCAAGTTCCTGTATAATAGATAATGTAAGAAGTCAAAATAATTATATTCGTTATTAAATAAAAAATTGACAGAATGATTAATAAATACCTTGTTTATTTTTTGAGCTTTTTCAAATATAGCTTGGGCATCTTTATCAAGCTCAGTTTCTGTTTCTAGAACTGCTGTTGCTCCTTGATCACTTGGACCATCAAGTAGTGGAGTTTTCTTACTTTTGTAGCTAACTGTTATAGAGTCTTCTTCACTTTCACTATTACCATCATTTTCAAGTGCTTTCTTTCTTTTACAGTTTGTCTGTAATCAGTATTGTGATATTTTATTGGAATATTAGTTAACAATGTAGAATTAATATTATGCGTACACTTTGAAACAAAAGACTTGAATTTGTTTTCTTTGCCTTTTTTACAATAGTTGTTTCATTGTCACTATCATCTGAAATAATAATTTTCATTTTATTTCAACTCATGTTATAAAACAAAATTTAGATTACAAATATATACCATTTATATTGCAAACAAATAGTCTTGATTTATTGAATATTGACATATAATATTGAAAGTATGTGTCATGCATGTAGTCATAAATAAAATCCTTAGTAAATCTACAAAATTTAGTCTAATAAGACGGATAATAAAATACAAATTCTTCAACCAAAAGTTTGAATTTGCTACATAACCTCTGTGACCACAATAAATGAATGTAGGAAGTGTAATAATTGAATTTGTAGTTGACATTACTTACCATCACTTTCCTGCTTCCTCGTTTGACGATTTTTCGCATTTCTTTTTTTGAAAAAAAACGCGCAAGTATCTTTTTTCTCGGAAACATTGTCTTCACTCTGCACGGCTTGGCTCTCCATGTCTATTTTGTAAACACTTGTTCATCGGTTCATCTGTGTCAGCGGAGCAGCTGATGCGCGCATAACAATAGTCATGAAATTATCTGCAGGAAGGATGCGAAGTATGAGAAAATACAAAATTCTTTTCTACTTCTGACTGATTAGTTTCACCCACTTTTCAGATAATTTCAAATGCAATAAATACGCAGTCTAATACTTTTCACTACTATTTTGTTATAGTGATCCAATTAAAATTTTTCTAAATTTTGTCTGATCTATATTCTAGTCGCCTATCATCAAAGGTTCATTTATATTGATTTCAGTCAGTTACAAACCTATTTTTTCACTTTGCATAATTTTGTTCATGTAAATTTTTTTTATATTGGGCATGATGAAAATTCTAGTTAATTGTTTAAAATCATATTACAATATATATATGAATAGGTTAAAATATTTCGTTGTAAAAGAAATGTCAATCATATTCGATGAAAACATGATTGGAATTCGTAGAAATAGCTGAAAAAGAAATTAACAGGAAAAACTGAGTGGAAAAATGAAACGAACAGTCGTTGATATAATAATGATCAATTTTGAATTTTTCTATTTGTCGGTCTTTTGTCTATAAGTCGGCGCTATTGTATTCATTCTCACGGTAATATCAGAACAAAAGAAACTCATTTATCGAAAATTACTTCGATAAAACAGAATAATTTTCGCAAGAAACGTGGTATGATTAAACTTGTCATTCACGGAAGGCAAAATCATTTTCGTTTTATATGGACTTGACAAAGTTGCAATAAGACGATCCGTTTTCTTTTATAACTGAGAGCCTATGAATCATATCTTACAATTACATATGTTATATTACGTTTTGGAACGCATAGTGTGCATCGTTTGAGTATTTGTGGACATAAACAAAATCCTTTTCAAAAAAGTCTATATAAGAAAGTTTAATAAAAACATGGCATACGTGATAAATTGACTTCATGTAATAATACTCACTGCGACGTGTTTCGTCAGACACGTCAGATTATGTTTCACAATAGCTTGTTAAGTTAAACATGATTTATAATTAATCATTCGAGTTACTCGATTACTACAATAAATTACTTGTAAGATATTTGAGGTTTCAATGTAAGTTTGCAGCAAATCCTAGTTTTTAGATGCTGCAATTATAATATTCCACATCGCAATTTCAATAAGAACCAGACATTTTAAGAAAAACACACTTTCATGAAATAGTGTAAATCGAGCTATTAAGTAAAGTCGCAGTTCCATCGCTCCCCAAGCTGAATCAATAGTATGTAATTATTTAGTGCACTCCAAGTTTTCAAGATAGGTCACCGAAATCGCAACGGGCTTTGCAAATTAACCCGTGTCTGGGATATGTATCAGCTGAATTCAAAGCTTCTGTAACTAAAAATTTTACGCGTATTTTTAATCTGCAGAAAAATCAATTTGTATTGACTTATATAGATAACATTAATTGCGCTAGCTAATATTTTCACGGCCCGATATATTAGCCAATTCGTATGCCAAAAAATGTCAATAAAAATGTATAAAGATGAGATGAAATAAACTTGACGCTTTTTCTTTGAACAGTCGACTGTTCGCTGTGTAATCAGAATCTTGCTGTGGCCTATGCTCGGGTAAGTACGTAAAATTGAATGTGCATTACAAAGCCAAGATAACTTGAGCAAAAAATGATAAGAAAAGATTACATGATAACGTAGTCATAGGATAAGGTAGCGTGCACATTACATTAATATCTCATTATTTACAGTGTCTATTTGTAATTATGACAAGTTGTTATTTACTGTATTATGTAGTTGTGAAAAGAAAAAAGAATGAAAAACAATTGAGAAGTTGGCGCATATACGCAGATCGACCGGGGGGTGGTGCGCGCGCGTACGCGCATCCTCATCCCGGCTTCGCGCTGTGAGTAAGCAGGTCGAGGAGCGACAGCGTCCGCAAGACCGTGGCATTGAGTAGCCGCCATTCGTTCCACGATAATCCACAAATGTCGTCATCTCACTGATGCATTTGATTGGCGAACTAAGAATATTGCGCGATCAGCAATACATTGCGAAAGCAAGGCTGTCCCACGCGGTGCACGAATTACGCGCAATTAGTCTTAGTCAGGACTGCGCCACCAGGAAAACGCTGTGAAACATTGCGCTCGAAGCATTCGACGCTCTTCTTCAATACTTGTGTGGGTAGACAGACAGATGAACTTCAATATCGTCCGATGATTAGAATAGACACGTGGCAGTAGAAAACAAAGAACGACAGGCTCGACATATGTCCTGGGGTACACGCAGGAACGCCGAGAAGAACGCGTCAAGTGAAGTTTAATGTAGATGCCATTTAATGGAACCTCCTGGTCCATAACTTTGATATCAAGCTAATTCTTTGCCTCGTTCGTAACGACCACAGGACGTGCTTCGCACGATTGCGTTCGCTCCTGAGCTCGTCGGTAATATCGTCGCGTGCAATGTTAAAATTGGTGGCGTAAATGCTTTCAGATTTATTTTCTGTAACGAGGCACGTAAAATCGGTAGGCATATGAGAAGTGTATATACTTTATTGTTCTTTAAATGGCGAGTTGCGAGATGTCGGATTATCGAAGAGTAATGTGAAAGTGTATCTTCTGGCAATTTGATTAAATATGTAATTGTGGCATGCGGTAAAATAGACTTTCAATATCTTGAAAGCCGATACGACGACAGGATGCGAATAAAATGAGTACTACTGGCGAGTGAGAAAAGCCACAGACGTAAGATCGAGGAAATAGAAGACGATTAGTGGCAGGCGAGATGGGACCGGCATCTTTCAGATAGAAGAAGCTAAAATTGAGGTAGAGTCATCGAATAATGGAGACTTTGTTGCCGCCAAATAATCTCTTCGTTATCTAAGCGTGCAGCATCGAAAAATGACGAAAGCCAATCCGTGTGTTCGAAGCGTCGGCCCCCATTGTCTTTGGATCTCGTGGGCCAGGCTACGCGCGAGCTAAAGGAAAAACACGCTCGCGTTCGGCAGGAAAGAGCACACACTCGGTGGCGAGCGATGGAACTCGTTGGCAGTCCTCGCCGCTGCTCTCCGGGGCTTGCGAAACGCTCGAAGTGCCGGCGCGCGCACGTGCGTTTTAATGCGCGTATATATGCAGCGAGAGGAGAAAGGGAGCGAGCGTCGCGGTCGATTACGCGCGCGCGCGCGGCGCCTCTCCCGGCTGCAAACAATTAGCGATATCGCATGCGGGCAGACGTTTGGTCGTCTTGGCTTTTTCCTCGAAAACCGCTCGTGTAAAAACAGCGACTACGCTTTCGCGCGCCTAATTTATGCAATTTTTTTTTCTTTTTCTTTTTCTTTTTCTGTTTCTGTTTCTGTTTCTGTTTCTTTTCAAGAAAGTCCCGTGCGACCTCTGTCCGTGACACGTGACATAGCTCGAAGGCGTTTCATTCATCCTCGATCTTCGGCGCGATCCAGCCTCAGATTGGAGACGGCAATCCTGTCGAACGTCCTGCTATTTCAATGCTCGAGAAATGACGAACGTATAGACGGACAATGAACAACTGGTATCGCCGTAGGCGATACAATGAGAACCGATAAAAATAACGAGTTAATCGTTTCAGTGATCTCCGAATCGTTCCAATTTTCCCGTATCCCCGCGATTTCTTTCTTTCGTCTCGTGTCCTTTCTTATCCTTAATTTCCGACTCTCTCAAACTCTTGCATTCGATTGTTTTTGGACCAACGCCGTCCAAAGACTCCATCGACGTACGCTATTCCGTGCGAAGGCGACTGGTTACTCGTTCGACTATTACATTGGCGTCATAAGCAACGCGTCGTAATATAAATACAGTGAATTGGCGTAGCGTTTTTAATACTCGGGAAGAATGCGGGCAAATAACTTTGATTTTAATCGGTTAGTCCGAGCCAATTTTTGCGATCAAGATTGCAAGCGGGCGTATTGCTTCTAATAAAAAAATTCTCATTTTATTCGCTGATCGTTTCTCTAAACTTTGGCTGCTTCATTTAACTTTGATCTCTCCTGTATTCGAATAGCCGACAACTTTCTCTGATGTTCAATAAAAATGAAAAAAGAAATAATGAAATAAAAATAAAAAGGCAAGTGCAGAAGACTGAAATTTAAAAGAAAATGATTAAAAATTGAAGACGCCCGAGCGTGGATAATCTCATGCATAAATTCAACTTTCACGATCGTTTGATCGACTACACGGCAGATTCTCGTAAATTCCAATCGCCCCACAGGTGTGCTGTATAATAAAGATTAATATTTATTAAACTCCACCAACTGGAAGTTGTATTTGTGCTGAGCCGCGCGAGGAGAGCTCCTCGAGATTTAATAAATCGACCTCGCATCGATCTTTCGCGGGCAAAAATGGCAATTCGACGAAAGCTGTGTGCGCTTCAGTCGCAACGAGTCGGCAAAGATACTTGGGCGTTGCGCAAGCCCTTCGCAAAATAAGAAAAGACCGGAGCACCAAAAGTTTGAAAAGTTCAATAGCCTTGAAGAGAGACGCGCGCTCGCGCTCGGAATCGGCGCGCACAGTTAGGAGGCGCGCGCTTCTGCGACGAGGAGGGCAAAAACGGCAGGCTGCGCGCTGTTGTTTACCCGGAGGACGAGGCGCGGCAATTACAAAATCGCGGGGAGCCAGGAAGCGAGGAGTCTCGGGCTTACATCAGCGCGAAGGGGAGCGGATCGCACGGCAAAAACCGATCCGAAAATAACACCGGAGCGAGCGAGCGAGCGAGAGAGAGAAAAGTGGGCCTTACGGCGATACACCTGACGGACGGGAAGGGGAGGGAGGGAGAGAGGAAAAAAAAGGCCCCCACAACGAGGCTGCGGCGGGAGGCGCGCGTGTGCGTGCTCGCGCGGTGGGGCCGATTTAGGTTACTCGGAGCATCGGGGAATGTGGGCCGAGTATATACTGAAGCGACGAGCGCCAGCGCCGGTTCATTCCTTTCTCGCGTTTCCGATTCGCAAGACCCAGAGCCGCTCGGCCCCGAGGACACAGCGTCGCTCTCGAGACCGACTCGCCGCCGCTTCTCTCGCCTGTCCACTGCACGCCAGCTTAGCTCCTTCGGCAGACCGCTTGGTGAGTTTTCTCGTCTTTCTCCGATGCTCTTGACAACGCGCCCGGGCGGGACGTCTTCTTCTCGCGAGGCCCCGTCGCGAAAACAGCGAGCCAAAACGCACGACGGCTGCTCCCGACAAAGAAACGCCGAGCTGCGGCCGGCTCAAATCTCGATGCGCGAGTGTCGGGAGAAAAAATGTGCCGTTACATTCCGGTCATTTTATCGGTAATTATTCTCCGCCGACTTGCCCGTCGGAAAGAGATAGAGCGAGAGAGAGAGAGAGAGAGAGAGAGAGAGAGAGAGAGAAAGAGAGAGAGAGAGAGAGAGAGAGAGAGAGAAAGAGCGCGCGCGAGAAAAAAATTAGATCAATCGACAAACAGGGCATTAAGTAACACACTCTATTAATTACGATAGCCGTTACCGCATCTACGCACGTCTGCCGGCAAAATTGGGAGTACGAGTTCGCCACTGGCGACAGCGGTTGTCGTTTCTTCGACTCGCCGCTCCGTTGTCGTTTTCTTTCTCGACAATTTTCGCGACGCGCGCGCGGTTTACTTACCTATATAATTTAACTGACGTGCGCGCGCGCGTCATTTGAATAGAATTTGAAAGGCCGCGACGATCGAAAGTGGCGCGAGTTTGGTTTTGGCGTTAACGCCTCCCGCGCGTCCAAAAGTGAAACGCACGTTCGCGGCGCGAATCCCGGACGGCTCGTCGTCGCGTCGCTCGGGCACGCTCTCACGGGTAACCCCGCGCGATTTTCGGTCTCGAGGGGGACGGGGAACCCGACGAGAATCGACAGTTGCGTAACGACGCCTCGTGCATGCCGATTGCGTCGGCGTGCCCGTACGTCGAGCGGCAGCCGAGTCGAAGACGCGCCGTGCCATCTTGTTGAAACTCTTTTTTCCTCGATCGTCGATGATGGCCTGCCTCGTCGAGTCGCGCGACTTCTCCGAATGTTCGACAGTCGCGATTGCGTTTGCACGATACTAGCAGAGACAAAAGAAAAAGAAAACCAGACTGACGTAGCGTTATAGAAATGGCGTGTCGGCCACCGAGATTGTTCGCTTCCTCGATCGTCATTAAAACTGTTCTCGCGCCCGCGAAGTGAAAACAAAAACAGAAGAAAAGTAAACGTCAGATGGGGAATGAAGATCAATCGGGCATCGAGATCTGGGGATCTGGATCTCGTGGGCAGGGAAGATGCTTGGAGGTCGTAAGTGACGCGTCGGTTTATATATAAAGCCGGCCAGCTAACGGACCGGCGGCAGCGGCGGCAGCGGCGGCCGTTGCTGCTGCTTCGCCATTCTCGGCTCCTTCGCTTTGTGCCGCTGGAGCTGCGCTCTCCGAGTCAATAGTTCGCGCCTGGGAGGACGGCAAGTGTAACGCGCGCCGATGTCGCGCGCACATCCGGCCGATCGTCTATTTTTTTTTTCTGTTTTCTTTTGTCGAACAGCGTCGATCGCGACCGAAGCGCGGCTACCAGAATCGGCGTATCACGCGGCGACTCCTGCATTCATACGCGACGACCGGAATTTGACGTTGTACAGTTATGCAAGCGAGGACGTTTGACCGGGAGAGCGCCTTCGCCGTCGACTGGTCCGCGAGGACGCTTATCTCGCATCCACTTTTCATTGCAATCGCGCTCCGGGCGATCTTCCTTCCTTCTGTTCGCGCTCGAGAAGAAAGTGAAACGCTAGTGCGATCGCTTGTCTTTTCTCAACGACTCCTCGAGAGAATCCGTGTTATGCATATTTGACCGCTGTAACGGTGCAAATTGACCGATGTTTGTACGACGAAGTGTCCTCTTCCTGCTGTGCTTCTTTTTATCTTCCTCGATTGCGAAGGTTAATGAAACAGCGCTTTCTCAGGACCGAGTCGTTTGCGACGAGAGACGACCCGTCGACGCGCGCGACTCGTTTCGCCGCGTTCGCTCTGTTCCTCGGTGACAGTTCGATAAGCGCGGCCGCGAGTCGCGGAAGCTTTCACGAAAAATTCGCGCTCGCGCCTCTTTTTGCTATCGAAGAAAAAAACAGGGGCGCGCAGAGGGGGAGGGCAGGCGGAGAGGCCGCGACGAAACTCGCAGCGAACGCGCACGTGCGAGTGGCACTCCGTCGGGTCCCCGCGACGGCGACGGCTATGTTCAACGAACCGACGCGGAGTTTGGCTCGCGGCGCAAGAAAGTCAATAAACCGAGAGAAACTGCGACGGTTGATCGACAAACGGTCCTTTCGCGAAGCTGTCCCGCCCGAACGCGGCGGAATCGCCGGCGAGACGCCCGGCCACGCAGTCGGCGTAGCCGAGGCACCCGCGCGGCGCTTTCTAAAGAGCACCGAGAAAACAAAGAGAAAGAAAGACCGATATGCGGAACAGATCCAGCACGGAGCTGCTCTTCCGGCCGAGCGACGGACTGCTGCGCGCGGGAGGGTCGCCGCACTCGCGGGGCCGCAGGGACGCGTGGGCGTCGTCGACGAGCGGCGCCGCGACGTGCGACCGCGCGACCCGCTTGCGCAACGAGTCAACGCTCGCTCGCTCGCTCGCTCGCTTTGCGCAACGGCCCCGCGACGTGCCGTCTCTCCGCACGGGAAGTGGTCGCCGCGTCGCCGGGCAAAAAGCGTCGCGGCCGTGCCGTTGCACCGGGAACGACCGGCGCGGAGGCGGCGGATTTTCGCGGAGAAAGCGCGCCTCACCGGGCCGCGCGCTGCTGCCGGGTCTTCCGTCGGGGCGCTCGCGCGACGCGCGATCTCTATCCGCGCGTCCAGCTGCGTTTCGACAATTCGTGGGCGCAACGCGGGCATTGTGCGCCGCGGGGCGCCCGCGCGCGGAGGACGCGCGGAGGAAGCGCGCGGGTGCCGCAAGCGCGGTGATTTCGCCACTCTCGGCGCTCGCGGACGACGCTCTCGTGCGATCCCGGCGACGCGCCAGGCGGAGTGCCCGCCGAGAGTCCGGCGCAACTGGGCCACGCGCCGTTAGTTCTCGCGAACGCGGAGACCGTTCACTGGCGCGAGCGCGCGACATCTATCATGGGAACGACGCTCGCTCGCGGATCGGGCGACGCGGCCATCAAACTGATCGCGGGGCTTTCACTAATCGATTTTTACGAGGTGAAATCGCATCCTTTCCCGCAATAGTCCTTATTCTTTCGGCCTGAAATCTCGCGACTGCCGTTAAGGTTATTTTTGCGCTCCCCTGGGCGACGCAAAAAAGTCGAGAGCCATCGGCGAAGCGAGCGTCGAGAGGCGCCACGGCCGGCGCAGGCGAAGCGCTCGCGCGGCCTCGCTCGCGCGCCGGAGTGAGCGGACGCGCGCGTCGGCGAAGCTTTTGAGCCCCAAGGCCGCGAAAAGCTGCAATCGGGACGCCGCCGCTTGTCTCGCTCGCGCGTTCGCGCGTTCGCGCGCCGGAGTGACGCAACGCGCGGCGCGTGCGTCGCGTTGCCGGCGAGCCATTGCCGCGGCTCTTTCCTGCGCGCCCGCCGCGGAACGCGACGGCGTCGCCTCCTCGAGGGCGGATCGGGCGAAGGCGCGCCGCCGCGAGCCGCCGACGAATCTGGATTGGTTGCAGAGAGAACGAGAGACCATGAGGGCTGCTGCACTGCTCGTACTGCTGCTCGGCCTGATCGCCGTGGCGACGGCGCAGCGGAGACTCGCGCTGCCCGACCCGAGAAGCTGCGCCAGCCGTGAGTATCACCGCCGCGTGCGCTTCTTGCGCTCGAACGTTCCAGAGAGTCGGCTGTCTGCGGAATGCGAGCCGATGCTCCGTTATTGATCGCGGGCACGTTCTACTCCTCTCCTTCACAAAGCTCGCTTGAAATTGCCGCGACGTCTTCTTGTCCGGCTACTCGCGTTGGCCGAGCGTCGACCTCGAAATGACCGCGCACGTATACGCGCGGGCAGTGCGTCGTCGTTAGCCTGCGCGATCGAAAACGCGCGTATATCCATCGCACGTCGACCACTACAGCGGAAAAAAAGGAAGAACGAAGAGAAACAATTATCGCGAGTCGCGTCGAAAGACGCAACGCTGCCTCAAGTAGGCCGCGCGCGCGCGAGAGGAAAATCTCATTTTCCCATCGTCGGGACGGGCATCCGAAGCGACATTGCACCGCGTCGGAGTGCGTCAAGGCGACGGGCTTGCCCGCGCCGGGAAATCTTTCGGTGGAGAGCCGCTCGGCGCCCCTGCCCTCGTTGCCGGCGCCCATCCCTAAAGTGGCTTCTCTGGCGTACAGGAGTGCGACACGCGTCGTACAGAGACGCCAGGGGCGTCGTTCACTCGTACTTCTTCAGCTGGGAGCACGCGCCGACGAGGAGCCTGGAGGTCGACTGGCTCGACGCGAGGAACATCTGCAGGCGCCACTGCATGGACGCCGTCTCGCTGGAGACGCCGCAGGAGAACGACTTCGTCAAGCAGAGAATCGCCCGAGGTAAGCGCTTGCGTTCGCGTCGCGCGCCAACTGCCGAGCCAAGCGAGCCGCGCGCGCCGAGTCGTCGGCTCGGTTTTCCTCGCGGGCCGACTAGACCGCAGTGCGAGCAAAGGTCCGAGCGCGCGCGGACGCACTTTCGCCGCTCGCGCTTTCGCGTCGCCGTCCGTCATCTTTCAGTGCGCTCCGCCGTGACGCCGTGACGAGCGGATCGCTCTGCCCGCCTGAACGGGTCATCGAGCTTCTCTCACTCTCCGTGTACTTTCTACGCGGGCCTTTTATTTGCCGACCGCGACGCCAATTATCGCCTTCCCTTCGAGTGGCAATGCAGTCATTAGGCGAGAGAAAGCAACGTCGCCTTTGTCATTTATTCTTTTCTCCTCTTTTTTTCCCCCTCTGATTATACGCCGCTACGCAAGCGAAAGTGGCGTTCGCCGGCGAACGCGCGGCTGTTGGCGTGTATTAGACGCCAATTATCCGTCGGCTTGCGAAACGGCGAACGACGCGCAGCGTCGCGACTTCGATACGAGAGCGCGGCGCAGCCAAAAATGTTGCGCAAAGAGCGCAATGAAATGTGAGTTGGCGCGCGCTTTCTCCTGCGTGCGCCGCACCGAAAGCTCGCGCCGGAGACGCTGCGGGCGCGCACGACCGCGGAGGCGGCGCGCGACGGGAAAACCGTAACGAGCGCGCGTCGCCTTGCCCAACGCTGAGTTTCTCTCGCGCCTCGCCGCCGAGAATATCAATTAGGCTTTATCGTTGGAAAGCTCTCGGCCCGGCCGGCGACAGTTCGAATCCTCCGCGGGGAAGATCGATCGTCGCGAGCGGACGGGGCCGGCCGCGCCGGAATCGGCTCGGACCGCTCGCGTTTCGAGATGAGATTCGCCTCTCTCGCTCTATCTCCGAGCGAAAAGAAAAGGCACGGCAAACGCGATCGTTAAAATTCACGAGGCTTCGCCGCGCAGCCTTTACGAGGCTCGGAGCATTCCGCGCGACCCTGTCGCTCCCCGTCTTTCTTCCTTCTCTCGCGTTCGTCCTGTTTTCGAGGTCAACCAGAGCGCGGCTCGCCTAATTCGGATTCCACGGCGAAAGCCTCGGTCGTCTTCGGCAGGTCGGCTGACGACTCTCTGTTCGCAGGCAACGTTAGGTACATCTGGACCTCCGGACGCAAGTGCAACTTCAACGGATGCGACAGGCCCGACCTGCAGCCGCAGAACATCAACGGCTGGTTCTGGTCCGGCTCGGGCGCCAAGATCGGACCCACCAATCAACGCAACACCGGCGATTGGAGCGCGACCGGTGGCTACGGCACTCCTCAGCCCGACAACCGCGAGGCACCCCAGGTAATTGCTCCGCAGCTGCGTTCGAACGGTTCCCCGTCCTCGCGGGGGCAATCGTGAAAGTCACGCGCCGATTCGCCTCTTCGCGTCCAACGCGTCGGGGCCGTTCGCGCTCGCCGCTTTTCCAATTTCAGCCGATCGCCTTCGAGCGTCATTTCGGTTGCGCATCCGCGGCACGGGTGCGCTAATTGCCGATGCCGCGCGGAGATTGCGTGGATCCCTGCGGCAACGACAGCGAAAAGAAAGAGAAAAAGACGACAAATCCGTTGGTCGGTTCGCAGGGCAACGACGAGTCTTGTCTGGCCATCCTGAACAACTTCTACAACGACGGCATCAAGTGGCACGACGTGGCCTGCCACCACGTCAAGCCGTTCGTGTGCGAGGACAGCGACGAGCTGCTGAACTTCGTCGCCTCGAGGAACCCGGGCATCCGCCTCTAAGCCAAATCTCTCGCTCTTTACGCCGATCGGTCATCGATCGCTCCCAATAATCGCACTTTCGCTCTTTCTTATGGATCGCGTCTGTGAAATGAAAAGCACGGACTGCGGGGGGAGGGAGGGGGGAGGGAGAGAGAGCGAACAACGCGACGATCGCGCTGCCTGTGCACTCGATCCCTCGTCGATCATTAATTATTAATTGCTATTGTAAACATAGGAAGGATCTTATCGCGTGTCCCCTTGTGGCGTTGTATTATTTTTCACTTTAGGTTATTTATGCTCCTTCACTAACCGATCCTTTCCCGTCGTTTCTCGCGGCGCCATTTACGTCGTTCCGCCTCTTCTCACGGCCGATGCGCACGATTACTTTCCAAACATCCGAATCATCTCTCGCGTACACCATACATGTTTTACGTAGATATATGCCGCACGGCCACTTTTTTAGTCCTCACGAACTGAATGTACAATTTATTTTCTCCCTTTTCTATAAAAATATATATATATTTTTTTTTTCTAACGAAAATACATGTTCTATCATTTGTACAAAAGTAACCGATGTCGATGTTTCTTTACCACGCCTGTTCCTCGATTTTACCTACACTATTTTACAGCTGTGTGACGCTACGTCGCGCGGACACTCGATTACTTTCTGCGACCGAACGAAAAATCGCGATGATACATGAGACGACAAAATTACTTACCTGAGCTTTGTTCGTCGATGCTTTGGAATACTGTGGACAGAAATAAAGTGAAATATGAGATATAGCGAAAGAATGCCATTCTCGGTGCTCCGTCATTCTCGTCATTCTCGAAAAAGGCTTCTCACGGACTATCTATAGAAAGATCATTGACGACCGCAGCAAGCATTACTAGTAAGCGTTCAGTTTTGTCGTGTTAATCATTGCTTAACGTTGAGTGTTTTTGTTTCGCATATTTTTACATACCTTCACGGCCAAATATTTTTTTCTTTAATCAGGTAGATGCGATGCAAAAAATAGGCGAGGCTTTTTTTCTCTGAGCTTATGACAAAAAATTTCAAAATATCCTCTCACATTTAGTTATAAAAATTGATTCGCGTCTCGTCTTCTTAGATTTACACAAATTTGGCATTTTGCCGTAAATTATAGCGCGGTTGTTTTAAATTATAATTCAACTCGGATAAAAATGACTTGAATTTATGCCAGACGCATGCGATGCATATCTTTATTTCAACAGAATGTAGAGACGAATGATGCAGTTTAATGAGCACAGATCCTTCAAGATACGAGTGCGTCCTAGGGCAACGCAACTCGCATTGTTTTATACAAACCTTCTTTTCAACTTATTTACATACAATTAAAAGCATGGTACCATCTTTGGCGCAATTTATTCAACAAACATCATTTTTTCATTGTTTTATCTACAAATCTTTTTTCATTGCTGACCTACAGGTTTATCCGTGATGGTGTTCGGTACCACGATGCATCAGATTATAAATTTTATTAATAGTTTTTTCGTTATTATTTTTTCCAGAAAATTTCGTTATTTAAACTTTACAAGTATGCTTTCATATTCCCCTAACAGAATGTATTGTTATATTTCATTGTAATGATATTCACCTGATAGTTATTCAAGTTCCCTTCAAAGTCATTCAAACTATTAATAGCAAATAAATAATTCTGTACATGTATTTTGCCTACGCTGGATTCGATCTATATTTTAATTAAATTCTTATTCCTATTAATAAACAACAAATACCTTAGTCGATAATGTTTACTTCTTTTAGAATTGATCACTGTGTCACCGCATTAACTTTTGACAAGCCGAGTTGCGTTACAAAAAACGTTGACTTTGACACAACTCGTACGTAGGTCATATTCTTTCAACCATTTCTTTTGTCATTACATAAAATATCGATGCCAATAGTCAGGAAAAAATTGTCAGCAATGGGTAATTTGACGAATTTGTATCAAATTGAGAAAACTGAAAAAATACGTTTCTAAAGCATCAACTTGTCAAGGCATAAGCATATCGTGCACGTAAGTAGATAAGAAGAATTTAGCAGTACCAATTAATGAAAGGAGTAGTGATAATAATTAGCATTCGCATCGTATAAATGAGATCGTTCGAAGAAAGAGATCGGATGCCAGAATTAAAATAAGAAATAAAGAACTTTCTGCTCTGTGTAGCTCGATCCTTCACCTCTGGTATGAAATATTTATGATAATGCATTTATCTCTTTCTTAATGCAGGACAACTTTAAACCGATCTTACTTCATGAATAATTATTAAGTATGAAGGAATAAAACTTGTGATGATATATAAATATTAATTCAAATGGTTCGATTCAATAAACTAAAACTGAATGTACAGGCAACTAATTCAACAAATAATTACTACAATTTACGAATTTTACGAATTAACTGCGATATATAGGATTCTTCAGTTATTTTATTTTGACGACAAAGGCAGATTTGGAAGTAAAAGTTTTTTAATTTTACAAAAACAATTGACTATTTCATTTGATCGTCCGGCAAGTATTATCTGTAATGTTTATAATTTATCATCACTTAATAGTTCGTTAAAAATGGCCAAGAAAAAATATATACCTACTCGCACTTTTGTTCATCGACACAACCGTCAATACACCTACACTGTAAAAAATACTTTTGTATAATAAATATCCAATAGTAAAATTATAACTGAGATCTAACTTCAAGTGTAGTACTTTAGTCTCATAAAAGTAAAATTACAAATTCTAGTAAATTTATAATTCATCTTATAAAATGACGTCTCGGAGACTAGGTCTGCTTTGTGTCCCACTGTCAGACAATTAATTTTACGATAGCCGAAATCTTAGTTTTCGTTGTAAAAATACTATCTCGTTGTAAAAGTACTATCTCGATTATAAAAGTATTACTACAATAGACTAGTAAATTTACTAGTTGCTAGCGATTTCATTGCTCTCATAATAGGTCCATGATTTTACAAAAGTATTTTTTATAGTGTAGATACCGGCCAACGTCGAGACACTCGATCGTCGAATGTTTTTCACGTGGTACATTGTCTTTGCTTGACTGACTTCGCACGTCATTCGTACTTTTCTCCTTGGTTCATAGATACTGTATCAAGTAAAGGATTCTTATTGTCAGCACAGTGCGAAAACTGCAATAATGGATAAAGAGAAGCAGCAGAAAATTGTTGAAAAATGCTTAAACGTGAGTTCTTGTGTTATTAAAATAAACTCTTTTTTGTTAGAAATTACATTATCATGGCTAATAATTAACTTGTATCTAAAGAATTAATATGTGTGTTGTGTAACTATTGTATTAAACATTTTAAAAAAATACCAAAACTTACAAGGAAAGGATGATTGAACGTTTTTTTTGCAGTTTATGACGAAAGCTGAAGAAGTGCTTGAATGTCCTATTTGCTACAACAATAGCAAGGAAATGGTGCAGTGTTTGACTGGTCATCATGTTTGTCATGAGTGCCAGAAAAAATTAAATATATGTCCACTTTGTAATAATAAGTTTCTTGGAACAAAGTCATTTTTAATGGATGGCATAACTGATGCTCTTAGCAACATTAAAGTGAGTATTTTTAAAAATGATAAGTTGACTTCATAAAGTTTTTCAATTATTAACTAATTGTGATATTACTTTACTACAGTTGTCATTAAGTAACTTGGAACATGATATAAACGAGACAGTTGTCGATAATGGAATAGAAACTTATAGGAAACTTTTGAAAGAAGTTTTATTCGAATTCTCAAGTTACTGCTATAGAAATAAGACTTTCTTGTTGTTTCTTAATAAGTATCTGCAGAATCCAGCTGCATGTCCTAGTAATGAGTTAGAAAAACAATTGATCAAGTTGACTTCGGATCTAAGAAATCTTGCTCACATTATTAATAACACTGAAGCAACTCTTATTGTGCTAAAAAAAAAATAGTTATCCTGATTGTTGCTTGTTTCAATTATATTGAAGTGTTCTCTTTTATAATCTAATTATTTTTCATGTAACTAAAAATGTATCAAATTTGATATTTTTGTTTAATTTATGTGATTATTCAAATTTTCTATCCTATTCAAGCAGTAAGAAAACTTCAAATATATTTATGTTTAGTTAGAAAAACTATTTATCAGGTTCACTTCAGGTCTAAGAGATCTTATTCGTATTATTAATGATACTAAAAACTTGTACTTTGCTAAAAAAAAATAGTTTGCCTGATTGTTGCTTGTTTCAATAATATTGAAGTGTTTCTTTTATAATTTAATTATTTTTCATGCAATAAAAAAAAGTATCAAAATTGATATTTTGCATTATTATAATTTTTATTATAATTTGCGTTATTTTATAATTTAATTATTTTTCATACAATAAGAAAAACGTATCAAAATTGATATTTTGCGTAATTAATTTATGCAATTATCCAAATTTTCAGTTGTATTTAAGCAGTTAGGAAACCACAAATTTATTTGTGAATATTAATGACTGATAGTTCAGTAAATTTGAAGTATAGGAAGGGAAAGTAAATATAAAATAAATAAAATAAAAACGTAATTGTTCGCAACAAGATTCCCGTTATTATGTGACTTTAGTCACGAAATACTTTATGAGTAATTTCCTTAAAATTTATTACAACACAAATTTTTTGAGCTCATTGGAGTTAAATAGTTTTTTTAGTTTTTAGGGTTTAACGAAGGGAGTTGTTGAGTTTCGAAGACGACGTCTTTTCTATCCGCGTGGTATGTTGAGGCATCATAATTTAAATTCCCTTTTAGTGAAAATCACTCATCGCGGCACGTAGTTATGGGAATCTTGCGAATTCAATAATTACGTTAAATGAAAGAATAACAAAGAATAATTATAAAGTATTGATTAAAGCTTACCTGTCTTTCACGTGATAACTTAAAATTATATACGCCCACTGCAACGGCCGCAAGGGTATAGTGATGTGTAGAAGCAACTGTGCAATGTTCAGTTGTTACTTGGCAGCATAGCAAAATAGTTTGACCAGCAGTCTACATAAGAGTCGTCGGATTTCGGACATTGGAGGTGTAAAAATTAATTAATTACTTGACATTAATTCGTAAAATAAAAGTCAATGTTGCACATGAGCTTTATAGACGCACAAATCTTTGGTAAGATAATGACAAACAATTAATTTGTTTTTTTTAAACTCAATTCGTCCAACATCCCATCTCCAATATCTGATAGTTTTTATGTAAGAGTATCTCTAAACAAAAATTTGAGCGTTGTGTTAGCCTATTGCACTCTACCGTCGTTTGGCTTGGAGGTAATTCTGTAACTATATCTTGTACGTCGACTAGATATCATTTGGTTGAAAATTAAAAAATCAACATTTCTAATTCAATTTTTTATAAAAAGTCAATATTTTAAATTAAATGAATAATTTAAATTTATTATAAGAGTTTCAGACCATTGCGGGAAATAATTTAATATTTTTTAAAAGTTGGAACAATTTCTGGAGAGTAAAACAGGAATCTTTACAGTTGATCCACTTTCACTGTACAAATAACATAATGTAAAAACTAAAAAGTTTAGTCTAAAACTAAAACTAAAAAAAATAATGTAAAAATAATTACTTTTGTATAATAACTACACTGCCCGTCAATCACTTTTGCCATGCTTACCTCAAAATTAGGCAAACTTGAAAGTTTTGTATCTCGGTCGGAAATCATCGTATCACAAAAAACAGCAGGGCATTTTAAAGGTAATTGCAGAAGCTTCCATTTAAGACGTGCAGAGACTTAAAAATGAAAATATGTGTTTTTTACAGTAAAAAAACTGATTAAAAAAATTTCAATTTTTTTAACCTCGACTTAAATCAATGCCAATTTAGAACCAGGCGGTGGAGGGCAAATCGACCGGAGGGGTTCAGAGGGTAATGCTTTCCCTTTAAAATTAGCCCCCGCGGGGTTCTATCCGATGTTTTTTAACCAAGTTACGGCGTTTTTTGTAAAAAAATAACCTTTTTTTTCAATCCTCAATTACTTCGACTTGCGTATGTTTTGGAAAAAAATGCCAAGGAGAAAAAAGTTTCATTTTGTGCCCAAGAATACGAAAAAAAGTCAAAATAAAGAAATAGAGAAAAAATTTTTGTTCGGTTTTTTAGCGCATTAAAAAAATAAAGGAATTTAATTTTTTTTTACGCTTAGTTTTAGTTTTTTTGTGATTTACTACGTCCCTAGACATTTTAAAACGAAGCGTAAAAAAAAAAGTTAAATTCCTTTATTTTTTTAATGCGCTAATTTTAAAGGGAAAGACATTACCCTCCGAACCCCTCCGGTCGATTTGCCCTCCACCGCCTGGTTTTAAATTGGCATTGATTTAAGTCGAGGTTAAAAAAATTGAAATTTTTTTTAATCAGTTTTTTTACTGTAAAAAACACATATTTTCATTTTTAAGTCTCTGCACGTCTTAAATGGAAGCTTTTGCAATTACCTTTAAAATACCCTGCGGTTTTTTGTGATACGATAATTTCCGACCGAGATACAAAACTTTCAAGTTTGCCTAATTTTGAGGTAAGCATGGCAAAAGTAATTGACGGGCAGTGTACCTAATAATAAAATTACAAATTTTAGTAAATTTATAATTCGTCTTGTAAAATTACGTCTCTGAGACTAGGTCCGTTTTGTATCCAACTCTGAGACTAGTAATTTTACGATAGCTGAAATCTTGGCTTTCGTTGTAAAAATACTATATCGATTGTAAAAGTATTATATTACTATACACTAAACTAGAATAATAAATTTACTAGCTGCTAGCGATTTTACTGCTCTCAGAATAGATCCGTTTCGTGTCCAACTCTCAGACTATAGTGATTTTACAAAAGTATTTTTTACAGTGAATATAATAATTTATACCATCATGTTCCACGTTCACGATAAAGTGATCCGATGTTCTTATAATTAATTTAAATTATTCATTTAATTTAAAATATTGAATTTTTTTATAAAAAATTGAATTTAAAATATTGAGTTTTAAATTTTCCGTTAAATAATATCTCGTCAATTCGCAGCATACGGATGAGATATATTTATATATCTAGTTGGAAATTCTGTTCTCCCCAGGGTTGGGAAATTCCGGAAGAGATCCTTAAAATGCTTCGGGCAGTTGACTTCAGATTTCACAATTTTTGCTCCCCATAAGGTCTATTCAACGCAAACTCTCAAATTTAGTAAGTAAAGTGTTGGCAGCACTGCGGAGAGACAGATATAGCATATAGACTGTATACATAGTATATAGACTATATGCTATATCTGTCTCTTTCTGCAGTGCTGCCAATATTTTAAATACTGACGTTGAGAGTTTAAGTTGAATAGACCTTATGTGGAGCGAGAGCGAAAATTGTGAGGTCTGAAGTCAACTGCAGGAAGCTTTTTAAGAACCTCTTCCAGATCATTGCCCATTTTCCCTCCTATGATGTTGATTTTAATCGTATTTATAAAAACGATATCAGAAGCTGTTGGGAACGCTCACTAACATTGACACAAAATTTAATTTGAACTCGCAGAAAGAATGGATAGTCAGATAGATGGTCCACTTATAGCTCTGCGAAATAAAGTAAGTTATTAAGATTTGATTGTTAATGTTCAACTTTGCAGGCTAAGACACATAACATTCATCGGTCATAAACAACATTTTTAATAATTTCCTATCAGATTTCTTGATTACTCTAAGCTTATAATTCGATGACATACCAATTAGATTTAAAAATGAGTTAAAAAGGGAAATAACAATTATAAATTTGTTTTACAGTATGCTGAGGATTTGGAAGACATTCTTACATGTCCAGTATGTTTTGAAAGACTGACAAAAAAAATTCCTGTTTGTACTCAAGGGCATCATATCTGTGAACAATGTTCACCTCGGATGGCATGCTGTCCTGTTTGCAAAGAAAACTTCAATGGCACAAGAAATTTCTTAGCTGAATCTTTGATTATAAAATTTGATGAGATCAAGGTAAATATTTATTTTCTCTTTTCAAAGTTTTTAATTGAAAACAGGAAAATGGAAGGAAATCATTGTTTTTCTCAGGATTCACTAATTGATCCTCAGCATTCACTTAATCGTAAAGTGTTGGAGGGTAGAGTATCAGTTAGTACGCAAACTGAGAATTTGTTTAAAAATGATGGCATTAACAATAACAATGTTTTGATTACTAACTGCAGCAATATAGCAATAAATAATTGGTTAAAAGGACCTGTTGTTGGAAAAGGAAAGTATCCTTGCAGAATTGGGGACTGCACCGAAGAATTGCCACATGGTAGAATGATACCACACTTACGGTATTATCATAAAGAAAATATTGTTGAGGTAAATAAAGAGAATTTCATTCTATGGAAAAAGAAATCCTATTTTCACAAGTTGCCAGTATTAGTGTATAATATTCAAAATATTTTTTGTAGGAAAAAATGGTTACTAATGCTATGTATGAATATAAATGGGAAATTCAGTATGAATTTGGCATGAAAAATGATAAAGTAATCAGTATTCCTAATATGGGATTGTTTTTCTGGAATGTTACTATTGATATAGAAGGAAACTTGCGTGGAAGCTTACAGATAGCTAATACAACATTGGTATCACAACAGTTCACCTATGAAATGACAATAATTCATTCACATAGTTCTGTAAGCTACAAAGGAAACGTGAGTTTTTATTTTGAAAGTAGAAATCTATTAAATTATAATCAATCAACATTTGCATATCACTCACTGAATTATAGGTTTTATCATGTCGTTCACCACAAACCAAACTTGTTGATAAATCTTTGTTTATTATCAATTCATTTATGAAAACTATGTTGAAAAGAAGGAAAGCATTTACATGCACTATAGTTATAACTCATCATCCAGAATCTAGCAACATACTAAAAAGAGAAAATAATGAAATCAGTTTGTCTTCAATATAAATGTCAAGTGGCATTTTAGTTTTTCAAATTTCATTCAATGATAAAGCCTAATATGTAAGTTTTATCTTTCATTATTCTACGAATTAGAATTATTATTTTATATTACAATTTTCAGCAATTGAAATTTTGATTGGTGTAGCTTATGATCTCTTTACGGGTATGTATGTGTCCCGTACACGTGTGTGTGTGTATACATACAGACATACACATACATGAAAACATACACGTTTTTTTTTCATACTCTACATATTTCCAAAGAGACCTTAATCAATTCATGATATCAATTAGAATCATTGTTCTTTTTCTTATAAAGGCTTCAAGAACAAGAATGTAAATATATATTTTTATTAACATTTTACAAATTAAACTTTCAGTTTGATAGTGACATGTGGTAGTTACTTTTAGTTTATCTCATTGCATAAATAAATATTGCTATTTTAATACCCAATAAAAAAATACATAAGTGTAAGTTGTTGATTATTATTAAAATATTGCTAAGTTTGAATAAGAATTTGTAAATGTCTTTTTCCTACTAAATAAATATATGAATGATAAAATGGAGGGTTTTATTATTTATAATTAAAAACACATTGCACAGCATTCATTATTATTCTCAACATAATTTATTCGAACGTAATGAATATAAGAGTCAATTTAGTTAGGTCTTTAAACGCAACGATTACATTGCTATCATTAATTAGTTTATTATTTGTTGCTGCTTATCTCGGGAAATTAGACAACGATTGTACATAAACTGAATAAGCTTGGAACTAATTTTTTTATTTGGATTAACATGTCAGTCTCTATACCTGCATGTATATTACGCATCATTACCGTTACAAAATCTATTTGAGATAACTTGCGTTCATTTTTGTTTAATTTTTATCGGACTTTGAATATTCAAAACTTAGTAAAATAAAACGTAGAATATTCGTGTAGACGAAGTATTCTTCACTCGATGTAATTGGTGCTTAAAAAAAAATCAAATATTAAAACTCGAATAATCATCATTCAGTTAAAACTTGCTAACATTTCACTCTGTGCGCGCGCGTATGTGTGGGGTGTGTGCGCCCGCGCGCGTGCGTGCGTGTGTGTGTGTGCGCGCGCGCGCGCGTGTGTGCCGTCAAGTGTAGGTCAACGCGCAATGCAACGGTTACAAACTACGTTATTCGCTGTCAGAATGTAAATAAAAGACAAGAGCGGAAGAAATAAGAATAGAACAGTGCTTAAACGATCAAAAAGAAAAAAATAATAATAATAAAAATCAAAGAGAAAAAAAAGTAATCAATCAGGCAAAAAAAAAAATTAGCTCTCAATCGAACCTCGCTAAAATATACTCTATTATTTGCTGGCGACTCAACGCTTCCGCTTTTCTCGTTAATCTGCCATCATCCGAGTGTTTTACGTATTCCTTCGTCAAACACTCGTTAAAGCTTATTTGTTTGTCACCTATTTGTCTAAGCCTCCATACATCTTTCTTAAATAATATGATTCATCATGCTTGCTGGAGTAGTCTACGGCATGAAAAATATAGTAAATAACGGACTCGTTTTTCGTTTCGTTTCCCCCATCCCATTCTCTTTCTTGAGACTATTAGTTTGGCGACATGTTTACTTGCGTGGGAGTTTATGAACTCTTGCATTTTATATTCGTTAAATCCAATAATCGTAAAGAGCCGCTCAAGTGCCATTATCGCGCAATGATTTTTGTTGCTCGAGGAGACGCTCAAGCGGCGATGGTCCTGGGCCTGACCACAGAGATTGCTGATTCTGACGAACTTTTATTTGATCTTGTTGAGGTGTTGACAAATTGCTCGATGTTGATAACTGACCATTCATTCCCCAAGAGTTGCCGCTAAACAGAGAGTAAGTGTTGCTTGTAGCTGACGATTGCGGTTGTTTCTGGTCCATCTAAACAAACAAGTAGAAAAATGTTAGTAATGAAAATCAGGCAAAATCAGTCATTGCAAACCAAAAACTTACATCAAAAGCTCTCATATCTTCAAAATTATTTCTGCCAGGATAAAGACGTGGCTGCATAGGATTCTGGTTGTAATTATTGCCAGGTGAGAGGGGTACATTATTCATACGTTGATTCGTGATACTAGACGTGGCAGCTGCAGCCCAATTTTGGAAAATATCCTTGCCAGTCATGCCTGATATATCCTTGGCCAAACCTTGTTGAGGTATCATCTGTTGACCACCAGGCATATTATTGGAAGCCCACCAGTTTACAGGTGGTTGAGGCGCTTGTGGATCTTTCCAAGGATTGTAATCTTTGCCATCATAACCATGAAACATCGGGTAGTTGTTCACTGACTGTTGATTTTTATTCATTCCCGATTGATTGGGGAAATTAAACTGTTGTTGCTGACCACTGCCGAAAGTCGAAGTCGACAACTGCGCTTGCTGAGGGAATGTAGCTTGACCGAAATTTGCACCAGCAAAGTTCAGTTGTGGCTGTTGTTGTTGCATGCCAGTGGTAGCTGTACTGGAAATTGTAACATCTGACATGCTGCTTGGATAATTGGCCAAACTTGATGTTGGTATGTTCATGGGGTTTTGCAAGTTCAAGCCGTTGAGTGGTCGGGGTAACATATTTTGTGGAAGCATACTTAAAGGATTTGGTTGCATAGTTATTCCTAGATTTGGCCGTACATGAAAAAAAGTATTTTGTTAATTTTAAATTTTAGATAGAAGAGAGTTTGTACTTACCCATAGATGTTTGCTGCTGGTTTGCTGGATTAAGATTTAAGCCTTGAGCGAGCATGGTGTTATTTTGTGGAGGTATAGCTCCAAAATTACGCTGTTGCTGTTGTTGTGACTGGATCATTCTATTTTGACTAAGGTTGTTCGGGAAAGGCATACCCTGAGAAACCGGTGGCTGACTACCTGCATATTGTGCTTGCATTGATCCAGCCATTGCATACTGTTGCAATGAAGCCGACGGATTCGCCATAAAGTTCTTATTAAACTGTGGTGTCTGCACGTTGAATGTCTGGTTGGGAAAGCAAGCAGGATTAGGTGGTAACGGGCCCTGTTGCTGTTGCTGTTGCTGGGAAACAGAAAACTGCGTGAGCCCCGGAGGTGCTGGTGTTTGCGCCGGTCCTTGAAGAACTGGATTTTGCATATCCGTGATGGGGTACTGATTGACGATCGAGGTAGGAAGAACGAGATTATCACGAGGTTGTTGATATGGCAGGATATTATTGAGATGATTATCCGAGGCTTTTAGCTGCTGTTCAAGCTGCTGTAATTGAGATTGCTTTGGTTGCTGAGTAGATTTGAGGTGAGTCGTAGGTATGAGTGGTTGACGGGTTTGAACTGGCGGTGCATTGCAACTGATGTTCGTTGTCGATGAGGAAATGACGATGTTCTTAGCATTATTAATCCTGACGGTTGTTGGAGTTCCACTAGTCAACGACAATGAGGCACTTGCCGATTTTGTTTTGTCCGTTTCATCAACTATTACTGGGGATACGTTTTTGAAGGTCACTTGTTTTTGCTCGTTCTCGGCGCGACGCATTATTGCTTGCATTGCTACGTTCTGTCGCGGTCTGCGCGCCGAGGTCGGCACAGAGTTGATCTCAACACTTGCCATGGGATCATTGCTGTCACGACTACGTTCTAATGAGCCTTGAGGTTTCAATATACCACCTCGTTTTTCTACTGAAATAGTATAGAAAAAATTAATTTACGACTTTTTTAATTGGAAAAGAATCGAGTGATAATTGTATACTTACAGCCTAATTCAGCTATCAAACTATCTATTTCGGAAGAACCCTTACTACTGGCCGTTTCCGAGGGCACAGGACTATTGGCAAAAGTCGATTGCTTCTCCTTATTTAAACTTAATTCTTCAAGTTCTTTCATAAGTTCGCTGCTTAGTCCTACGTCCTCGTTAGCTGATATGAATTTTGTTTCGTCGCTTTTATCTCCAGTGCCCAAAGTGATGAGGTGCGCGCCGTTTACCTGGTGTTGCGCTAATTGCTTGCCTAGATGAATAATGCGAATTGCACGCAATATGCACCCTTTGTTTACCATTGCATCGTCCTCTAAGTCTGTGTTTGTAAATTGCAGTGTCTCAAAAGATTTCTCTAGTGGTAAAAAACCTTGGAGACCTCGGTCTTCTGGCAGTGGTACTTTGGCATCTGCAATTCCATGTGAAAAGTTATTTATAAATCTTTGATCACGAGTGTATTTTTTTATTTGTTAGTTTGTTAGCAAAGTACTTACACTGACTGTAATCGAAATCAATAACACAACTTTGTAAACCATTCAATAAAACACAAAAACTTGGCCATATTTGAAGTCTAGATGTGAATGCAGCTTCTTCTAAAACTGTTGGTCTCTGATGAATCCAGTCAAGGCACAATTTTACTGTAATGATCAAACAAAGAGTTAAAAATTGTGATAAGCACTTTGTTATGAAAATGAAATAAACTTGAGCATGTGCTTACTAGTTGGTAAAGCAAAATAGGTGAGTATTGAATTTTTAATAGTATAAACAGGCAGCAACAGGGCTGATAAACTACCAGCTATCAGATCAAGAATACAGTTTCTAGAAATATTCTCATCATTGCTCAACTGATCGGTCTTCATCAATTCCATATTTTCACTCGTCATGCCAGCCGCGTGTTGTAAGGCATACAAATTGATGACCAGCATTTGCACCAATCGCCAAGCACTGAAACTTTCAGTTGCTACCAACGCGGTTAGAGTATCGTTCAATAATTTGACGTATGTTGTTGCAACTCTGAAACGAATAAAGAATAATCAAAAACTTGCTTCACGATGATTTTAAAAAAATGTACCTTAGATCTCCTAAATTATAAATAACCCCATGAAACTTTAAAAATACAGCGATGTACTCTTGCGAAGAGAGTTTAGTCTTTCCCTCGACGTTGAAAGAATTGTCGTTTAAGGCTGTGGAAAGAGTCTTCGCGAGGTTGGTAGTGGCCACGGGAAATGGATGCTTGAGAGCCACCGAGCGCACGTAGTGAAAAACAGTTCCAAGCTTATCACCTCGTGAAGCTTCTAGCAGAGCTAATTGATTATAGGGCTGTCCACTGGACGGCGAAACCGATACAGCATGCCGGTAGAAAAGTTCAGCCTGTTTGCTTTGGTATCGATAGCGTGCAATGTCTCCCAGATGGACGAGACAGTACTGACAAATATAGAAGCAAGACGATTTATGAGGCGTGGAAAGTTTCTCCACAGCCTTCCATGGCGAGATACAACCGTAAACATAACCTTTTCTAATAAAGAAAAAAAATTTGAAATAAGTCATTGCAATTGCAAAAAAATTATTTAATTATATAATATCAAATACCTTCTAAATGGTAAATCCAAATCAAAAGCAGCGCAAATTTCTTGAAGTAGAGTCAGATAAAATCCACTAGCAGCCTCTAAGCACCATGTGAGCATAGCCTGTGACTCTTTACGCTTAGGATTTCTGCGATCTTGGGCCTGTGACTGTAGCATGGCTATGTAATTCTTGAAGCCAAGGTTCCATAATTCCTGTTCAACCTTACGATCCAAAGCGTACTCCAAATCAAGAATGAGCACTTGTTGATAGATATTTCTGAGTTGCCTTTGATACATCCAGGCATCATTATCATTCAAGAGATCTTTACAACGTTGAACCTTGTCTTTTAAAGGCTCAGCCTTTCTACAAATAAAATTTTAAATTACTTTTTAATTGAAAGTTTCTTTTAAAATCCATTGAAATTTGGAATTTGCAATATATCTTACTTAAGGGCTTGCACAGCTGCCTTTAGGCCCATTTTCCAAGATCACACACCTGCACCTCCTGCAATTGAACTGCAACGATTCAATCAGTCAGCAAGAAATAAATATTCTGCAGTCTTTAACTTGATAATATCAATGTAATCTCAACAGTGAATGTAAAGGCATCTCTGACAATGATTAAAATACATAAATTGCTAACAAATTAACCTTAAGAAGTACTTGGACAATTAAAATGACAATGAATATTTCACAAAATACACAACTGTAGTTTCGTTTGCAAATTCGTTTTTTTTCACGATAAAATGATATAATTACATGACAAAACTAATGAAAATTGATCAACAAACAATGTGAATCATCCGACTACGCTTGAAATTGTTATTTTCACACAAAGAACAGCCAAAGGTTAGAATCAGTACCGAGTTGCGTTCGTAAACGTGCGATTTCGTGTTCGGGTAATGGCATCGCGTGAGCAGAAAAAGAAAGAAAACTGCTCATGGCAAGCGAAACAATTATCATGAAATTCGTAAAATAATGAAATTATCACTTACTGTCACATATTTGCACTGAAAAATGGACTACAAAACAAAGGTGATGGATTCCATTTTTTCCAGCTTTTACTCTCGCTCTCGTCGTCGACGTCGTCGCACGATATCTATCTTCTGTATCTATGTATCATGGTGTGTGTGGCTGCTACGGATGTGTACTGTCGGTGTGTCCGTGCCGCCCTCGCGGGTTCATCAGCAAACTTGGCAGCCGACGAAAGAGCGGTGAATTTTTTCCTTTTATTTGTAAAATTGAGCTTTTGTTATGAATATTTGTTGTGATTATTAAATCATATAAGAGTGAAAAATATGACTAATTCTTTTATTACAAACGCTTAGGAAAATTAGTCAAAGGGATTTTCATTTGATTTAACCGGCTTCGTAACAGATCAGTCAAGGTTATGTAGCTTTGTTTTTTTCTGTACCTTTAAATTTTCGTTTGTGAGAAGAAATATACAAGGTATGATCTTGAATGTTCCCGTAATCCGAAGGAAAATGTTAATATTTACAAAGAGGATAATCACTGGAAAATATTTCCAACAACAATTTAAACGCGTGAGTGATTGTTCTTTTCTATTTCATTCTGAAACTGAAATTCCTACAACTAAAAATTAACGCGTATTTTTTTTTTAAATTCTGTAAAGCTTGCAATTGTTTTAAAAACATCACTAAAAAATTTTTAATGTTGATTGATTTATAATATTTTATAATTGGTTCAAACACATTATTTTATAAAGTATATAAATTCATTAATCAACATCAAATATCAATATGTTTATATGAATTGAAAGAATAATTAAACTTTACAGTTATGTTCTATAAAAACTAAGGCAGAGGAGCTCAAAGACAAACAAAAAGAAATGATGGCACGCAATTTGCCAAAGCAAAAACCCATCCCAGGAGTCAAGCAAATCTTAATTGTGGCATCAGGCAAAGGAGGAGTAGGAAAATCCACAACTTCAGTAAATTTAGCAGTAGCTTTAAAAGTTATTGAACCTAGCAAAAATGTTGGATTATTAGATGCTGACATATTTGGACCATCAGTTCCACTGATGATGAATTTACATGAATCTCCTATGTTAAATAAGGATAATTTGATGGAACCTTTGATAAATTATGGGATCAAGTGGTAATTAATTTGATCATTACAGTTTTTTTATACATTTCAAATTATGAATATATTTATTATTTGTAGTATGTCTATGGGTTTTTTGATAGATAAAAAATCTCCAGTTGTTTGGAGAGGTCTAATGGTAATGAGTGCACTAGATAGATTATTACGACAAGTGGCTTGGGGTCCACTAGATTATTTGATAATTGACACTCCACCTGGAACTGGTGACACTCATTTGTCACTTGTACAAAATCTTCCTATTGCTGGAACTCTTCTTGTTACAACTCCTCAGAAAGCAGCTATAGAAGTTACAAGAAGAGGAGCTGAAATGTACAATAAAGTCAATGTACCATTAGCTGGTATTGTTTCTAATATGACAGCTGTAACATGTCCAAATTGCAAAACTGAAGTTCCGCTATCAAAGAACGAGACTGATAAGCTAGCTAAGGAATTGGGTAAATATTTGTATGTCTTATTCATAATATTATTCATAATTTTACTATTTATTTACAACTGCTGATTATTTATAGATCTAAAGATTTTATGCAAGGTGCCTCTGGAAGATAAGATAGCAGAATGTTGTGATAATGGAAAGCCAGTGATTCTAAATGCTCCAGATTCAATGACTGCAGCAGCTTATAGAAAATTAGCTCAAGATATATCTACTTTTTTAAAAAATTGTTCAGTTAGTACAGGGTAAAGAAATTTGATAGTTCTTATAAAAACAAATGCTATAAATATTACGAAGTAAATGAGAAGATTTAATGAAGGTATTCTTGTAAATGTAAATTTACTTTGAAAACAATGCCGTCAATTTAATCTGTTGTCAAATGTCACGTACATTCGATTCATGATGAGATTGTGAATACCTGTTAAAGATGCAAATAATCCCCGCCTATTTTCAGTCACATGTCGAAATGAATTATTGTTAGGTGGGGAGCGCGTGTTTTTATAAGCGACTGCCGCGAACGATTAATAGTCCCGGTGCAGCTTTTCACGATTACGACTTTATGTATAACATTTTTAAACTTGATATTCAAAGATTTAGTATTTGTAATAATATTTACACACGTAAGTTTGTGAAAATTTATGAATATTTTTGTCGATTATTGTTATAATCTTCATTGAAAAAATTGGTGGATTATTGACTAATATTTATTATATAGGCAATATAATGGAAGGAACATTCACTAGTGTTCACTCGAGTCCAAATGCAGATATTCATGATGTACCTATGAATGTATTAATTAGGCCATTTCCACCATCTGTTGATGTTACAAAAGTGAAAAGTCTTATGGAGACCTTGAGCAATCCAGAAACTAAGTCACAAGTTCCACCTGTAGATGTACTATGGATAAAAGGTCGAAATGGTATGTAGTATTGTGTAATAAAGACTATTTTTTATAACCTCAATTCTATCAATAAAACAAACTTGAATTTGTTTATAATTGTTTTAGGAGGCGATTATTATTATTCATTTGGTGGGTGTCATAGATATGTAGCTCATCAAGAATTAGGAAAACCAACTATTAAAGCTAAAATAATTCAGTCAACTATAACAGATTTAAGGAGTTACCTAGGAAATTCAACTCCTGATCTAAAGTGAAAGTACATAAGTGACTGTTAAGTGTTATTTCATATTTTTTTATAATTACATTTTGTTATAATTTTGTACAAAGTAGCTAAGTATAAAATCAATTCTATTAATAAAAGTGTTTCAATTCAAAGTGCAAGTTAAGCATATCAGCTATTTTAACTCATTGTATGTAATTTTATGCTAATGAAATAAAATATTTACCAAAATAAATTGAAGGTGACTAAACGCGTATAATTTAGCATATCGAAGTAAAATAAAAGCTCCATTACCAAATGTACAAGAAAACAGGATCAAGTCATAATTTATGATATATTTATTCATTTTTTCATTATATACAAATTACATAACGTAAATTATAGTACGATAAATGCATATCTTTTATTCAATTTCACACTTGTGCAAAATAATAATAATAATAATAATAGTAATAAATCTATTATGCAATTGCTCATAATATGTGTATAAAATCAACATTGTACAATATTTTACAATATTATTGGAGACCATTTTGACGCAAGTTTTGAAAATATATTTTCAAAATTAAGTGGAACTTATCATTTATGTCGATAAAATAAAGTATCTAATAAATTTGTAAAAAAGTCTGTTCAGAATTGCACATAAAAGAACAGTCAATTTTTTTAACGTGAGTTAACCGACGCGTTCTATTACATTTTTTTTAACGCAACTAATACAACATTTATTTTTTGCAACGTATTATCGCATTGTAAATACAAAAGATTCTACCTTCGTAAGAGATACTTTCTTTATACACTTCTTACTTTTTTATCTCTTATATTCTCTGAAGTATATTGTACCTTTTATGTATCAAACTTGTTGTATACAAACCTGACATACAAGCGAATGTGAAAACGACAAATATCACTCATTTTCACGTAAGATTAATTTACAAAAATGCAGACTTTTTGTTTCCTTATAGTGACAATAACTATTATGCTGGTTCTTTTTTAGTACGTGCGTATCATGTATCATTCGTGATCGAACGAACGTCTATACTATATTCTTCCACAGCCCCTAGTTATTTTTTCCATAAACGTGACTTTAAATCTAATTGTGAGCAGAACGTCTTAATCTCTGCCGATACAGTTGCTTCTCGTGAAGATTATTGGCTTTTTTCAAATCTTCTGTCGCATTCGCAAACTCTTTAATTTTGTTAAGTTGTTTCTCCGAAAACGAATGAGATTTAATAGAGTCATAGAGATTTGGATTTTCAGCCATGTATGGTCTCTTATTCTCTAATGAATTCGGGTTATTGTTCTCCTTGAGAAAGTAAGGCTTGTAGCTCTTGGTGCTGTTTAGCAAAACTTCAATCTTTGCTGCTTCATTCGCTTCGAAATTATCCTTATTACGCAGATGCTTTGGTATAATTGCTTCTTGAAGATGAAGTAGTTGAGTGTTGGTGACTTCGCAATCGATTTGCATCATTGTTACATGGTTCGGTGGTGTCGAGTAGTATGATCCTAAAATAGATATCAATGATAAAACATTGACATGATTGAATTTTCAAGAGTTATTATTCTTCAGTCGACAAATAAAAGTTATCTCAACTTGATAATCATCTTACATATAAATACTCTTACCTTAGATAAGTCAAATGTTTCAACTTTCACAAAGGAAATAAAAAAGAACTCACCGTTAACGGGTACAGCCGGCAAAACCAGCGACATTTTCGGTCGAGCAGTACTGTTTTTCCTTGAAGCCAGCAACAACAAATGATCCCCGGTGAACCAAACCACATAAAAGGTATCATCTTTCCTTCCCAGAGCATCGAACAACTTGGCGTGTTCCTTGAGTAACGGTGAGAAAACTTGCACTGCGTTGATATTTGATGGCATGTCCTTGATCTGATTGCTCTTAATGGGAACTCGTTTATACGTTCGCCTAGACGCTGATCTTAGATTTTCTTTTGATTCTTCCTTTAGATGCAGTAGCTCATTGAGCGATTTCATTTTGAGATTGGTCTTCGAAGCTTTCGTCCAGTTTTCGCGATTCGGGTCACCACCGATCCAGCGTCTCAGCTCGTAATCCAATCTAATCGATTCAGTTCTGTTAATGTGCATTGGACACATCGGGTGATATTGCGGCAACGTATCATTGAACCTGTCTGTATCTTCTTGAGATTCATCAGAGGTTGACCAAAGTAACGTTCTTCCATGCCTTACGTTTGGTAGAGTCAGAGAAGGTACATTGGGTTGTAGATCGCCTAGGGGTTCTCGGCTTTGATTAAATCTAAAATAAAAATATAATGGCGTTGGTACAGCTCTCTTTTATGTTCAAACCAAAGATAGACGAAACTCACCCTAAACTACCGACGTTAAGGGATACCATAAATACCATAGCTAATAATATTGCAGTATTCTTCTTATTAACGCCAAAATGTTGGCCTGACAATTTCTTTCCACCTGTTTCTTCAATTGTCGAAAGTCTTTTTTTGAGTTCAGAATTTTCTGCCTGCAATTTTTTATTTTCCTTTTGTAGATCAGCAATTTGTATCTCCAGTGAAGTAACGTATTCCTTCTTCTTTTTTCGAGAAAGACAAGCGGACTCACGATTTTTAATCATTCTCTGCTGCCTTTTAAGTGCTTTTAATTCACTTTCCTGTCTATTAGGTATATTAATCAACTCGGGAAACTCGTTCTTTACAATAATAGGAGTACAATCGGGATTGTCCTTTTGAATTACAATAGAAGGACCTACGGGCACTCTGTTCTTTATAACTACCGGTGTACCAGATTGGTTATTTTTCTGTATAACTACAGAGGGTACAACTGTTGGTGACTCATTTACAGCAGGTACAGTGATTACTGAAGCTTTTGGTATCTGTGCCTGGACTTTAGGTATCGCATTGATGATCTTCACTTGACTGTTTTGTATAATTGATGTATTTGTACCAGTTTGTGTTTGCTTGACAGGCAATAAATTCAATTGATTTTGAATTTTTACATGCTTACTCATCGGCAGTGTTTGAACCTTCAATGGCTGAGTCGTGCTTTGTTTAACCCTTTGAGTGAGTGCAGCAAAATCTTGAGGACTCAGCACAATTGTTTTCCTGGGTGTTTCTGTAACCGTAAAAACAAAAAATTCAGTTACCAAATTATTTTTATATATAATTCATAATTTAGATTGTTATAAAAACCTTTTGAATTTGAATTGTCTAGCTTTGGTTGAATGCAAATACGCTTTGCAGGATTATCTGACAAAAGAAACTTTTGCATTGTACTGTCCTTTATATTAAGCTGACCAAGAGGCAGCAACTTAACTTTTGGTATTATGGACGGAACTTTTTGAGCTGGTTGGGGTGATGTCGGAGGAGAATCATTTCTGGGTGGAGATATAGGTGGTGTCTCTAATGTAAACTGTAATAAAACACGCATAGACATGATAAAATTGTTGCCAATCAATTGTGTATATATTCTCAATAGTTCAAAACACACCTTATTCTCACTGTTAGTAATACTAGAGGTCTCGCTTGGCCATTCAGATCCACTAGATGAGTCAGACTGACTAGGACTAGGTGAAAGTGGTAGCTGCACGAAGGGACTCTTGGGTTCTAGTTTTATCGTGCTACTTCTCTCATCTAAAAAGTAAACGCTATGAATACCTAAACGCACACTACAGGTTTGGAATTATTAAATTAGACTTACCAATCGTGAAAAAATCCGTAAAGTCCATTCTCGGGTCATCAGTATCCATGAAGCCAAAATTGATGTCCTCGAGGAGTTGCGACTCCAAGGCAGTCCTCATGATCTCGTCGGGACTCTCGTCGCAACTTGGCGAGCCTTCGCCGTTGAGAAGCAACGGGATTTCCAGATCCGAGCTGAGTGCCTCGAGGAAGTCGTCGGCCGGTAGGGCGGATTCGTCCTCTGCACATAGTAAACAAATCATCGATACACATAAGTATCACCTTGTACTATCGCACAAACTTCATTAAAGACAACTTCGTTACTTATGTTAGGATCTACGGTGTACATGTCGTGAAAATTTTAGTATATTTATGTTAAAGTACAGCAGCAACATGCGTCGTGTTCCGAAGTTGAGTAAAAGCCGCGATGAGTGAAGCATTAAGCCTCAAACACATCGCGGGACGTCCGATTTATTGTATCTGTGATTCTATGCAATAATGTGTAGGAAGGCTTTAAAAAGGACATATTTAAACGTGTCAAAGACGACGACGACGATACGGTCCGTGGGTACGAGGCGCGAGAGAAAAAAAAGACTGAAATGGAAGAGGGAATCGTTTCTCGGAATCAACAGGAAGTTGGACGATATCATTATTTTTACATTATTTATATGTATGTGGGAAAAGAGGAAAAATTGTACAGTTCGTGCAATCAGGAACAAGGGAAGCGAAGCGCGCTTTTCACACTTCAGATGAGTAGTGTGTTTGTTTAGTAGTTTACAACCTGTCCTTTGAAACAATTGTCATGGGTGTGTTATTGTGTCCGTAGTTTGGCAAATAAAGATATTTATTCGATTAATCTATGACGCAATTGAAACTAATAAAAGTACATCAGAACTACAGTGAATCTCCACATCGGAAGTTACGAATCAGCGTCAATAAAATTTCAGTCGTTGAGCATAACACGCCGTGCATAGGTTCGTGCTTCAAACGCATTCGAAGTCGAAACGGGGGGGGGGGGGGGGATTGCTAGGAGTTGAATATCATTTAATGACGCTCATCCCGCAGTAAAAAAAGTATATCCATGCCGCACGTGTACATACACGAAGTCGCCCGGTAAAGAGAGGTAAGTCGAAACTGGAAATGCGAGTCAGAGAGGTGAATGCTTTGTACAAACGTGTCAATGAACTTCGCGGAGGCCGGCCGGCACGCGATACAAGATGAATTTGGCACCTTTTTCCTTTACGCAGCGAAGAATCGCTCGCGCGCAGGTGCTAAACGACTGGCTTTCCGTGAAAATTTGCATTTGGATTGCACACTCCTCGCTGCCTTGCGTCAGCGGATTTTTATTCCTTTTCGTAGCAGATGTAAGCGTTTTCGAATTCGCTTTACAGTGTGAGAGCTAATTCACGACTTTCGCTGTAATCTATTGCGCCGTTGCTATCATTTATATATATATATATAATAAACTCATCGCTTGACGGTGAGTGCGATATATTTTTAATCGTTTAATCGTTAAAAATACCGACATTTTTCAAACAGTCAGCTTTTCATCGTCGACCATTAAAAAGAAAAAAAGGAACTTGATTTCTAACGTAAAAAAAAACAAATAACGGTGAGCTAGTTCGAGAGGCTATTGCGTAGTGCGGCTTATCGCCTTAATGGAATTTTCGTGCCTCAGCGATAACAACGCAGTAAGTACAAAAATCTTCCCACTTGACTTTCTACGGGCAGAACTGGCAAGCTTATCGAATATTCATCCGCCACAGTTTGCGAGAAATAGGTGGCTTAATTGGGCTACCATAATACGTAGGCGAATTATCATTAGTCGCATACAGCGGCAACTGTTTTCGTTCGCTAATTACATGTTCGTGAAAAATAACGAGCTGATTAACGAGTATTTTTAACTAGTAGCGAGCTTTTTTTTGCAGTATAAGCAAAATCATAAAACGTTCGTGATTCATGGTTATGGCGCTATAATTTGACATGCAATCAGCCCGCATAAGATAAGCATAGCATGTGTGGTGGCGAGAATTGGGTTCGCTCTGATCAAGCAGTTATAGACATGTTTAATTTCGTCAACGAGGTTTTCTCTGAGAGGGATACCCTGCCTTCTTTTCGCTCTTGTGGTTCGGCAGAATATATGCTCCAGATAAATAATCCGTTGTCGGGACAGTCGGATCTTCCGATCGCAATTGACCGAATTACTTTCAATCGGTGATTCACAGGTTGGGTTCGCAACGTGCCGTGTCGAGATGAGAGAAAGGCCGACGACGTTCCCACAAGCTGACTGTTGCGCGCGGCCACGGCGAACGAAAAAACTAATATTATCGATGCAGTTCCGAGCGCCGGAGCGCCATTCCACTTGTATGTATAGGCTTTTCCAAGCGTGGCGGAGAGATAAGCGGTCGAGTCGTAGCGGCACGCGCGGCATCGCCACCTGTTCTTTCGTTCAGCTCGTCGCGCGTAGGGCGAACTAACTACTTTCAGCCGTGCGAATTGTCAAGCAGGCTCACGCGTCTTTTTGGGAAAAGCTGCGCGATCGTGGCGTCCGGTGACCGAACCCTGCGTAGCTGCTGTCCGCACGTTCAAAGATAAAGCGAATCGATTGTCTACCAGCACCGATTATTTATATGGTGCGCTCGTATATGCGCTTCTCGTCAAACGTTCTCTTGCAGTTTGGGAATCCACTGGGACGGGTTGATAACGTCGCGGACAACAAATTTGGAGTATAGCGTGCGCTTCTCTTATCTCATTTTGTACGATAGAAATTCAAACAAGTCTTACTTTTTATTTGCGCGTGTCAACGGATCAGGCGTTGCCAACCAATTGGCCTACTCTGATTCAAATTCGAACGATGAATATTCATGATCACACAGGTTGAGATAATATTGTTTTCACGAGCGTTCAAGCGTGGTAACGTCGTGGCACGTGCGGCGAGGTAAAAAAGAAAAAAAAAGAAAAAGATGCACACCTATACACTCAAAGAGAAGCCAATTGGCGCATGGCAGCTTAAAGAAGCCAGGACGCGAGAAAAGAACGATGAAGAAGCTGAGAAAAACCCTGGAGAAACCGGTCGGAAAATGCTTGTGTCGAGGGCATCGAACATTCAGAGTTATCCGGTACCCATTGCCGCTCATTCGGCTTCCTTTGCCGAGAAAGTTGCGCCGGAGTCACCGGCGTGAAATTTGACTAACGTGCTTATTTATGAGACAGCTTATTGGTGGCCTTGAAACTGAAAAAATCCGGCTTAAGGGTACGAACGTGGTCGCTAATTTAAAAATAGAAAAAGTGATAGTTACGCGATCGCGAAGGAGGCATCTTGAGACTTGCGCGCGTGATTGCCCATTGAATTTAATGAGCGAAGAATATAATGTACGAGAGTTGACTGTGTAAAAGCCTAATTGATGAGCGACTGTAGGAAGGACTCTCGATTTCTAAATTTCTTCGAGACCCGGGGACGCCAACGACCGCGGATCTTCAGATCTTGTTGCTCGAGTTTTGCGAAATTTCACTAGTTAACTTTCGAACAAAGACCATCGCTTTTTGGGCCTTTGCCAGAAATCCGAGATCTTTGTTTGCGAAAGAAAATAAAGGAAAATATAGTCACGAAGCCAAAGCCTCGATGAACAATAAGTCTTTTATTGTCGGCAAAGACAAGAAAAGCCCCAAACGAGCGAAAACAAATATCGCTGAAACGTGAAAGAAGCATCGAGAATCGTGCGCGTGTGGATAAAACCACGTGTTCCCGCCGCGGCGGCCAAGCATATTGAGTCATTTATCAAATGTGCTATAGTGGAAACCCTTTTACTCATCGCGAAACGCGTCAAACTTTCAGGGCAAAGCCATTCCCGTTAACGATTGTTCTATGGCCACGACAGTAACACGTATATATATACACATTCGCGACTGTCCCACTTGCCAAGCTAATGCCGCTGCACTATTATTGATAATCGTTGTTACAGACTATACACGTTGGCATAACGTACACTTAGCTTCGCGTATGCACCGACGTTATCTCGAGAAGGCCAGCGAGCAACTTTGACACAACGTGTACACCGAAATAATCGTGGATTCCATGAAAAACTAGCGCAAAAGCGATAAACGTACCGAGCACCGCGAGTTCTGGGAAGAGCTCGTCGCTATCGGACATCCTCGTCCACTGTGGTTCCTCGTCTATCAGCATTGTACTCTTCAGATGCTGCGCGTACGCGAGCATGTAAAATTTTCCGTATCTATTCCACGTATTCTTACAACTCAACGCAGCCACTCTTCACGTAATACATCCTCTCACTTTAGGTAGCACAGTTACGCTATTCACACGAGACTGCAGATAAGACGCGCTATTAACGACACAGCCGATCACGATTTGGGGTTTATCTTGTTTTTCGAGAGCACGACAAAGTGTGCAAGGGACGCGTGCACACTCCCCGCGCACTCGACGTACACTGGCGATGGAGGTGACGGCGGCGGCGGCGGTAGTGGCCGTGCGGTCTCTCTCCCGCTCGTTCACGATGATCTAAGCGCGGCGAGTCGTTGATGCATGCATGTGTGCCGACGTCGCCGGCGATGAAGCGACGGTCCCGAACAGCAGAACTCTTGCGTGCGTGGACTGTTATCTGTGAGCAAGGCAGGCGCAGAGGCGGAGCACGTGTTCGAACGATTCTTACTTCGCCCCCCCCCCCCCCCTATACCGACTTCTCAGTATTTTGGAGTTTCAATGACAGTTTACGATGCAGCTGCGCGGTGATAAATAGATACTATCGCATGCATTGCTTGTTTATAGAAAATTAAAGGAATTGTTTTCCTGCTCATCAATTGTCTTAGTGTTTGTAATAAAATATATTATAATTAGTAAAATATTACTTTTTTCTAACGTGTCTTTATAGCAAGTGCAATTTTATTCACACAAATTTAAAAATATATTTATATAATTAATTTCACTTCATTTTCTTTAACTTGAGTAAATGATTCCTCAGAGCTATCTGCTTATCTTTGAACGATCGCTTGGTCTTTCCCTTGACTTTGTGCTTGATCATTTGGAAGTTCTTTTTCTTATTTCTTTCGCGGTTAGTTTTACTACTGTGAGGATTTTGTCGGCCGTCCTTGTAACCAAACTTTTCTCTGTCCAATTGTCCTTGCTGTAAATTGAATAGAACGATTGAATCGTTAAAGCGATGTAAACGTAATTTCGATTGTGCAAAGATGGAAAAGTACCTTGACGCTTTCTAGGCGAGCCTGCTTATCATGTTTCCTCTTCTTGTAGATATTCTCGATATCACCCAATCTGACCAGTTCACCCCTACCTTTGTTCTCGTCGAGTGGCCTTTTTACAGATTTTTTCGCGTGTGTCACTTGCTGCTTCACCAAAGCCATGTCGATCCTCTTGAAATCGTCATCGGTCAAAATCCGATCGATCGACACTTGCGACGCTTTGGCTTTTCTCTCGCCTGTGTATTCCACTTTTTGCCTTGCTTTGAGTTTCTCCTGTAACTTCTGCTTCTCCAGCAACTTCCTCTTTTTTCGCTCTAATTTGCAATTTTTTGATTTTTTATTCAAACGCTTTACGCTTACGGATATTTTGGAGGCGGGTCTTTTGACCCGAGCTTTGTTATCATTGTCTTGCTCGTTGACGCCGTCTTTGTTATCCGATTTTTCATTTTCATTATTTCCTTCATCTTTTTTACCAACATCTTCACTGTCTTCTTCTCTTTCTTTGTCGCTGTCTTCGTCGCTGTCTTCGTCGCTGTTTTCATCGCTGTCTTCGTCGCCTTCTACATCACTTCCTTTCTCTTCGTTTTTTTCATCGTCCGTCACCCATTGACCATCGCTGTCGTCATCTCCACCTTCATCACTACTATGGTGAACATCAATCCATTGATCATCATCCTAATGTATACATGTTACTTCAATTGTTGCGATTTTATCAGTGAGATAATAGACAAATGATTAAAAATGAATCAATCTTACGTCACTATTGTCGCTATCAATTTCCAAAGTATCGTCTTCTGGCTCCAATAAAATTTCGGCACCTTGTATGTACTCTTTAGCCGCAACTTCTCCGTACTTCAACGGTTCCAGGGCAATGGTAGCTTCCGTCGGTCTACCTCTATCTTTTTTATGCAACATATCCGGCATCGTTTGCCTATAAAGACTGATCAGAGATCTGGCTGCCATCATTACACTTCTCTCGCGATTACCCTTGTACGCTACTAGATCTTGAAGCAGATCTTCGTACATCGCGAGTGGACATCGTGCGCAGATTTCTCTGATTGCGTTCAATCTAGAAGCAAAGACAAGCGTAGAATCGTTTATTTATGTTTTAGAAAAATAGTATGCTTAAAATCGAATGGATTCAGAGGTAACTACCCAATAGCCATTACGTCAGCCGAGTTCCGCTCGGTAACGAAATTATTGGCCAATGTTTTCAATACCGGTTGTATTATGTCTGGTGGAATCAGCTCATGTGAGGCTTGTGCGACAAATTGCAGCAATTTGGTGACCTCTGGAAAAAAAATATCATCCGTGAATGCCATGAGAAAATAACGTAATTTTATTAAAATCAATAGGTCTAATCGATCGTAACATCCTACCTCTTTGATGTGGCTGAAGGAAACGCTGCAAGTATGGATAAAAATTGAACAGGAACAAGTTGTGCAACCCTATCAGCCTGGAAATGACATTTAACATCATGACTTTTACTTCGAATCTGTCGTTGTTCTTTTCCAATTGTTTGAAGAGTTTCTCGGCTAAACCTTGCGGATCGTGTATCAAGAGGAGTGCCGAGAAAGTGAACTGTGGAGCCTTCGATTTCTTCTTTTTGGATTTCTGAAACTCGAAAATTGTGGATTATAATGACAATAATTGACCATAAACTTTGACGAGAGGCAACTTAGATCCAACGTACAACGTAAAGATTCTTAGCTTTCTTCAACTGCTTCTCCCTCTTTTTAGTTTTCTTATTAACTTTGTTAGCCATAATAACTTCCTTGATGTTCGGTTCGTCGTCGCTGTCACTGTCGTCGCTGTCCTCTTCATCAGGATCGGTGCCTAAGAAAAACTTGAGACTAGCTACCATAACTTTTGTGATTTTAGAGAAGCAGCCGGTTGCGATGACGTTAACCGTTTTCGCATCGTTCCAAACGTTCTTGTTGTACAACTCAATCATAATATCCACTGACATTTTTGCGGCTCTCGCATTCGAGTCTTTCAGCATTTTGAACATGAAGTTCTGCAGCACAGTGTTGACCTTGGCATTCTTATGCTTTGCGTTAACGTTTTTGATATCCGTTATAATGTGCGTTTGTAAGAACTGTCTGAGCGCTTTGTCCTGGCAACGCAATAGCTCGAAGAACAGACTTAGAAGATCAGTTGGTTCAAGAAGGTTTTTGTTTCGGAGTAGGATAAGCGCACGACAAAAGGTCTGCAAACGATGGTAAAACAAAGATCATTGAGTTTGTCATTCAGCTCATTCGGTAATCGAACATTTTTTGCACAATAATTGTAATACTAACCATACGCATTTCACTGTCCAAGACGGTATTTTTGTTTTTCAGAATATCAATCAGTTCTTGCGGAAAGGTCTTTAAATCATCACGGTAATAGTAGGCGACCTGAATAAAAATAATTTATAAAACATTCGAAATTTGACAACTTATCGGTTGGATAGACTAAATAATAAAATTATCCAAAGCAAAACTACATTAACGCATGTTTAATAATTAATCAAAGCAAATATTAATGAATTTTCTATTTATCTTTTTCGTTTTATTACCAAGTAGTGATAAATACTAAATGTATGTGTAGCTCAGTACAGTAATGAAAACATTAAAAAAATACACTTGTAAAATATTATTTATTAAATTTCAGTGATATACAAAAATAGTAGTAGAACAAAATGTATAAAATAAATAAGGAAAGATCAGGCATCATAATTCAAAAACAAATGTAGAGATTTGCTTAATAAATACCTAATCTAAAAATTCGTATAAATATTTTTTTAACTCAAAGCCAACCATTTTGGAAAGGACCATAACAAACTCAAAGTTAATGCAACACTTGTACTTAGGCTCGTCTATATTGTTATCTCCCACAACACAAAGCAATCCTAATTTACACATTGAAGGCACTTGAGTTAACAGAATAGCATTCATATCCATAGGCTCGTCGCTGATCGCACAAAAAATAGCAAACATCCTTCTCAGTGGGAAGCTTTTTGGACCTTCTTTCAGCAATGAAACCTGGTCTTTTATCATTCTGTTGACTTTTTTCCTTGCTTTTTTTTGTCCAGCATTTTTCATGAAAATTCTCTTATCTTCAGCTGGTGGATTGTAAGATGCCAAATAAGCAGCGATAAGTAAATATTTAGCATATGCAGGTAAATCAAAGCTCAATGCCAACTTTGTTGTAGACTCTATCTCGCGTGATAATTCATTTTGTTGCTCAAAGTCATTGGCAGAAACGCGAAGGTAAATTACTTCCAGGTTAGCTTTCAAAGTTTTTTGAGCATTGAGCCACAAAGCATTAGTATTGTTAGCATCAATGGTACCATTCTCAACTGGTTCTGAGTACTTGATGAAGTTCAATTTTGCCATATAACATAGCTCATTAAGATCACAACAGAAACGATAGTAAATCGAGAGAAAAAGATTAATATATGTTGTGTAAAACTTTTCATCATACTTTTCAGGTTTGGTAAGGTAATACAAGAGTTGCTGAAGCTCATTTTTTGAATATTGAGGAACATGAATTCTAATAGGCTCCGACAAACCATTTTTTGGTCTAAACTTTTCCCAAACAATGTCACTCACAAGGATTGTGCAAAGGTTGGTACAATTTACTAATTCCTGTAGACGAACTAAAGCTGGTAATACGTTGGCTTCCATATCACGCAGTACTTCACATCTCTCTAGTACTATAATGACTGGTGCTGACCTGCTAGAGACAATTTTCCTCATCTCGTATATAAAATCAACAAAGTCATCACATTTTTTTTTCAATTTGTAACCATTAGCTGCAGTTAACTCAATGGAAGAAAGTTCAATTATGATCTTTTCTAATAAGCTCTTGGTGGTTACATGCTCAAGGCAATTGACAAAACATGACTTATGACCTTCAGTATGGGCTAAGTAATTTAATAATTTTTGAAGAATGAGAGATTTACCACATGAGACATGACCATAAATGAAAATACTTTCAAACTGTATCTCATCAACTAACAATTGATACAATTGTTTTATCAGCAAATCTCTACATTTGATCTCTTTACCCAATACTTTTACGCATTCTTCCATGATTAATGACGTTTATAAGTAATTAGAATGATATATTAAAAATAATACATAAATGGATTTAAAAAATAATCAATAAGTATGTGTGTATAGATGCCCAACTTGACAAGTTCTAGCTTTCAGACCTGAAAGAAGATCAGAATAGCTCTGGATAGTTGTCAAATAGTCTGTAAACAACTTTGTTTAGTAAATAAACTTTTTAGTAATTGAAAAGAGAACAAAAATATCAAGCAAAAACAAAAAATAAAAAGTCTATTTATTATGCTGTCAAGTTGAAAGCTATTTAAAATAATTGAATAAAATAAAGTCATTGGATTCTCACCTGCGCCAAAAACATAACCAACTCATCGAGACTTTTGTTGAATTTGTCTGGAGTGAAACAAAATACTTCTAAAGTTGACTTGTAATGACGATATTGCTGCAAAAACTGTTGAATAAACCGATTATATATTTAAATGTGCTAAAAAAAGTTGCCATTATTCTATAGTGTAACACTATTCAACTTACTTCTTCTTTGTAAGACTCTGGATCACGTTTAATAAGATTCTGTAGTTGAGGAAGATTATCAGGTAATTGATTATTATGTCGAACCATTTTTAAAGTGAAATTAAAACTGTAATGACATAAATAATTTCGATTATTATAAAAATATGCTTAATAAATATTTTCATAGGTTATGAATTTGACAGTTTCTTCAGTCTTACCCTCAATATATTTCGTAAACATTAGTCTTTATAGTTTTTATATAATTAATAAGAAATTTCCTATCAACTAAAACATTTAAATTCATTTATTAATGAATCTATTCATACATATTTTACTATTTCTATTTGAAAAAACAAACAACTTTATTCGCAGTATAGGGTATCCGCATGTATGTAATGTCAAACACGCGAAGTTGGAGAAATTCTCACCGGCCATCGGAACTATGAAGTTAGCCCCCAGATTTTCAAGGGAAATTTTTAGAGGAAAAGGGAAAACGGCATAAATTGCCCTAAGGGTCTGTCTCCATAGGGCCTGCCTGAGTCCGTCCGAGCCGGCCGAGATTTTTTATGGGCACGCCATCTCTATAATTTCGTGTTCATGCGTTTCTCGTATTGGCTGCGTCCGATCGGGCTCGTTTATGTAAACGCAGCCATTCACTATGAAACTCGCCATTGGATACGAAATTATAGAGATGGCGTGCCCATAAAAAATCTCGGCCGGCTCGGACGGACTCAGGCAGGCCCTATGGAGACAGACCCTAATTGTCGGTGATATCGATGGTAATTTCTCATTTCCGATTCGTGAGTAGGAAACAGATGAAAATCGAGATTTTCCACGTCGTTAAAGATAGCGGTTTTCTTATAAAATTATCGATGAATCTTAACGTTGAAGAGCTTAAAATAATGACTGTAATTTTCCTCGTCACCCTCTGTTATTGCATTGGTTGTAAATACAATTGATTTTGAATTAAAATGAATAATTTTTTTTTCAGAAAGAATAATTAGAACTGCAGTGCACTAACATATCGACAGTTTTGCTTTCTTGCTGCTCGAGCGTCGATAATAATTATTTATTGTAATTCAAAATCAATTGTATTTACAACGATTGCTATAACAGAGAATAACGAGGACAACAGCAGTCATTATTTTAAGCCCTTGAACATTAAAATTCATCAATAATTTTATAAGAAAACCGCTATCTTTAAAGACACGGAAAATCTCGATTTTCATTTGTTTCCTACTCACGAATCGAAAATGAGAAATTACCACTGATATCACCGATAATTAGGGCAATTTATACCGTTTTCCCTTTTCCTCCAACAATTTCCCTTGAAAACCTGGGGGCTAACTTCGTAGTCCTCATATTTTCGAATATTGGCGCGTATCGAAAAGCTTGAGATTTCTAACCTCTCATTTCATTATCTCAAAACCGCGACAACACACTCGTCATAGTATATAGTTATTTCTGTTGATTAAGCTTATTAATAAAGTTTTAACATTTTATTATAAGGTGATATTTGTAAAAAAATGTCTAATTCAGATTCAGAATTGGAAGAAAACGAAGAGGAAATTCTCGTTTATGTAGAATTCGATAATTGCGCAACAAATGATGTGTTCAGTAATGAAAATTTAAAATTGGACATGCTTGGTTTAGATTCTGATCATCCAGTTATGCAAGTTAATGGCAAGGTATAATTTATTTTTGAAAATTTTTATAAAGTAAAAAAATATAATTATAAAAACAGATATATTGTATTTCCATTTGTAGTTTTTTCAAGGGGCCTATGAAGATGCTGTGGGAACATACATGTTTTTTGAAAAAGATGACAATCCAGCAATTGATGATCCCGTTTTCGACAAAATCCCAACTTTGAAATACTTTCAAAAAACGCGAAAACTTCTTAGAATGCAAAGAGCTTTTGTGACATCCAGATATGAAGTTGTTGGTGATTCAGAAAATAAAAAATGTATTCCAAATATAGAAACAATTAAAGAAGCTGGAGTGCCACCAAAATATCAAGAAAAAGGTACTTTAATTATGTTCTTATTTAATAGTTTTACTAAAATTGTATATTCTATTTAACTTTTTAATTATATATTCTTCAGCACTTGAATTTTGGAATGAATCACGCAATAATAGAATGAATGCACTGAATGAGTATCTTAAAAAACAAGAATTCAGGAAAGAGTTGCGAGCAAGAGGCTTTGAACCTGAATCTGAATCAGATGACGATAATCCATTTGCTATGTATAAGTATATAGAAGAGGCTGAAATGAGTAAAGATGCTAAAAATGATGATAACAGTGGTAATTTTAATTTGCAAATTGAAAGCCTAGAAAATACATTACAAAAGACAGAAATAAACAAGAAAAATGAGCAGAATAAAAAAACATTAAATGTAATTGATCCTGGACCTTCAACATCTAAAGATAGTACACTTTGGATTGATGATGATATAACAAGGGAACAAAAAAAATCAAGACTTTTGCACAAAGTTAAAAATGTTGAAAGAATTAGAGAAAAACCTGTCAAGGATAAAGTACAAAAAAGGGCTGTTAAAAAGAGAAAAATCTCTGTATTGTCTGCATCAGAAAAGCTTTTTATAGACTCTTCTAAAACTCAATTTCCCGAATCTAACGACCCTTTGGAAAATAATCCATTAAAAGATACAAATGGTCAACTTCTAGACACAAATGTAAACTTCAAACATGATGCAAAAGATGAAACGGATATCGATGAAATGATTGTAGAAAAAAATGACAAATTGTTAGCAGAAGAATTTAATATAGAAATTCCTTCAGTTTCTGAGAAAGAGAAACGGAAGCAAGAGAAGCGAGAAGCCAAAATGAAGGAAATAAAGGAAAAGCTTAAAGCATTCAGTGTAACCTGTAATCAACCACCAAACAGCTAATTATTTTGACAATTACCATAATTTTATAAAAAACAAATAATGGCTGACTGTGATATGAGGTAATAATTAATACACAAAAGTTTATCTCAAAAGTGTGACTTTTTATAACAAAAATATCAAGCTGTACATTAAATTTAAACTCACCATACATATGTATACATAGATGTTACATAATCAACATACACTATTTTATGAGGTATTACCATGCTTAATTCCATAAATGATACTTATATATTATGTACATCGACGAGCGCGCCTAACCGCCGTCGGATGTCATGAAAAAAATGCCTCAATAAGTATAAAATTGTTCATATTAATTTCACTTTTGTTAAAACACATCTTTTTTCTTCACCAACAGAGATCACTCGACAACTCGTCGGGATATTCACCAGTAAGGCATGCAGTACAATGGCCAATGTAACTACTCTCACGATTGTCCATTCCATGTCGTACAGCTTGAACAAGACCCTCGACGGACAGGTATGTCAGGCTGTCAGCACCTACATGCTTTGCCAATTTTATGTTATCCAGTCGATTGGCTATCAACTCCTCGCGCGTTGGAATATTTATACCCATGTAACACGGATACTTCAATGGCGGTGAGGCGATACGGATATGTACCTGTAAATGTTAAATGAAATGAGAGACGTTTTCTAGCGATTTATTTATTATATAGCCATAATAGTCTTACAGTTTAGATTACAGTATCATTTTTGTTTGAAATATGTTATTTCTGTAACGAAAATGTTAATTTTAGCTAGTTAAAAGTTAATTTTAGAAAATTAACATCATCGTTTTTACTTTAATCTTATACATTTCACTAAAATTTTAATTTGTTTTTTTTACTTGAATAATTTATTTTGTGTTATTTTTATTTTGTCATTAACTTGACATATTTTGCATAAGTTTTTCATGTAAGAATAAAGTGTTCTAAAATCTTAAAAGTACATGTATTTTCAGAAAATCCGAAAAAAAATCTTTTTCTACATATGTAACTGAAACTTCTTATAAATCTTACTTGCTTAGCTCCAGCGTCCTTCAATAATTTGATAATAGGTCCAATCGTATTTCCTCTGACGATCGAATCGTCGATAAGAATAATTTTCCTGCCCTTGACATTTTCCGACAGAGCGCCAAATTTCTTCGCGACACCAAGTTGCCTGAGTCTCGTACTTGGTTGAATGAATGTCCTGCCTACGTATCTGTTTTTACATAGTACCTCAGCAAATGGAATTTTAGACTGAAAATTTTTAATATTGAGTATTTGTAATTATTTTTCAGATATTTTAATTTTTAATTGATTTTTTGTTTTATTACCTCTCGTGCATATCCGTGTGCAGCTGCAGTACCAGATTCCGGAACGGAACTAACAATATCAGCGTCGATTGGCGATTCTCGTGCGAGAACTCGACCACATTGCATTCTCACCGAATACACCATTTGTCCTGAAAAGGTAAATTTAATTAATAAAGTCTAATGTTATAAAGCCATCATTCGATTTGTAGCCATACCTTCGAAAATACTGTCGCTTCTGGCGAAGTAAACGTACTCAAAAATGCAGAAAGCTTGAGCTTTTTTGTCAGGGCGTTCGACGATGTCGATGGTCTTGATGCCTTCTCTTGTCAGCTCGACAATTTCACCGGGGAAGACTTCGCGCACGTATCTGGCTCCAATGCTGAGAAAGCCGCACGACTCGGACGAGATGACCCATCCTTCGGCCTCGATATTGTCGTCATCGGAATCATGCCCTGTAGTAAGGAAACATCCGTTGCAAATGAATACACAAAAACAAAAAAGGAAAAAGAAAGAGAAAAGGAAAAGCAACAACGAAAAAAAGAAGAAAATGGTCCGTAAACGTACCTAAATGACCAATGGGTACAATCTTGCCGATGCAAAGTGGCCGATTCCCATAAGGATCTCTGACGCCATATATACGATCCCTCTGCATGATAACGAGCGAGTAGGAGAGTGGGGCGAGTTGCATCAAATGCTTGATACGCGCCGGCCAGTCAGGGCCGTTGAGCTCGCCCTCGGGGGGATTAAGACAGAGCGCCTGTGTGATCAGTTCCGAGTCCGAGTGGGTGGACAGGCCGACGCCGCGGCCCAGTACCATCTTCCTCAAAGACTCGGTGTTGACGAGCTCACCATTGTGAGCGACGGCCAGGGCGCCGTGCGCCGTGTGCACGACGAACGGCTGGCAGTTGACCTCCTCGCTGGCGGCGCTGGTACTGTAGCGCGTGTGGCCGATGCCGAGGTTGCCGCGCAGCTTGCGCATGCTGTCGTCGTTGAAGATGTTGTTGATCATGCCCATGCCCTTGTGCACGTGGAACGACTTAGCGCAGACGCCTTCCGAAGTCACTATGCCCGCGCTCTCCTGGCCCCTGTGCTGCAGCGCCACCAACCCTGCATCACCGCGGCGCGCTCGTCAGTGCTCGTGCTCGGGGCCGGGCGCCGGCGACCACTTACCCAGACATATCACCTGCGGCACGTCGATCTGCGACGGCCAGTCGCCGGCCGCGATGCAGCCGAACACGCCGCACTCGTGGGTCAGGCCACTGCCCCGCTGGCCCCGCGTCTCGCCCTTGCTGCGCGGCAGCGCTCGCCTCGCCAGCTGCTGGCGCTCGCCGGCGCTCGGCTCGGCCGGCCCCTCCTCACTCGGCTGCAGCCGGCACGCCGAGGCCGAGCAGCACGCGTCCCCTCCTTCTTGGCGGCGGCCCGACATCCTCGTCGCAGCCCTGCAGCTCTGCGGACGTCAAACGCTTCCGTTTACTCATCCGCTTGCATGGAAAAGCTCGGAAACGTTGTCCGGCTCTGCGAACGAGCGAACGGGCCGTGGGGTCAACGGCCGCTGGTCGATCCTCCCGCCTCGGATCTCCGAATCGGTATCGTCGCGACCTGTCTGGTCTCGATCGATCTGGCTTTGCTCTTCCTCTGCGTACACGCGAGCCTGTCGCGATCCGGTGCGAACCAGGGAGATCGCGCGACGCACGGCTATTGTTCACGAAAAACCGGCAGATCTGCGTCGCGCGCCAGGCTCGCGCTCGCGAGACCCCCTGCTAGCTTGTTTTGCATGACCCGCTAACCTTACGATTGATAACCGTATACGCACGCTCGTTGTTGCTTTCGCAATCGAGCGATGTTTCATCATGTGCAATTATTCCACTGGCGCGCGACAGCTGACAGCCGAAATCGGCGAAAGATGAGGCGTCACGGAGGCTTTTCTCTCCTACGAAGGTGCCAACGCGGTCGTCTTCGAAAGATCCAATTCCAAAACCGATTTTCGGAACTAGCAAGGCTGTCGTTATTTGGACACACGTTATCTGAAGCGAGATAGGTAGGTGCGCAAGCGGACTCGTTGCGCAAAGCGCACTCGCACGTGTAGAGGCGATTAGATAAGCGAAGAGCCGATCCTCCGCGATAATCCTATATTAAAAGCCACGCGACCGCAGACGAGGCGATTATAACGCAATCGCTCGTCGATCCTGTCATCCGCACATCGCGCGAACAGGCCCGCGATTAAGAGCAAGGCTGCCGATGGCTGTTTATGCACGTGCGTATCGATTGCGACGCGGCGCGGGGCCTTTACGTAACCAACACCATCGCCTTGCTCGCGCGCGCGTCGTTTCGTCTCGAACAAACAACAACAGAACGCCGCGCGGAGCGTCGACCGCGAACAAAGTGGCTCAACTGCTTGCGCAGCGAGCCCCGATTTTTTCGCGTCCGACCGCGAAGACAACCAGTCGAATCGAGAGCGATCTGCGCGACTCGTATTTTTTTTCCTTTTCCTCCTCGCTCGCTATCGTTGTGCGCGTTATCGCAACGTGCCAACGAAGCGCGCGTAACGCTGATTCACAGCTGCGGCTGCATTTTCGTCTCCGGCGAAATTCGATGTAGGCGGACGCTTTAACGAATCCGTAGGTAGTAGTTTATACAATGTTCAATGAAATAGAAAGCAGCGGTAGTGGACGGTACGACTACGATCAACGGAAGATCACCGTGCAGATTGCAAAATCTTACGTAGAGTGCCGAAACATAACGCAAACGTGGAATAAAATTGAAAAATGTCGGCAAAATGTGAAGAAAAGAAAAATGAATGACTGACGCGGGGAACGAAGGATTATGTAGATCGACGCAACGTCAGTCGGGCACGAAGAAAAGCGGGCGAGCATCTTCCATCCAGTCAAACAGGTCCTGCTGCACCGAGTATAGACGGCGGCCCTTCGACGCGCATCGAAGCCGAGCTCGCACGCGACGTTACGTACCTTCGTGGGAGACGCACGTGCGTCGCGGAGCTATTTAGGAGTCGCCCGAGGCTTGACGGCGATGGGCCGGCGGCGCGGTCGCGGGAAACTCACTCTCGCTCGCTCACCAGATGTGCGTCCGTTCGACGAATCGCCCGTGGAAGCTCGCCGCAGCAGCGCGCGTACAGTAACACGCGACGCGCGCGCCTGGCGTACACGCAACAACTGTCAGGCGGACGAGTGCTCGCGAGCGGCTCGCAGCTTCTTCTCCGCTCTCGTCTCGCGCTGCGCGACTACTATACCTACTGGTCTCGCGCGCGCGCGCGCGCTCACGCTCCGTCAAAAGATTGCGAGGACCAATGAGGAGTCGTCGAACCCAAGGTTCCCCCGCTACCCCCCGCTCCCATTGGTAAGGCTTTCGTTTGTGGCTTGTTCCTGGAATTCGGCCAGTTTGCACGTTTCTTTTCCGAGGTAACATTTTCCGTCGCACCGACAGCGAGCGCGGCACGCTACTTCGCGGGGGATCGCGTTGCCACGCGGTCAACTTCGAACGCGAGATAAAGACATTCGGATCTTGTTGCGGGCGCGGTGAACCGCCACGTCGAAACCTTATCTCGGAATGAGTGGGAAAGTCACGACAGGCGTTTTCGTCACGGTGCGAGACGCAGCTGCTGCATCTTTGTTTTTTTCTTTTCGCGAAGCCGGCCGCTTCCGAGTAAACTTGCCGAACGCGGCTGTTGGTCTCCAAAATAGCTTTCCCAACGGTCGGTGCGTTCTTCAAATTGTTCCACTAGCAATGGTACACGCATTAGCACGGGCGCTCGTCGCTCATACCTTCCCTATAGGAAGTCGACTTGCGAAGCGACTTACTTACGCGTAATTTAGCGATGTAACTTGCGTCATCGCGCTCGGGTATTGTCGTTTTTATATCTTCGTCAATTTCAATACGTTTGATGACATCCTTGCTACTGTTAACAACGACATGTTCAAACGCGTGCGCGCTTCATCTAAAGAACCTTACACGAGGCCTAACGGAAAACGGAAAATTTCACACCGTTCCATAAGTGATTCTTTCCTTTCCGCTCGGCAAAACAACACGCTAGCGCTTATGCTCCGACATTTCGTTACCATTCCGACATCGCCATCAGCATGACGCCGAAAGGTATACGAATTTTTACAATAAATCTCTAGAACTACATCTTCCTCTCACGTTCCATAAACATCGTCATACCGCGTGTCATTGTTGTTTCTCCGACCATTCGCAATAACGCCGATTATTTCTGCATTTCAAGGTAAACGCTTGGTAGGCAACTCTTATTCGGCAAAAAATCCCCCCTTCCTACTCTCTCTCTCTCTCTCTCTCTCTCTCTCTCTCTCTCTCTCTCTCTCTCTCTCTCTCTCTCTCTCTCTCTCTCTCTCTCTCTCTCATCACGCGCACAATAATCGATAAAACAAATGATGAATCTTCCACATTGTAATGACGAATTCACCAACAATAGTATGTTAATTGTCTATACAATGATGCATTGAGGTATCTGTACAAAGCCGCTAGTTTTAGTTAAAAATCGCGTGTAGCTTTCGAGGTGGGGAATCGTCGACAACTTGTTGCGCGCGCGCAGTCTCCGCGGATTAATCCAGAACGTGAGAGAACGAAAAAGTGGGGAACCCGGCGTTCGTAAAAGTAAAGAGCAACCACTCGAGCCGACAAGCCGGCACTTGCGTGATAGTCACTTAGCTGCAAACATGACCGGTGAGTTTTTTAATTTGTTTTCTTCTTTCGCTTTTCTTTAATAACGCACGATTACGCTATTCTCCATGGCATTTCTCGCGCCACTTATCGCTTACGTACAGGATGGATACGCCTTGGTTGTTCGTCGCTAAGATATTTTTCGGAGCAAGGTTGTCATTTACATAATTCACGCGTTCTCTCGCTTTGCATTCGTGATTGCGTTGCGTGCATTTTGTCATAAAAAGTATTTGTACTTTTCAAATCTATTGATTGTGAACAAACTGCGATCAAGTTTGAGAGGTTATTTTTCAACGGTTTTTTTCTACGCATTTCCCGTGGGGTAACGCGTTCAAGTCACCATTCCTTACATAAAAGTAAAGGCTCCCTCTTAGAATTAAAATTCGGTACGCAAGGTATGCAAACCCAAAGAAACGAGTTATCAATATATAATTGAAATACTCACGTGTGTTGCCTCGACGATCTTCCAGTTCCGAAAAAAAAGCTGAATCCTCGTGGTGCACAGCAGCAGCATGTAACAAGTGGGTTATAGTATGGGGGCAGCATCGTATATACGTGATGCGGGTCACGTGATGGCGCCTATTGGATATGACGCAAAGCGAGTATTTGAAAGACTCGAACGTCTGTTTCCATTGTTTCAGACAATTACAAGCTTGGCAAGTTGATAATTGAGGGCAAAACTAAAAAGGTTTTCGAACTCGCCAATGATCCCAAGTTATGTTACCTCGAGAGCAAGGATCGCATCACAGCTGGCGACGGTTGTCAAGTCGCACGAGCTGGAAGGCAAAGCTGCTATCAGCAATGCCACAAATGCCAAAGTTTTCCAGTTGCTTAATCAAGCCGGCATGAAGACGGCTTTCGTCAAAGTTGCCGGCGAAAAGACTTTTATCTCGAAGAAGTGCGAGATGGTGCCGATTGAGTGGGTCACCCGGAGATTGGCTACCGGTAGCTTCCTCAAAAGGAATCCTGGTGAGCTTTCGCGTTGATCGCAAATACCTATTGTGAAACAAAGTTAGTAAACAAGTATGTCGAAATCCGCGATAAAGCCACGACCAAAAAATACACGTATATCAGTATGCGCCACTTATATCGCGGATGAATTTGAAGGCAACGAGCAGAGAAAGACAAAGAGCTTCCGATGATTGCTTTATTCGCGTGTGCACGCAGGCGTACCGGAAGGATTCCGTTTCAATCCACCGTTGCAGGAAACGTTCTATAAGGATGACGCAAATCACGATCCGCAATGGTCGCAGGAGCAAATCATCTCTGCTGGCTTCAAGCTTAACGGCCGTACGATTGGCAAGGACGAGTACGACATAATGCTGCGCACCACTCTGGTCGTGTTCGAGGTGTTGGAACGTGCCTGGGCTACCCGCGATTGCGCGCTCATCGACATGAAGATCGAGTTCGGCGTGGATACCGACGGCGAGATCCTCGTAGCCGACATTATCGACAGCGATTCGTGGCGATTGTGGCCAAGTGGTGATAAGAGACTCATGAAAGATAAGCAGGTAATGCGATGATGATGATGAACGTAGGTCATCGCGTATGGAATGAAAAGGTCGAGAGTTGAGGTTATTAAGAAAAATCAGTTTGAAAAACGATCGTGTATTTTTTAAATTCTTTT